ATGAGGTAACGGAATTAAAATTATACATGGGATTATTGAAGTCACATTGAACATACGCTCCAAAACATCTGGTGCACTAAGATTTTTCAACAACAAATTCCATATTAAATAAGAATATCCAACATTATCAGTGTTACCCCAGTAAGCTATCAGAGTAGAGACATCATTCCAAGTATTTTCAACCATTGACGTATATCATAGATACATAAAGTCTGTTTCTCAGCTATCCATTTCTGTCCAGAAAGTAAATAGACATTCAGGAAATGTGGAGCAAAATAAGGCTTAAAATCTGATCGAGTAAAATGATAGAAATAGGCTTGTTGCAGAAATAACATTCCACCGAAATACAATACGTATAAGCAATGCTGTCGTTAGGAAACGAGTTCTAGGTAAGAATGGCAAATCAATAGATGAAGTAATGAAACTTCATCAGTTGAGGTGGTTGGGACATGTGTTACGTATGGCTAACCACCGACTGCCTTGACGAGCTATGTTTTGCAGTGTAGGAGTAGATTGGAAGAAAGCTAAGGCGGCCAAACCAAAACATGGCAGAAATCCATGAAGTCACTGACAAGTGGACTGAGTCATGTTGGTAGATGTAGGCTACCTGGTTGGGGTCCGCGAGACGATAGTCACCAATGGTTAGAGACCTTGAATGACATGGCTCAGAATCGTTTGCAATGGCGCAGGTGCATCCACTCTTTGTGTTCTATGAAATTCTAAGCTTCTGCATTCCTCATAATCTCTAGCTTTCTCCTTCTAAATTTATCTCACTGAATTATACTTTTTGAATCATATCTTCGCTCCCTGATCTTCTCCATTACTGCTAATACTTCTATTACTGCTATCACTCTTGTATTTGAACTGACAGTTGCGTTTGTGTGCTGATGGGGCATGGCGACATGGATTGATGTACTTACGTACGAAGTTCTGCGTTGTATCTGTCTGTCTGTCTGATGAGTTGACAATAATGATAACTTATCTACATCCAATTTCCCTGTATATTAGAGGTTGTGAGACTCGTTCTAACTCGCTTACAGTTCAACAATGTGTATGACGACTAGTGACATCACTTGACTGTCCGAACCAGTGACATCTTGGTTGAAAGTCAGGTGACGATCAACTTAGTCACGCTTACACACCACCACATCTGTGGATCAGCTTATGTTATATTAAGTTTAAATTATTTGGATTGTTTTAAAATCAAGAAAGCAATCAAACAATGAAGCAGAAGGCGAAAATTTATTTTATAAACCTAAAATATAAAAAATTCATATTTCGTTAATATTGTATTAAAAACTACAATAAATAATACCTGAATCTACACTTAAACACTCCACAGAATTTTCACCATTCAAATGTTTGTTGCTCTTTGAATTTTCAACAATTCTTGTCAATTCAAGAACATCAGGTAATCGAATAGAAGCTTTATACTTTTTACGTTGACCAGTGTTTGAATTGTAAGTAAATCTAAGTAATTGAATGCATAACAATGGTGGAGCACGTGTTATATAGGCTCTTCTAATACCATCTCGTTTACAACCGCATTGTGAACAAGCATAACGATTATCACCAACTAATTGTTCTTCCTATAGAAAACAATAAGTAAGACAGGCAACAATAAAAATATTGGACTAACAAATTGAAACAATAAGCAGCAGTTAAACGGATAATAATATAACTTTACATGAACAATAAGCCGCACATGGTTCAGTTAATCAGTCAGTCAGATGCAACGTAGAACTTCGTACGTAAGTACATCAGTTCATGTTGCCATACCACATCAGCACACAGATGTAACTGTCAATTCAAATCCAATAGTAGAAGAGGTTGTAAAACTATTAGAAGTAATCGGAGAGGTTAGGATTAGAAGATATTATTCAAGAAGTATGATTCAGTGAGAAAAGTTTAGAAAGTCAAAACTGGACGTGTTGAAGAATTCAGAAGATTAGGATTTGACAGAACACAAAGAATAAATGCACTGGCGCCATTACAAACGGTTTTGAGCCATGTCATTCAAGGTCTCTAACCATCGATTATTATCATCTCGTGTACCCCATGGATTTCAGCCGTGTTTTGGTCTGGCCGCCCCTAACATTCTGCCAACCTACTCCTACACCACAAAACATAGCTCGTCGAGACAGTCAGTAGTTAGACATACGCAGCACATGTCCCAAACACCTCAACTGATGAAGTTTCAGCATTTCAGTTAGTCAGATGAAAACTGTGAATATCTTAGAAGTATGCAATAACAAAATTTGATTTTTTTTTTCAGTAACATGTTTATATACAGTAAAAGGATTTTTAGCAAAAATATATGCGAAATCGCCACCGAATTCCCGTTTACTAAGCATCTAAATTTATGAATATTTGAAAATATACGTAAAAAGTATTTAAACGATTATCAGAAGATATTTATATTCATCTATATACGTTTACGACCAGTTTTGACCCCATAGTACTTCTATTTATCGTTGAATATACTTAAAGCTTGAATTCTATAGTGATTACTCTTCATTTCTTCAAAATACAGAGGGAATGGAAAAATACTGGTGTGGTGCGAGCTACTTATAAGTAGTGTCAACGTATATGTCTGGCAGCAGAAGATGGGGGAACATCAAGAAGAAAGGAAGAGTGGGAACACAATGGAATTTGTATGAAACACATGAATAGTGACAATGGAATGATGTTTTGCAACAGAAACAGTCCAGTTCGATATGATGAACTGATATTTTGCAAATTAACGATTTACGATATGGTTTTCCGATTTTATTGATTAACTCTGTAATTTTCGTTAAATACAATTCGGTCGCGCCACCTGTGTTCTCCTTCACTACACTGGGACACATTCTCCGTAAACCCAGAAAGTCTTGGGTCTGTACTGCTGACGAGTCACAGACTAGTGTCTTATTACAATCCATTTTAACTGAAGTAATCACAAGATATAAATAGCGATTCAGATATATGCTAGCAACTTGGTAGAGTATATGAAAAATGATGGACTTTTAACAAAAGCCATATTCTTTGAAAAGAATGAACTTTTTACATTTTACACAAAAGAATCTTAATTAATAAAAGGATGACTTTACTTAAGTCATGCATTTAGTTAATAACAGCTTAAATTGTTTATATATATGTAACCAAATAATATAAACATAACCTTTAAATAATCCCGTATACAATCTGGAAGTGACTTTGAAGAAACTTTCAGGGATAATTCTAAAAACTTTGAAGGTAACCGAGATGTGAAACCGCATTTCAGACAACTGAAAGCAAAAATAAACATAGAGAGAAAGAATCTTATTGATTGAAATAAATATCATACAAATAAGGTTATAGAAAAGTCAATTAGAAACGTTTAATGCATATTATAAATGCTAATATTAGCAAAGATGCAGTGATCGTTGGTTGCATTATTTAAATATATAGAAACCTAGGTAGTGATAAGTATACTGTTTATATTTCACAATGTTTTGGAAGTTCTCATATTATTAAACAGCCCTCACAAAACTAGTATGAGGATAGCATTGAAAATGGTTCCAGACAGAGATAAATCGGTAAAAGCTTACATCAGAAATCCTTTTCAGGAACAAGATAAAACCTGGTCAGTCTAAAATGATATCAACTGATATACATGTTTGATCAGGCATGAAGATGTCTACAAAACGAATTATTAACAACGCAAAAGACTCTTGCTGACTTGAAATAATACAACATATCTTAACAATATTCAGGAATTTCAGTGATGTTTTAAGAAACAATAAAATAAACCTTCGGAAATCTCTCAGCACCATTAAAAATTTAAAACTAAGTAGTTTTTAAAATGACTGTCAAAAGATGTTTACTTTGTGTAGAGAATAAATTCAACGTTAATCAAAACACCATTACATTAGGTGTCATTTCCATTCACACATTTATGGGCATAGATCATTAAACAAAACTCCAAGAAATATTATCCAACATCGACAACAGTAAGCAAGAGTTTGAGAAAAAGAAACGTTACAGAATTTCCACGGTGAATTTAAGAATAATATAAAAAATTGTAAAAAGTTGGAGTTTAAATTGCTTTCCAATAAATAAGCAATTTCCCAATAATAATTAAACCTAAAACAGCTTGAAAAGGAGTCATTGAATCTCTATTCCGAATTTCCAAATCACTCCTATATAGCTGAACTCGGAGTTGAGAAACTAACATCTTCAAGGGCTGATTTTAAAGGGTACCATGAAAATTCTAAGGATACCTACACGTTTCTCACTGTATTATTATCGACTAAATCGACAATAAGGAGTTCTCATTCTTTGTATTCTCAAGTTAGGGGCTGGGTCAAAGAGTTAATAGGACTACAGTACAAATTCGGTTGACTATTAATTGTCATTATATCGTTATTTCAAATTCCTTAGTCTACATGCAGGTAATAACACATACGGTAAGGGTCAATCAAGAACACGACAAAAGACCGTACTAAAGAAACAGACAATGAGAACACAGGCAAACACAAACATCTGAATAGAGCGAGAACAACGAATGTAGCAAAATAGCCTGAATTCATTTTACTTTATGCATACAAAAGTATGAGACGGTTGTGTACAAATGTTACTACTAGGAGAAAGACTTGCTGTCGCGAAGTGTATCAACATTTTCCCACTGGGAAATAATTTACAAACTATTGAAATCTTGATAAATCTGCCAATGACAGATGTGTGTACATCTTCCATTTGCATTATCGAACTGTAAATTGATCTTAAAGAATGAGTAAGAAGCCTCTGTTTGTCGTCAGTTTCAGTTGTAATCACTTGAGAATAATCAAAAGGTTTGATTATAAGGATAAACGTATAGCAGATAAAATCACAGAGATATATGCTACTTCACACTATATTTGATGCTGTCGGAAAATTACTTTGAATACAAAAGTTTTAAAAATGAGGTGTTTTCTGTAAGCGTATGAGTAATTGAAAGAATCTATTAACTCTGAGATAATTGAAGACATTAAACAATTGAGTTGTTTCATTTCAGTGACAATACCATCTTGACAATGCTCATAATACGTGCTTAATAATTAAGTCACTTAACCGACAGAAAATAACTCCAACAAAATTATTCAACTGGGCTAAAAAATTTTCCCCAATAATTTAATACCTTACTGTCTCATCATTTTAATGAACATTATGAACGTAAAGACTTAAGACGCTGTTATTAGGACACGGGTGCTAGGTAAGAATGGCAGATCAATCGATGAAGTGGTGAAACTTCATCAGTTGAGGTGGTTGGGACACGTGTTACGAATGCCTAACCACCGACTGCCTCAACGAGCTTGGTTTTATAGTGTAGGAATAGGTCGGAAGAAAGTTAGGGGCGGCCAGAACAAAACATGGCTGAAATCCATGAAGTCATTGACTAGTGGACTTAGACATGTCGGTAATTGTCGACTACCTGGTTGGGGTCCGTGAGATGATAATAATCGATGGTTAGAGACCTTGAATGACATGGCTCAAAATCGTTCGCAATGGCGCCAGTGCATTTATTCTTTGTGTTCTGTCAAATCCTAATCTTCTGGATTCTTCAACACCTCTAGCTTTTACTTTCTAAACTTATCTCATTGAATCATACTTCTTGAATAACATCTTCTAATCCTAACCTCTCCGATTACTTCTAATACCTTTACTACCTCTTCTACTATTGGATTTGAATTGACGATTACTTCTCTGTGCTGATGTGGTATGGCAACATGAACTGATGTACTTACGTACGAAGTTCTACGTTGCATCTGACTGACTGACTGAAAGACTTAAGAAATAGTACATCAACATCATCAATACACTAATCTAACAATTTTAATCTCAATTAATAGCGGTAAAATTAAACGGTATATATATTTTTTCACTATTCGGACTGTAGTTTCTTAAAATTATTGATTATACAATATTTTATAATGAACAATCATTGGAAAACAAGAAGAGAAGTTGCACAAGGTCACTCAGTGAAAAATCAATTCAGTGGAAAACACATTATACAGAGATAAAGGACTTATTTTATAAAAAAAAAACATCAATTACACAGATCGAACAGGAACAGAAACAAGTAACCGCCAATAAAAGCACTCTTCTCTTTTTATCCATTTAAATCAATAGTGTAAATTGATATCATTGAAATTTTAATATGCGAATAAAAAAAAACAAGAAATTGTAACCAGACACAATGAAAATCTGTTAAAAATATACATTTGCTATCGTGATATAGTGCAGTCGATAAAATTTCAGAAAACTATTTTTAATTTTTTATTTGAAGCAAATGAAGAAGGGATGTGTGTATGGTAAGTAAGTAAGGAATATAGGAAGGAAAAAAAAGATGAAGAAATGTACATATTTGATGATGAAGAGAAAGATTTCAGTTTTGAAATTTATTTGTTTTTTTTGTCGAAAATATCGATTTTTTACAGTTGAAGAAGTGATATAAATGAATTATCCATAACTTATTATGATTAATTGATATTTACCACTTAGAATGATATCTCGTTGAGAGAAAAATCTTGAAAATATTGTCAGTCAGTCAGTCAGATGCAACATAGAACTTAGAACGTAAGTACATCAGTTCATGTTGCCATACAACATCAGCACAGAGATATAATTGTCAATTCAAATCCAATAGTAGAAGAGGTAGTAAAGGTATTAGAAGTAATCGGAGAGGTTAGGATTAGAAGATGTTATTCAAGAAGTATGATTCAGTGAGAAAAGTTTAGAAAGTCAAAACTAGAGGTGTTGAAGAATCCAGAAGATTAAAATTTGAGAGAACACAAAGAATAAATGCACTGGCGCCATTGCGAACGATTTTGAGCCATGTCATTCAAGGTCTCTAACCATCGATTATTATCATCTCGCGGACCCCAACCAGGTAGTCGACAATTACCGACATGGCTAAGTCCACTCGTTAATGACTTCATGGATTTATGCCATGTTTTGGTCTGGCCACCCCTAAATTTCTTCCAACCTATTCCTACACCATAAAACAAAGCTCGTCGAGGCAGTCGGTGGTTAGGCATTCGTAACACATGTCCCAACCACCTCAACTGATGAAGTTTCACCACTTCATCTATTGAGCTGCCATTCTTACTTAGTACTCGTTTCCTAACGACAGTATTGCTTACTCGGTTGTCCTCGATACACGAGCAACGCTTCTTAAACATCTATGATCGAAAACCAGTAACCTACGAATATCTTCTACTCTCACTGGCCATGTTTCACAGCCATAAAGTAAGACGGAGCGAACTGCTGCGCAGTACACTCGTCCTTTAGTCAGCAAACGGATATCTCGTCTACGCCATAAGTGACGCAGGTTGGCAAAAGCCAATCGAGCCTTCTGTATCCGAGCTGAGATTTCGTCAGTCACCAGGCCATCAGCACTGATGAGACTCCCCAGATAAGTGAAGCGGTCTACACGTTCGACTACCATTGTAATACGAAAGAGTAATTTTTCTTATTTAAGAAACATATACCGCTAACATTCAATGAATATAGAAGGAAAAACATATTTTTATTTAAGAATGAGAATAATTATCACTAATTGGATGATGAACTTCAGGAAGCTACAAGTGATTTGTTGATTGGTCGTGATTACAACAAACAATCATTTGTGTTTATAGTAATGACAAACATTATAACTACTTAAATAAACTAGCATATAGGTAAGGTTTGTCGCGCTTCCAATCCATAAAACCTAGTTTTAAACAACCGAAAGTTAAGAAATTGTCTACAAGACAAAAAAAAAGCTGTTTAGATTTGATGGTATTAAAAAAGCACTTCTTTATAATCGAAAGTGATTATATGTGTCAGCAGCCTTTAATTCACCTGCTTTCAGATAAATTTTTACAGAGTTTCAGAAGAAAACTATAGTCAAGTAGCAAGCAATATAGTTTTACTTTACAATATCATCAGACTATGACTAAGTTATATTGGTAGTCAAACAAAACGATACGGGTTAACAACTATGAAAATTATATGTTCCCTGTTAAGGCGTATTCGCACTGTTGAGGAGTAGTGACAAACGGAACAAAATAATCACCGAGTGTTCTCTGCTCTAAAAATAACTTTTGTAACAATCAGTATATATGAGGAAAATTATTATATAACAATAAAATTAGACTTTTACCAGCACTAGTGCGATTACTATAGTGAATAAGCCACAATGTTCAAATCTCAATGTATCTATCACTCACCTAGTTTCATAAATATATTCTCCTCTAATCAAATCATCAATAATCGATACACCAACTTGCTGGAAACGTGCTTCTAATAAATTCATAAATAAACAGTGGAATTCAGGAGCATCCTAGATAAATTAAACACAATTTAAAAACATTTACAAAAATAAAATACTACATAATAGTTTTTAAAAAGGATCTACATAACAAATTACCATGTTATTACATAAACAGGAATTACGCCGTAAATTATCAACGATTTACACATTTGAAATCATCAATCATTCATTGTCAGACCACCGTTAGAAACCTGGAAGCACTGGACGGCCGTTTCGTCCTAGTATGGGACTCCTCAGCGGCAGTGCGCATCCACGACTCCTGCGACCCACAAGATTCGAAACCGGGACCTTCGATCTTGTGCGCGAACGCTTAACCATTGGACCACTGGGCCGGCATCCAACGGTGTTAATGTCTAACTCTGATTGATCTACGGATTTTGCGCGACCTCATCCATTTGTCTTTGGTAGTTGCTGCCTACACCCTACACATCAGAGTTAGACATTAACATCGTTGGATGCCGGTCCAGTGGTCCAATGGTTAGACGTTCGCACACAATACCGAAGGTCGCGGGTTCGGATCCTGCGAGGTGCAGGAGTCGTGGATGCGCAATGCTGATGAGTCCCATACCAGGACGAAACGGCCGTCCAGTGCTTCCAGGTTTCCAATAGTGGTCTAACAATGATTCATTGATGATTTAAAGTGTGTAAAAACACAAACATCCAAAACTCTACCAGAAAATATCAACGATTTGTTTTATGAGATTAAAATCAGCATGTAAATATTATGAACATGTATTTTCTTACTTGCTGTTCTGTATCGCACAACCTCAATGCTTCAATTAAACCTCCTGGATCAACAATGCTAAAAAAATTAAAATAATAACAATAATAAAGCGAGTGGTAGCCAAGGTTAATAACTAACAGAATGAATAAAATAATTTATATGGTGTATGAAAAAACCGAAATTAAATTTATAGTGTAGTATTCCAATAATTAATATCCTATGAAGAGTTATTGAATCATGAACAAGAAACAATGTCGGTCACATATATAAACAACAAGAAGCAGTAAATATTTACGTATGATGTATTTAATTTGAACTGACAGTTGCGTCTCTGTGCTGATGTGGTATAGCAAGCAACCTGAACTGATGCACTTACGTACGAAGTTCTGCGTTGTATCTGTCTGTCTATGATGTATCAATATTTTGAATGCCATCAACTTCTTTATCTTAAAAATTTGTATGATCAGTAAATGCAATTGTGAATTTATAGTTGCACACCGGTTCCTCTAACTATAAACAGTTGATTACGGATGATGAAATGCTTGGTCGAAATGAGTAACATTGATTAGATGTGCATTTAAACATCTTGAACTACTTATGATATATAAAACAACTAACACAACCTAGAAAGGATGATCCAATTCATCAAGTCGAATAGAAATAACGAAACCAAAACTTACCCTGAATTGTTTAACTGAAGTTGACTGAATATCAATTGTAGCTGGTGTATTATACCAGTTTCATCAGCTGTAAAAATAAACAAGAAGGTAAACAAATCAATCAGTATTTGATAAAATATACATATATATAGAAATATTTTTCATCATTGATTGATGTCGACCATAAGATTATAAAAAATTAAGAAGTATGAAACAGGTTATTCATTGTTATCCTCAGAACATGATTTTCCAAGGTGTTTGGACTAATTTGTAATTTTAAAGATGAAAGCGTCGTGAAGAATGTTTTAGTTACCCGAACAGCTGAAATTTCTAAACAATCTACATCGTATCTCAAAAAAACCACCATATAAGAACTAAATATCCTAATACAGGTAAAAACAAATACAACATTGGACTCGGGTGTGGGTACAAGTAGTGTTCATCGATGTTTTCCACTTTCTCCATACTTATTCAAATTTTTCATAGACATGCTTTTGAAGATGACGCTATCTTCGTCTCAATCGTCAGGAGTTGAACTTTTACCAGGAGATTCATTTGTTGACCTAGAACATGCTGATGACATAGTTGTACTTGGTGAAGACGCTGACAAAATGCATAGTCTTTTGACCACCCTAAGCGAAAATTCAAGTATGTTCGGGATGCAATTCTCCCCGTCGAAATGCAAAATGTTGCTTTAAGATTGGGTTGCATCGGCACCTGAACTAGTAGTAAGGAGTGTAGCAGTTGAGCGTGTTGACCGCTTCACTTATCTGGGGAGTCTCATCAGTGCTGATGGCCTGATGTGTGACGAAATCTCAGCACGGATACAGAAGGCTCGATTGGCTTTTGCCAACTTGCGTCACTTATGGCGTAGGAGAGATTTCCGTTTGCTAACCAAAAGACGAATGCACTGCGAAGCAATTCGTTCCGTCCTACTTCAGGTCTGTGACATCAACAAATGAAATATTGAAACTTCATCAGTTGAGGTGTTTAGGACATGTGTTACGTATGTCTAACCACCGAGTGTCTCGACGCGCGAGGTTTTGTGGTGTAGTAGTAGGTTGGAGGACAGCTAGGAGCGGCCAAACCGAAACATGGAACAAATCCATGAGATCACTAACAAGTGGATTGAGTCATGTTCGTAGTTGTAGACTACCAGGTTGGTGTCAGCGAGATGATGGTAATCGATGGTTAGAGACCTTGAATGATATGTCTCAAAATTGTTTGCATTGGTGTACGTGCATCCACTCGTTGTGTTCTCTTAGATTCTAATCTTAAGAATTCCTCATCACCTCTATCTTTCTCTTTTTAAGTCTATTTTACTGGATTATACTTCTTGAATAATATCTTCGAACCCTAATCTCTCCGATTGCTGCTAATACTTCTGCCACCGCTACTATTTTGGGATTTGAATTGATAACTGCGTCTCTCTACTTATGTGGTATGGCAACTTGGACTGATGTACGTACGTATAAAGTTTTACGTTGTTGCTGACTGACTGAAAAACTATTACTCCTGATCCTGATCTTCAGTGAATTTGACTAAATAACTGTTTATAAATAAATCTAGCATAGCTATATCTAGCACAGAAAATATTACACTTTATCACGAAGTTGAGGGTAATCAAAGGTAGATTAAAATTATGATAACGCCATCAGTAATAATGATAAACACAAACACTTGAAATTCGACCTGATAAATTCTTAGCATATTTTGGACAATACAAGTATACAGTAGGAAACGTTGAGGTTATCACAGAAAATAACTATATGCATGAATAACCCACCTTGTGATGCAACATCATAAATTGCTTTTCGAAGTTCCTTGAACCGAAAATAAAGCTGCAAAAATGCATTTAAGTAACAAGTACTGCCATAATTCTTCAAACCGTTACGGCTATGCTAAGTGTTCAAGACAGAAAAAAATATCATAACAGATAAACATACACCAGAGATGTATATTATTTTGCAATTACGTTTATATTAATGAGCACCGTCAGTTTTACAGTAGGCCTCAAAGTCTGACTAAAAGAACCAACTCCAAACAACCACAGAAATGTTTGAATACAAAACGAGCTGAGCAACCTGAAATGGAAATTTTAGGTATTACATGAAGCTAGCTTAATATGTATAAACCACTGTGTAGAGTGGAAAATAAACTGGAATACCAGAACAATCAGGTGTGTGTGTACCTAGTCAGCGAGTTAGTGGCAATACAGAACCTGGTACGACTGTACATCAGTTCAAATTACCAAAACACAATAGCCTAGTAAGATAAAAATTGTCATGGAGAATGCCAGTAAAGAATGTGACAATATCGGTGTTGGTAGAAAACATTAGGCATCGAAGATGCTATTTGAGGTCTGTCAGCTAGAACGTAAAACTTTAAAAATACGTTATTCAGTTCAAGTTGCCATACCACATTAGCACAAAGAAACAATTTTCAATTCAAATCCCATAGTAGTGAAGGTGCTAGACGAAGTCGGAAAGATTAGGGTTCGAAGATATTATTCAAGAAGTATGATCCAGTGAAATAGACTTAAAAAGAGAAAGATAGAGGTGATGAGGAATTCTTAAGATTAGAATCTAAGAGAACACAACGAGTGGATGCACGTACACCAATGCAAACAATTTTGAGACATATCATTCAAGGTCTCTAACCATCGATTACCATCATCTCGCTGACACCAACCTGGTAGTCTACAACTACGAACATGACTCAATCCACTTGTTAGTGATCTCATGGATTTGTTCCATGTTTCGGTTTGGCCGCTCCTAGCTGTCCTCCAACCTACTACTACACCACAAAACATCGCGCGTCGAGACACTCGGTGGTTAGACATACGTAACACATGTCCTAAACACCTCAACTGATGAAGTTTCAATATTTCATTTGTTGATGTCACAGACCTGAAGTAGGACGGAACGAATTGCTTCGCAGTGCATTCGTCTTTTGGTTAGCAAACGGAAATCTCTCCTACGCCATAAGTGACGCGAGTTGGCAAAAGCCAATCGAGCCTTCTGTATCCGTGCTGAGATTTCGTCACACATCAGGCCATCAGCACTGATGAGACTCCCCAGATAAGTGAAGCGGTCAACACGCTCAACTGCTACACTCCCTACCACTAGTTCAGGTGCCGATGCAACCCAATCTTGAAGCAACATTTTGCATTTCAACGGGGAGAATTGCATCACGAACATACTTGCACTTTTGCTTAGGGTGGTCAAAAGACTATGCATTTTGTCAGCGTCTTCACCAAGTACAACTATGTCATCAGCATGTTCTAGGTCAACAAATGAATCTCCTGGTAAAAGTTCAACTCCTGACGATTGAGACGAAGATAGCGTCATCTTCAAAAGCATGTCTATGACAAATTTGAATAAGTATGGAGAAAGTGGAAAACACTGATGAACGCCACTTGAAGTAATGAATTATGGTGACAGTGCGCCGTAAGCTCCAACTCGACCTGTAGTGTTCGAGTAGAATGGCTATATAAGGTTAACGTACTTCTTTGGTACGCCTTTCAATGACAGACACTGCCACAGAACCTCACGATTTATATAGTCAAATGCTTCTTTGAGATTTGGGAATGCAACTACTGTCTGTCAGTATTCTGGGACCTTTCGAAGTGTGAATATGTAGTGTGTACAGCCGCGACCAGGTCGAAAACCAGCCTGGTTTTCTCTAGTCTGTTCTTCACGAGCTATAGTTAGGCGTCTAATTATTATCGAGGTTAACATTTTAGACACTGTATTAGTTAAACTGATTCCTCTGTGATTGTCACAAGAGGACTTTTTTGCCTTCATATAGACTGGGACAATCACTGTTTTGAGACCAGTCGGATAGGATTACACACAGTTCCCAGATTCTACCTAACATCTCAGTCAATCTTACAGGTAAAACTGGACCACCACCCTTTAAAATCTCAGGAGTTAGCCTATCAGGACCTGCTGCTCTCCCACGCCTTAGATTTTCTATATCTTTCTGAACTTCATTAAGAGTCGGAGAACTTACATCAATTTTTAATTCAGGTTGACTGAGGATCGTGCGTAACCGAAGTGTGGCTGAAGGCCAGTTGAATAGATCGCTAAAGTGTCATGCACGTCAATCCAATTTCCTGGACTGAGAATGAAGAATAAGCCCACTCTTTTCCGAGTGCATCATTGCAAACGACTGAGTCATGTTATTCAAAATCTATGATAACTACATGGACCATAATCAGATATTCCAAGCCCGTTAACATGACATAGTTCAGTCAGTCAGTTGCAACGTAGAACTTCGCAAGTCGCCATACCACATCAGCAAAGAGATATAATTGTCAATTCAAATCCAATAGTGGGAGAGGTAGTAAAAGTATTAGGAGTAATCGGAGAGGTTAGGATTAGAAGATATTATTCAAGAAGTATGATTTAACCTATAAATGTTAGTGTACTTCTTTGGCGCGTCTTTTAATGACAGATACTGCCACAGAATCTCGTGAATAGCAGTCAAACGCTACCTTAGGGTCAAGGAATAAAGCTGTTGTTGGATGTCGGAAAGTGTATCTATGTTCTAGAACCTGTATTTTTTCAGTGTTCCCAATGAACAGAACTATACCATGTGTGTACTTCAAGTCATGTGAATCTATTGGTAGGAGATCAAGCACTGGAAAGTTAGATGAGTGTTATCTATTAAAGAATGTCTAAGACAAGCATCTGGTGATGACATGGTATTGTAACCCAACAGTATAATATAATTTCGTAAATTAAGTCAGGGCATATGTACCGTAGTCGTAGCGAGATTTGAATCTGTTAGCAAACACTTACGGACAAATTAAACAGGACAGAATCAAAAATATGGGAACTCCAAGACAAAAGGAGAAAAACTTAAACAAGGATAGAATTAAATCTTATGTGAATGAAATGCTCGGAATTTAGAATGAATAGATTAACATTATTCTGATTGATTTGGAAATACACAGACCCCGGTCCCTAATCTTTGATTTTAGAAACTAAGCACATCTAGCCAAAAGCCTTAATTTTCTTACGTCACAGTCTAAAATGAATGACTTTATAGTCACTTTATTGGGTAACAACAAAGTCATTAACTGATTAAGGCAGGATATCTAGAGGTACACTTTGGCTCTGTTGATTATAAGAAAAATAAACACGTGAATAACACCAAATCTTGGAGTGAATACCCGTAATCCATCTATATACTTTATGCTTTATAACCCAGGAGTAGTTTAGCAAGAAAAACTGAACAATATACTTGTCCATGGACAGGAATTTAATCATCCATCGAATGTTATGAGTGGCGAAGGATGATAAAAAGTCAACATTTATTATGCATTCATGTTAGGATTCTGGTCAATAAGAACTTTTAGAGCTGATAAAAAAGGATCAACTAATCAACAAACTCTCCTTATAAAAGGGATGTGAAGGACCACAAAATAGAACCACTTCATCGAAAATTCAGACAGCAGAAAATTCCCCATTTAAACTGTAGGATTTGATGCACCTACAGATGGATTCCCTGATTAATTTGCTGTACTGTAACACAGAAGCTTAACAGGGCTATAGTTAAAACAGGTAACCACATACATAGTCAACAGTTATAATATCTCTAGGATGTTAACCGATACAATTAGTATAAAATAGTACTCAATGAAAAAGAGAACAATAAACACACACCAAACAGTAGTAGGGGTACAATAAAATGAATCAATAATAAAGGTTGTTGTGTTAATATAACCGATGCAATTTGTTTTGGTGACCCTTGCACTGATGTTTATGTATTTCAATAGATAATTTGAATAAGTAAATCTGATTAATCGTATCGCCAGCAATGGGTGATTATTATCTTTGCCTGCTACGTGAAAGACCAGGGTTCCAATCCCGATCGAGAGGTTGACTTTACCCCTAAATACCCTAGTACGGCCAAGAGAGGGGAGGGCTGGCTCTCATCATTTGGATTGCGAAATTTCGTAAAATAGTTCAACTTACTGTTAGTATTGTCTCAACAGTAGAATCCGATATAGTTTTGTCACACGTTTCCTCGTCCAATACATTTAGTTTAAGTAAGCCATTCAGACAAGAAGATAAGTATTTACATGTCGTTCTGAAAAAAAAATTAAGGATACAACTCGGCTAAGTAGGAAAAAATGGAAGGCTAATTTACGGGGGGGGGGGGGGCAGAGTATCTTAACTATTAGGGTTTGTAAGAAGAACCAATATAGCTTAATCAATTATATTCACACTGTTTCTAGTACGAAGTTTACGAGCATTCTACGCAGTTACGCAAAGTGCATTGGTAACAGTTGGTTCAGTTGCCAAGAATGATTTCAAACTTACTGTTCGAAAAACGAATGTCACCTTAGTCTGCACGAAATAGCAGAAGCCGGGTGTTTGAGTTACGAGCTACGTCATACATTCTAATCAGACACTGATCACCATCTGTGCTGCGAACTTCTGTTTGAATACTTCCAGGAGAATTATAGAATCCATAGTAGTCTGGACGTTAAGTAATTGATGAAACCTCTATTATTGTATTACTAACTGACTAATAACCATTCAAACTAGTTTTCCCAAAAAGTCTATATGCATTTATGGATAATAACAGCAAGACAGGTCGACCTGAATTACTTACTGACAGTTGCCAAAGGGACAGGTCGGTCGGTTGAATCTATACACTGATCGTACGATATCTGTATTAACAACGACAGGAGAATTTTCAACTTTCTTCCATAAACACTGAAGGTGGTGTTTCCTAAAACAAGAAAAATCATCCAAAAGCTTAATATACCCACATCACAAAACCCCTCGTTTATATTGCAGCCGTTACCAAGATGCGCAGTCTGGAGTCACCTCGTTGTCCGGTGATTTGCTGAAAAGTGTGTGTACGGTAATCTGCAATCGGACAAACAGAAATGTCTACGATATAGTAATCACACACAATTCACTTACATCTGGTGATAATGAAAACAATCAATGAAAATTAGAACTACTTTCTTGTATTTTCCTAAACAACCTAATAGACATTACTGGTCAAACAGTAAATAGGTGAGGGGTAAGGCCAAGGTCAAGTCGGCCTCCTCTTAGTTTATTCAACCTTGAGTGGGTTCGTTCAAAGCACACAACCCGCCTTTGAAATGCATGGTGTTAGTCTGCATGGTTTCATCGTTTTTGCAGTATTCTGTAGACTTTTGAAGCCTGAAATCTGATAAAACGTTCATTAAAACTATTTAAAGTTTAGTCTCTTCTTTTTATACTGCAAAATCAGATTTTTTGATCGGTCATCCACTGGAAATCTTCAGCCATTCACCTATTACTGAAGGCCGTATTAGATTCAACAAATAACTTAATGTCACTCATTATAATGGCATTTAATCCCATGGACGGTGTGTTTTTAAAGACTATAATTTTACAGGCGGAAAAATTTCCAGCACTGTTTATCAAGCTTCAGGTTAAAAGAATTTATCCGTTGAAATACGAGAATGATGTAGATGGTTTGTGTTGAGAGAACGTTACTTGCTTCGGGATTATCTCTAGAATGAATTTGTCAATCCGGATAATTCACAACGATCCGTGCAACATTTAATGACCCAAGGACCAGGAGATCATCATCATAAAAGAAAGAGAACTTATGACCACCTTTTGTAATCGCAATTTCAAGACGCATTAGAACGTGGAAGGTCACATAATGGTAAAGAAATCACCACTACTGGCATCAAAGCAATGAAAACCAGAATAGCCGTCAGTAAATGCATACTTTTAGATCTTCAAGTTCTGGTAGATGACAATGTCTCATGCATGTTACTACAAAGTGAAGAAATGAGGAAATACCGTACCAATAGTGGCAGCGCCTCATGAACCTGTTACTCCAGTTGTTATCAGATTGATTTGTACTTTAAATATCCAGAAATAGTCTATATCATTGTAAAAATACTAACATGCCGACACAAAGCTGTGCAGTTTCCATGTGAATTGTGCACTTTTCTGGAAAGTGACCCGATTCCTGTGGTGATGTTGCTCATAGTGTGAAGATCGGATTCAGGAGGCCTATTTTGCCCGGTAAGTAAAGAACAAGGCAACTGAAAGATAATAATTATAAAACTCTTATTTCATAGACTTAAACAATATCAAGGTATCATTAACTTGAAGGACAGACTTTCTGAGCTGAAGTCACTAGTAAAATAACGAATGGGCTATAAATCGTATGAATAGAGGAAATTCAGAAGAACCAGACTTTTAGCAATAATGTTGATTTAAAGAATATAATAATGTAGTAAATTGATCTGATGCTTTTGTGATATTTTGTTGATTATTTTTCTTTTTAAGTCTGTGGTTCAAGAAGTCATAAGTGAGCTCTTTTCCAGTATAATTGTCCAGGTCTGCTTGCAATGGGATTTCAAGGTAGGAAGGTAAAACCAGTGCAAGGTTACGGATATGAGTCGTAGACGAGTTTAACAAGGAAAAGTAACATCAATATCACTGATTAGTTGCATCCTGCTATGTCTTAAGGAGCTGTAAGTAATCAAAATGTTCTGCCTCACAGACGTGAGTGGATTGAGGTTTTCTCTGCACCGTCATGAATGCTGGTCAGATACACCACCCTACCTCCTTCTGTGATGTTAGGCCTACATTTTTGTAAGTAGGGTGGTGCTGAGATTAACTAAAATGCTTGATGCCACATTTGTTGTGGTTAAACGGTAGCTGCCATGTTTCACTCCAGGTAGTTAAGTTATCAAAATCAAACTGAATCCTGGATATATTTTCATCCAGATCTTCAGGCTTATTGGTACATACCATTTTCAGATCATAATAATAATAATAATTTATTCTCAAATAATCATCAGCATATAAGTATGCTCTTCCAAATCTTTTGGGATTACATATATCGTTTATGTACATAAGAAACAAGAGTGGACCTAATACACTTTTCTGGATAACTCCACTGGTTATTGGCAATCGTTGTATTTAACCATTCGTTAGCGCCTATTTAGGATTGAAGCAAATCATGAATATATTGGGTTACTGATTCTAAATTATTTCAGTTTAAGGAGAAGCCTTCTGTGTGGGACCTTATCAAAAGCCTTCTTAAAGTCATAGAAAAGGATGGACACTAGAAGCCCTTTGTCTTGTTTTTGGGTGATATCATTGAAATAATCTAGCAGTCATGTGTCACACGACCTAGACCTCAAGAACCCATGCTGTGAGGTCGATATCAGATTGTTGTCAAGTAGATGTAGTATTTACTCTACCTTAATTACTTCCTCCTTCCTCGTAGATACTAATGAAGTTATGTTTATGGATCGGTAATTTTCAACATTCGCTGTAGGCCCAGGTTTAATTGTGGGGATGATATGTGTAGTCTTCCACTTATTAGGGTAACACTGTACAGATTGACAGTGTAAATAGTTTACGAGTAGCATACAGGTCATTGCCTATTGACCATCGTGATGTCATTCTCCTGATAATAATTTACCTGGCTTCTGAGAAAAACAACAGTTAGTCCCCAGGAATATCAGTGCTGTTATTTAAGGTTTAGGAAGAAATGATGAAAAACAGAATAAAATGCAAGGGGCGAGAAGCAGAACAGAACGTATTCCTGTTTAAAGCGGAGTTATGGCCCAACAGATACTTTGAAAATAAAACACTGAAGATATGATTGCTTGGATCTTTATTTTTCTATATAAGACCACTTACTAAACAAATGAATTCACGTTGGTTGATGAAGATAACTCACTTGTAAGGCGACGGATGGATAACTGATTGTATAAAAGGAGGAAACTCAAGAAAATTAAATTGTTAGAAATTATGTATGTCTATAGAATATCATAAGGAAGGCACTGATTTGGTGCACTAGTGATCGTTCATTTACTATTTTTTATATCACCATTGCTTAAGAAATCCCGATCGAACTCCCTTTCAACTTAATCGCCTAGATCGGCTCGTAACAGGACTTCATGGTAGGAAGAGAAACCAGTTCAACGTTACAAATATGAGTTATAAATGTAATTGGTATGGAAGAATAAAATGAACATCACTGATTGGTTATCGACCCACCGTCGTATTTGCTGGTCAGATACACCACCCTTTCTCTTTTTGCGATGTTAAGCTCTCTTACTTTCGTGGTATGTGTAAATGTATGTTTTAGTCTAAGCTCTATTTTAGCACACCTTGTTGGAGAATGAATTAAAATCTCCATAGAAAGCAACTCCAGTGCTCCCTTAATGAACTCGAATGACTTAAAAATATGTTTTTAAGAAATTCGTCCTACTGAATACTGTTAGGATTCGTAATTCATCATTCCAGCAAATTATCAACCCATGACATATTACTTACTTTCCTGTTTCGTTCTTCTCGCACGTTAGTCAAATAAAGTACCTCGCATCGATAGAGCGAAGTGTTAATTTGATAATCTGATTCAGGTTCATTGCTACGGTAGCCAATCAAGTAGATACAACGTCTTAACTTATGGAAGGAAGGCACAAACGCTGTCAGCCCCACAAATTTGGAGGGAAGCGAGGTGTCAACAGCAGTCATGCACCCAAGTAACTCGGTAATCTGCATTTCTGATAGTCCGAATGTATAAAAACACGGCTACTCGTAGATGGACTGTGAGATCCAACGCTTGAATGTACAAAGTGGAAAGTGTCGGAACATTAATATCAACCTTAGCACAGCAAACACGAAAAAAATTTACAAAGCCATTCGAAAAAAGTGAATAAACACACGCTGAAACTCGTTTACAGATGAAAGTGAGGATTCCAACTGTCGGTGAGTTCACTGTGACCAAACCACGGCTTCTGGGTGGTAGGTAGTCGTCCCGTATCATGTGTGGTCAGAGAGCCAAAAATTCTAGATTCGGACTGATGTCTATAGCTTGTAGTTATCGTTGAATGACAGTCTAAGTTCGACAAAGTTCCTGACCACAATCTTAGCAGTAATATTCTTGATAGACACTGCTCCTGTGCACCGTATTAAACTTTCACATACTCTAGTAGGTTAGATTAGCCGCTTAAATCCTGTAACAGTCCCATCAAATCAAGGTGGGTTTGCTTGAAGCGAACGTCAGAAGACCGGCAAGTCCCTAAAGGGTATTCGTTATTCGTAAGTACCGAAGATTTCTGACAGCTCAACGTGCTCACTCACTTATGTCTTTGAATATACTAGGCCAGCGAAATTGGTTTGCTAACGGCTTGATGTTTACTCGAGCATCTGGATGAGAAAGTTTGTACAACTTATTGGAGATACTGTGTCTATAATGTCTCGGTAGCATATGTCTGTATCTATCTGTATATATGTCACAAAGAAAAAATTCCTCATTTCTTGTCATTCGCTTGATTGACACTCTAAAGGTGGTCGATGATAACCAATGCTGAATATCACCGTCTTCGTTTTGAAGCTGTGCGAGTTTAGAAATATCAGTTCCTCGGAAGATGTCTAAGTAAGTAATACGAGAGATATGTTGTACATTTGAAGTAACCCGAGAGATTTAGTACAGTATTTGGGACTCTCGAGGAGAATATGTAAAGTCCTAATTTCATCCATCTAGGAATAAATAAGACATGTTTTTGAATAATGTTCATTCTTATTTCCTAACTTATGTCTATCTGATGTACTGAAGGTTGAGGAATTTCACTCGCAAAATGCTTAAAAATAACTCACTTATTGCCTATCCCACCCGATATCATGAACTTGTACGTGAACCCCTATAGTAAAGAAGTCTTAAGTCTAACCTGATCCTTAACTTCAAGCTCCTGCTCAAGCTCACATACTCCTCTTGTAGTGCAGTCCTTATCCTAAGCCCATGTATACACGACCTTTGAGATAAAGTATCTTCGGACAAACTTGAGAAGTATAAAACAAAAACTCCAGAAAACTTCACTAATAATGCACTTATTTGGAACAGCCTTTCCTCAAAATTACTCACAGCAAATGGACTGTATGCTTTTGTAAAACCTCTTAAAGAAGCCCCCGGTTGCTGGGATTCCTCTGCATGTATGAACTCACTCGCACCATATTTTGACAGCAGTAGCTCTCTACACGTTTAAACTAAATTGAATTCAGAGCTGCATTTTATTTTATATTTCCCCTTCTCCGGAGTAGTATTCAATTCCTATGGTTGATCATAAATGTCTTCAATCTTTACTTAAAATAGACAGGTTATTCGCCGGGCAGATTCACACTATTCGACTAGCCGCCTGATAAGAACACAATCTGCTAGCCCTTCGATTCATTGCTCAGACATCACTGTTTATGGCCTAACCTCTGGCGATCGTGCATCCACATCCTGGAAAGCCATCACCAAGTTTGGATTGTACAAAACTTCGTCAACACCCATAATTTTGTGAGTTCCTTATTGCCTATCAACAGTTTCACCACTTCCACATGCACTCTACTGACATACCACTGATTCCATCTTGATATCCACTGCCCGATTTATAACTTCAATACTCCTACAGTTTCGTCGTTACGTCAGTAAACATCTTTCCGTCACTACATCCTGAATGCTCACAGTTTGTTTGAAAACTCGTAGCTTTCTTCATAAGGATTAACTGTACCGCATTGATGCCTATCCTATAGATCATAAGTTGTAACAGCCAGACAAGCTTGTAAAGTGAAATTTGTGGAAATAGCGTTTCTCAACCAGACGTGAAATTCAAAGCCTCCAGTCGAACATTAAATACTGTATTACAGTCATTTTAATTGAGCCCAAAGACGATAAAGAGGATGGGTGAAGTTACTGACCAGCAAACTTGGTAAGGGAGATGACTCCAATCTCTCACTGATTGTGGGACAGAACAGTTTGTTTGCCCCCGGCTTTTTTCACTGATGAAGTTTCTAATCAGTGAAAGTGAGGTTGCTCTTATAAACCTACTACTTCTGAGACTCATGTTTCCAACTGTATGCTGGGAGCGTTATTGTGCCAAGACAACCTGCAACGTGCTTATACGAGCATTTGCAGTATGACCTAGAGGATGACAGTTGATGGAAAAAAAGATCGACACTAAGCAATAAAATCATCAATGTTTTTCACAAACTGTACTCATCTTCCTGGACCTTCAGCTTCTATCTACGGACATCCAGCTACTTCCTGTCAGTTAAGTCCATAACTAACCCACTGAATCGTGATTCGGTCTAATTTATCTGTAAACTATCTCTGTTGCATGTGACCTGCCAATTGAAAGACATTATTATCCTATTATTTTAATGCGACTCATCATTTCATTCGTTTCAATAAGACACGCAATATTGGTCGGTATGTTTGTCCGTTTCATTTAATAGCTGTAATATTCTTATTTATTGTACTAATCCAATTGTTTTTACGTTTAGAAACCGATAAAGTTTAAAACCAAGTTGTACTTGTTCTGACTATGGCTTTCACATAGACCTTGTGCTCGCCAGTATCACGTTTACGGTAGTATGTCTGTAGGAAAAATTAAATCCTACATTTACTTCATCTTCTCTTCTACCCACCTTGACACACATCTAACACATTACTCTTCATTGCTGTACTGAATAGTTGGGCTATATTGCTACAATTTATTTGAACTTTAGTGGTGTACAATCTATTTGAAGGCTTAGTTTTTGGAAAATCCCTCCATGTATATATATTTGTGTTATGATATGACTGACTCTTTCTGCTGATATTTTGGTACTTTATTTGATTCCATTTTGAGATTTTATCATTATTTATTGTTATTATTTCTATGTCTTGTACTTACATTGAAGTTTTTATGTTTCCTTCTGAACTATACATATGTTGTTTAAATTCGATACTTAATATGGCTACAGCCAATTTTGGATTTGATACTCTGGCAGCAGCTCGTTGCAACTAACTGGAAGCACTTATTCTTCCAGTATCGGAACCTATTGTTGTGATTAAAAACCCGAAGTTGTAATATTGTTTTGGCACTTGTCTGTATTTCCCTTTTTGATTAAAAATAGAACCGTTATTTCCCAGATTTATCATTTTTGGACTTGGACTGGGCGAGACGCGTGTGAACCTACACCTTGCGGGTTAAAAGCGAACTGCAGGAGTAATTATTAACTTTACAGTTCAAAACAATATTTGGAGGAAGATCCTTTGGATTTCTTATCGTTTACTATTTCTAAACAATATTTGGAAGAGGGTCTTTTGGATATTTTACTGCCGACTAGTTCTTGACTATATCTGGAGAAAAGTCCTTTGGATATCTCATAGTCGACAATAATTGAAGAAGCGGAACCGGTGAAATTTAATATTTGGTCTTTGTTGTTTATTTTCCGTTGAATTTCAATTGCTATAATGAGTTGTCGTAAGAAGTCAAACACACAGAGTGATGGAGCCCATGAAGAATCGCGGAATGTAAGGCAAGTTCCTTATGATACTTCATGTTTAAAGGGTTCACTCTCTGCTAAGGATGATATTATGCTTAGTACTTATTGTCGTAAGTCATCATTAGAGGGTACTAAAGAACGAAGTTTGGACGAGAACTTTAAGGTATCTGGGAAAGATTTAATGTCTAGGACACCGGTAGTTGGCTTAGAACTGCCAAAGGCTGAACTATCTTACTTTGACGGCCGACACCGTGATTACTTTAGGTTCGTTAAGCAGTTCGAGATGTTTATAGAACCTAGAGTTATTGATGACAATCTGCGCCTATTATATTTAATCCATTACTGTAAGGGAAAGACAAGGGCTGCGATTGAGGGATGTCTTATGATGGAACCTCACGCAGGATATAAAAGGGTCAAGGCTACTTTAAAACAGCTTTTCGGACAATCGCACGTAATCGCTCGTGAAACTTTGGAAGACTTGTTTATATCTGGGAATGCTGACTATAACGATCCAGAGCAGTTTTCGAATTTAGCAATAAAGATGCAGAACGTGTCTATGACTCTGAAACAGTTAAATTGTACTGCTGAATTGAATTCGTTAGCAACATTAGCAAGGATAGTTAGGCTTCTACCTCATCGTATGCAAGTCCAGTGGGCAGAGCTGGGAATTAAATGGGACGAAGAGGATAGAGAGCCTACATTCAATGAATTGACTGACTTCATTTTGTCTCGTGCTAGGATAGCTAGTAGTAGATTTGGACGATTAGCTAATCGCACGAAAACAGGACATGATATGGAAGCGATTAGTCATCTGCGTGCGGGACATGGGAATTCTTCAAATGTGTTTGCACCTACCTCACGCCCGGAACTTAAGAGAGTTGTTAATTGTATTAGCAAGGTATATCCTCCTGAAGACCGAGCATGTAAGCTTTATGATTTAAAATCCCTTGATGTGTATCCTAGTGAGAAGTCGGTATCTGTAGCAGATAAGGTGGCCTTTTTGAGAATGGCAAAGAAGGAAAACGGCAGAAATGTTAGGAATCAAGATGGATCCGAGGTATGTTATGGTAAAAGTTTCCTAACTGCTGGAAATGCAAGGAATGGTGATTTGGATTCGAGCAAACAGAGGTTGATGAGTACTGTGAATATGAATAAGGATGAAAAAGGTTTGACTGTTCGAAACGAAGCTTGTTTTCAGAACCCTTTACTTAGTGTAAATTATCCGACACGACCTACAGCTGATCCTAGGATAGCAAGCGTAAACAGTGACACAGCACCTCATGTTGCTGCGCGATCAAGATGTCTGCCGGCTACTGTATCTAGTTCTATGGAGCATCATGATATTAAAGCGGAAGATAATAGCAGCTTAGCGCGTCCTACTGATGTTTGTTTGCGGTCAACGGATGGACGGTCGCATACTAGTCCAAGTAGTCATAGCAATATTGGTAGTAAAGTGAGTGGCAGCAGTGGTAACTTGGCTTTAATGCCTGCATGCCAACCAACCCGCAACTCTTCACTAGCTATGAATAGTCGGAACATCAATGTGGACAACAACAACAACGTCAAGGTTAAGGTGAAACCTCATGTGTCTATTAATAGTGTGATAGATGTGAATAATAAAGGTGATGGTAACGAAAGTGGAATCACTGCAAGTAGTGCAGTTTGTTCGGTTGCTGTTACTAATGTAGCTTCTTCGAGTACTTTAGATCAAGACGAAATTGGATGTTTGAGTGTGGAGAATGTAGGCGTCGGTGGCAATAGCGTCATCCATAGTGATGGCACTACTGAGAGGGCTAACAACATTCAGTTCCCTAGGTGCAATGAGGAGTCATCTAGCTTTCATGGACATGCTGTTGTGTTGAATATGCAACATGAGGAATCGAGCATGGAATTGTCCACGTGTCGCACTCCACCATCATTGACTCGTACTACAAGTATCGGGATGAGCACTACCAACAGTGATAAGACAGAAGAGGTTAAGTGCATTCCTAGTAAGGTAAGCAATGTTGATTGGGTAGAGTTGGACACCGTGCATGAGTCGAATGGATGTCATGGGAAGATGACTGCTACTTGTACAGCTGCGGCTACTAATGATAATAGTATTGATAATACTCCTGCGGATAATAGTGATCGAAGGACATCGAAAAACACTTATCGACATCGAAATGATCGTACATTGCACTCACATACTGCTACCCAAGGTGAGAAGCATAAGAAACGACATGATGCTACCATTACTAAGGAGCGTAAACTTCGCTCCCTTTCGGATGCTGTGACCAGCAATGGAGATAGTAGTCATCAGAATCGTAGTAGTGGTAGCAACATTGAAGAGACAGAAAGTGTGAGCAGTCCACCTATAGTGACTAGTCGATCTACTTCATCGAATGAACCCTCTAGTGTTTTGTTGTCATCGAACCCTGCCGCAAATGTTAGGTTGGTTGAAGATGCACAAGGTTGTGCAACTGTAACTGTTCCTACTCCGGTTGACTGTCAGTCGAGTGATGATGAGAAGGAAGTGTCTGATGGTAACAGTCAGTCTACAGTGTTGTATGATAACGATGCTATTGATATGCACATGTCTTGTGTCTCTGAAACGGAACATGAAGAACAACAAGTGAGTTCATCTGTTTCGAACTGCGATACTAATGCTGTTCTTTCATGTTGCGAGATGAGTTATACAACAAAGTAAGAGTTTCACTCTACGGATGCTAGTGTAGACAGAAACAACGTGACTTGTCTGACAGAACGGAATCATAATAACGATGATAATAATCTGGATGTCACTGATGTGACAAATGAGTTGTCAACGATGACGAATGCTGATCAAACCTCCTCTGTATCAGGAGATGGAGAGTTAAATATCGTTCCAATGTTATGCCACTTACAGTCTTCAGGAGACGAGGAAATATCAAAATTGGAGATCCCACCCTTGCATAGTATCTATGGGTCAAGAACTTCTGTTGATAAGTCAGCATCACGGACTTCATCGTGCCTGACGTTCGGAGCAAGTGGTGGTAGGTTAACGACTCATCCCCATGATGTGGAATGTAAATCCCGAATAGGATATGACCAGCCCTGCGACGTGTTGTGGGTTAGTTGGATGAAGTTTATACTGCCGTTAGGTCATGCTACCATAGATAGGGGGATCAAGAACCTCATGGAAAGGTTCAGGTACGCAGTTAGTTTGATAGGTCATATCCATGTTGGAGGGCGGGTAGGCGTAATGCTGTAAGTCCGACTCGTTTTTTCTGGTGTGGATTAGGGGATGAGAGTGAACCCTAAGTTGAAGCGTCAGAAGGGCTTGTTTTGCATGTAGGGATTTTGCGTGCCGGTGTAGAATCTGTTTTGAAGGTTCTGTTTTCGGGAAATCCCTACATGTATATATATTTGTGTTATGATATGACTGACTCTTTCTGCTGATATTTTGGTACTTTATTTAATAATAATAATAATATATTTATTCTCAAATAACTACGTTACAAGAGTCACGCCAGTTTACAGGCTAGATCAAATTGTCACAAATGCTTTCACAATTACTGTAAAGTTATAGCAGTTAAATTAAGTATAAGAGTCAGTTTCTGATTGCATATTTACACCATGTCACTGACAGAAAACGGTATTATACAGCCACATTTTCAATAGTAGAGTACAAATAAGGATTGAAGGTGCACCATAGGTTCTTTTGGCGATTTGCCGAGATCAGTAGTGAATTTGTTGGGAAAGGTCATATGGAACGCGCTTGATACGAGCTGTTATCCAGACAGTCATGTACATAGGGTGCATGTTCCCTAGAGTCGCCAAGGATTTCCCACCGTGAATGGGGTTCTGAAAAGGAGAAGAGAGAGAAAAAGGCTGCAATGTGGCAAGTGTATATATATAACCAAAGCACTACTTGACCTGTCATGTTGAAGTAGTCAATACAGTAGTAAGTCAAGATAAAATTCATACTGACCACTTAAATTAAAGTAAATTATGGGAATATAAGAAGAAGGAAGAGTTGCTGAGTGTCAAGTGGATAGAAGAGAAGTTCAAGTAAGAAGCTGGATTTATGTACGTTAAAATCGAAAGAGTAGAGTTTGTAAAAAGAAAACATTGATGATTAAAAGTTCTCACTGTCTAACTGTTTTTATTATTATTATTATTGAATGCCAACCTCTAAGTCATACTGTAAGCGCCTGAGTAAGAATGTTGCGGGTGTCTCGACAGAATAGCGACCTCAGCATAGTTTTGGAAACATGAACCACAGAAGTAATAAGCGTATAAGAGCAACCTCAGTGTTACTGATTATTCGTCTCATCAATCTAAAGAGCCGAAAGCAAACAAAATGTTCTGCCCCACAAATATGGGTTGTTTGAAGTTATCGCCCACACCATCAATGTTTGCTGGTCAGTAACTCCACCCTCCCTCCTTTTGTGTTGTTAGGCTCATGTTAAATGTTTTACAGAAGCTATTGAGTTCTACTTGATGTTCTATGTCTCGCATCCTGTTGAGAAGCACTATTTCTGCAAGTTCCTTTCACAAACTTGTCTGGCTGTTACAACTTATGAACTATTGGTTAGGCATCAATGCTATACAGTTAACAGTTATGGAGAAATAGTGAGAATTTTCAAACAAGATATAAGCATTTAGAATGTGGTGGGGAAGATGTACTTAACTAGCTAAGCAGGAGATATAAAGAGTATCGCGGTTAAAAGCGGAGCAATAGATAACACTAAGGGGCCAAGGTAAGTCAATAGCGTGTAAGTGAGAACAATATAATTGATAATAGGCAATGTGGAACTCACACAGTTGTAAGTGTTGATAAGATTGCGCCCAGGAGAGTAGAGTGCATTCTAATCAACCAGTTTACAGTTGAACAGTGTCGATCGACCCAATGAATAGAGTAACCTGTCTATTTCTATGTCTTGTACTTACATTGAAGTTTTTATGTTTCCTTCTGAACTATATATATGTTGTTTAAATTTGATACTCTAGCAGTAAAGGACTGGAAGCACTTTTTCTTCCGGCAACGGAACCTATTGTGGTATTTGCAAACTCGAAGGTGTAATATTGTTTAGGTAATTGTCTGAATTTCCCCCTTTGATTAAATATAGAACCGTTCTCTTCCAGAATTATCGTTTTTGGACTTAAACTGGGTGGGACGCGTATGAACCTACATCTTGCGGGTTAAAGGCGCACTGCAAGAGTAAATTATTAGATTTTACACCTGTTGTGCACCTTCCTTATTTGTACTCTACTATTGAAAATATGGCTGTATTATACTGTTTCTGTCAGTGACATGGTGTAAATATGCTCTCAGAAACTGACTCTTATACCTAATTTAACTGCAATAACTTTTACAGTAAATGTGAAAGCATTTGTGACGATTTGATCTAGCCTGCAAACTTGCGTGACTCATGTAACGTAGTTATTACAGCTATTATTTCTAAAAATTTAGTTCTTTCGAATTTCCTTTATTCATAAAGTTATTTCCCATTTTTTTACCTTACTAGTGACTTTTCTTCCCTAACTTACGTAGGTGCAGGTGTACAGTTAGTGTTCTACTATGGAAATATATGTTTGATTAATCTTTTCTTTGCTTTATAGAAAAATTATCTGCTGAGTGATGAGTCAGTTTTAAACAAGAATCATTTCTGTTCTGCTCCTCACTGCTTTCTCTCAATCTCTCTTTTTTAACACATCATCATACGCAGTAAATATTATTCTTGATATTCATGGGGACTTATAGTTGTTTTACTCAGAAGCCTGTAAAATTATTGTCTGGAGAATCCCATCAAGGAGATGAACACACTTACCTCACCAGTTCTAGTCATATATCGACCAGGATTTAACTTGCATTGGTCCTCAACCAGCAGTGGTTCGCCGCAACGCAACCGTCGTAACTCACTCTAACTACCGTACTGGACATTCCAGAGTCTGAAAAATTCTATGTGAAAACTTTTAACTATCTATAAGCAGTCAATGTATCTTTTGAAATATTTATGTAACTAAACAACTTTCTACCGAAAATATGCTTGCAATTTTAACATTTTGATCTTGCTTGTAAATTGGCATACCTCTTTTAACACGTTGTTTGAGAATAAATTATTATTATTGTTATTAAAAATGTGGCTGTATCAAACTTTTCATATCGCTGACATGGCATGAACTTGCTGTCAGAAACAGACTCTTTTTATTAGAATAACAAGGCAACCTTTTACAGAAAATACGGTAGCACTTGTAACAAGTTAATATAGCCTGTGAACTAGCAAGCCTTTTGTAACGCGCTGTTATTTAGGAATAAATATATCATTATTAAATTACAGAATCATGTTTTTAGTAGGTCTTTATCCATTTTTTCGTCAGCAGTGCAGTAGAGTGTGCAGGTGATGGTTAAAACAAACATGGATTTCAACGTAACCGACGTAACTGGCCCCAACCATTGCACTGTACATTTCAGATTGCTAAACATTATTTACAACTTAATCTAATTGACCAAACTATTACAGTAAATATCTTAGCGTTTGTAACAAATTGATCTCACCTGTAAACTGGCATGCCTTATGTAACACACTACTTTTTGAAATAAGTTGGTACTATTATTTTTATTATAACATTCAAAATAGAATAATATGAAATATAGTGCCTACACATTGTGAAAAGGTAAATGACCACTTTAGACATAATGTTTTAATTCTTTTTGGTGCATTCGATCAGCCCGTAACTTTCTTATTCATGGTTTTACATCCTCCTCCTCCTCCTAGAACCAACTTCCATTGGAATATCGATTCGAAAATATTAGGTAACAAAAAGATACCAGTTTAATGTTTCACCCTATTCCTTCAAAGTTCACTGATGTACACTGCTCAATAAGATTCGAGAAATATCCTACAGGTGGTTTATATTCATTAGTTTACCATCTGTCTTAAAAAGCTAAACGAACTCAGTCGGACCTGAAGAAATGCACGAATGTGTTTGTAAGACAGTTAAATACAAAAGGGACTGTACAATTACAAGCAGTACATAGTAATTTCCACACAAACTTTGCGGCAGACGAAATGTCACTGTAATCTGGAGGGAAATAAACACCGTGTAGATATCTGGTGGGCGAATGTGCATCAAAAACAGGATGGCACTCATAAACCCACTCATAACTTAATAAACCCTAAAGAGGTTGGACACATAACCACTCTTGGAGCCCATCTGAGGCTACTTCCGGGTCCCAGGCTCAGATAAAGGAGGAGGGTTGGGTATGGGATAGGCATTCCCATCCCATAAAAAACTAACTCGGTAGAAAAACCTTGATCAGAAAACAAAATTCAAACCATTTTAACTCTACCTCGAGAGTTAGGTCTTCTTTCGGAAGAGCTATGACGTCTCATGATGAAATCTGTGTTTTTTCGGAAGTCACGAGGCCGATCCCACTTCGAACAACCAGAGCAACCATTCTTTTACGGACATGGAATGTCCGAACATTGTGGAAGATCGGTAGACTATTCCAAGTTGCTGCAGAGATGAAAAGATACAACCTGAAGGTACTTGGAATCAGTGAAACGCATTGGATGCAGGTAGGGCAACTGAGACTAGCTTCAGGAGAGATTCTGTTGTAATCAGGTCATGAAGACGAAAAAGCCTCACATACACAAGGAGTCGCACTGACGCTGTCCAAACGAGGACAAAAGGCGCTGACAAGATGGGAATCTCATGGAACAAGGAGAGAGAACAAACCAGATTCCAGTGGGGGAGGAAATCAGGAGGGAGTAGTCTGAGTGGATAGGACACACATTGAGGAAAGCACCCAGCTGCCTCACAAGACAAGCCCTCACATGGAACCCTCAAGGTCAACGGGAAAGAGGAAGGCCAAGGAACAAATTACACCGGGAAACAGATAAAGACATGAGAAGAATGAACAAAAAATGGACAGAACTGGAAAGGGAAGCCCAGGACAGAGTTGATTGGAGGAAACTGGTCGGAGGCCTATGATCTACTGGGGCAACAGGCATAAGCAAGTAAAGAAAAACAAAACTCTACTGTATATCCTTTAACATTCATGCTACCTCAAATCCATAGTCTAGCTAAGTCCTTGATGCTTCTTTATTCTGACAACGTTGAAAGTTTGCGAGAAATAAGAGGGATGCAGTTGCATGTATACTCCAGCCCGACCTAGACATTACAATTAGCTGGTGTAAAACGTTGTCAATGCGCATCAACTCAACCAAGTGTGCTTACATGTATTTTGTGGATATAAAGTGAAACAGCTATAACAATGAGGAAGCGTCGATATCATTAATCCTATATCATCATGGCCTAGGGGTAATACGCCGAAGCAATATTGGGTACGCACAACCTTAATGCGTTGTAAGTCTCTAAACTCCAAGATGAGAAATTCCGTCAAAAAGGCAACTGAGGTACCTTGGAAAAATACGGAAGTAATCTACAACTGGAACTCCAGGATTTCTAAGTTTAACGTTTAGAGTTCGTCTAGAAAAGTAAGATATCTTTACGCTCTTATCGCACATTATTAGGTAGTCTGAGTTTGATTACTATAAAAGAACAAACACAAGCTTTCGGCCTTCTGCCCTCATTATACATGTCTGAATGTGATTTGGTATGTTGAACCAATCGAAATTTAGGAAGCTTTCTCAACGAATATGTTATTAGTGTCACATATTAATAGCGCCGATTTCAGAAGTCCTGGAATGCAATCAGAAAATCGAATTTATTTCATGGACTATGAGTTCTTTTTGGACCATTCATGTATTAGTTTTTGACACCTTGATCTATGTTTTACTGCGTCAATATTCGCACAACTGCCATACTGGGGTTCTGGCGGTTTGTAGCGCAATGCAGGTTGATTACAAACACCTTGAGGTATGGCTTCATGGAAAATTAAAACCTCTGTAAGTCATCTCTCCACTTTAGTCATATGTGTGGTAAATATGATTTCGTTCGCCATTCCTGATTTTAGTTGGGGCGTTTGGTCATGCTATTAGGCAGGTACAAGATTGACCATTTGAGGGAATGCTGTCAAGCATTCGGCTTCCTACAGGTACATCTGCGGTTCGAAACCCGCCCCACCGGTTCTGGTTTAAGCAGCCGAAAGTCAATTATCAACCCTTTAGGGTGCTTTGCACAGCTTAGTTCGAAATATGTTATTAATAGTCAAGTTGAATTAACTAATTATCAGTTGGCTGCAAAATTATCCATTGTTGGCTTATTTTCTAAGTTGAAGGTTAGGTTACTGAAAAATGTTTTTTGAGCACTTATTAAGTCAGTTTAAGAATCCAGGAAAACTTGGCAGGTTCTCCTATTACGGTCAACAATCATTTGGTCAGTCGCTTTCTGTCGTAATGGTCGGTGTTGATTCCTACGATGAGTCAGCAACTGATTTCTTCTGCCCTTTTCTTGCGTGCTTTCATCTCACTAAATTGGCAACTTTTGCGTATTAGTCTGCTGCAACGTATAACTTCGTACGTACGTCCATCATTCTAGGTTGCCATATCTCATTCGCTCAGAGACGCAGTTGTCGATTTAAATCCCATAGTAGTAGAGATAGTAGGAAGATTAGCGTTAATCATTTCTTAGCCACTCATAAACAAATCACAGGGCAATGGATTAGTACCTGTTCCATTTTATTTTAGTTTTAGCTCTACCAAAAAGAATTGTTTTGACACGTGTTGAAACTTCTAACTTTATATTTGGATGCCAGTTATTCTGAGTTACAGTTATTCTTCAACGGTAAGAATGCTACCCATATTAACGTCTTCTAAACACTTTCTGAAACGTTTCTCTTCTCTGTCTGTTGTTACTTGTTCTTCGTTACAAATCTTTCCAAAGAGAACGCGAAACATCTTTGCAGTTACCTCTATGCCTGGCTTAAGTGCTTCAGTTGGTGTGCTGTCTGATCTTGTTGCTCTCCATTTTCGGTTTCCTGATGTACTTGCTAATCTCTTGTTGGTGGCATGTTGTTTACTGCTTCCATGTTCAGTGGATTCAGTGGAGCTGTCCGATTCGAGAACTCTTCGAACTACTGTGCTCACCTGTTTCGCGGTTTTTAAACCTCAGTGGTTAGTTTGCCTTTGTTCCTGGCTGATCGCTCTGGTTTAGTATTTCCCTGCAAGCTTTTGCAGCTTCTCCGCTGTTGTCATTTCTTGTACATGTTTCCAGACGAGATCGGTCTGTTTTACTGCAATGCAATCAGGTAAACTCATTTAGCTTTGCGTGTGTTTGTGGAAGAAAATGCTACTACCTATGACCACGTTTTTGCAGAAAGCTTTCAAAACTGTGCCAAAAATTTAGGCAATCTGATGTAATAGTGACGTGTGACTAATGCTTAAGTAGGTGGACTAAGCGATAGTGAAAAGCACTTGGGTGTCACAGCTCAAAGAACGAATAAAGATGACCGTCTTCTGTAGCTACGCTCAGATGACAGTCTATTTCTAGCAGATACTAAGTTTAAGCTCATGGACAAACATCTTTTGACATGGCAACCCCCAAAGTCATCCCACCGTTGGACCCAACAAGGTTACATTGCTACCAGCCATTGATGGAGAGGCTCTATAGAAGACTCGCTCACTCCGAAGCATATATTTAGATTCGGATCATGCTCTAGTGAGAGCGCATATTTGGCTGCGCCTTACTGAACGTGGGAAAGACACTACGAGAAAATCCCTAAGTTTTATATTGAATGATAGCGTAGCTCAGAAAATATTTCAGGAACAACTAGAAAAACAGTTGGTTGGCCATGTAAGTGATGCAGACCCTGAGGCAGCTTCCAATGATAACCAGAAAGCTGTGAAAACATGGGTGATATCTGCTAGTAAGGTAAACCACATGGTTAAGGAGAAGCAGTGAAAACTCATCCCATCTGGCTCCAAACATAATAAAGAGTAGAGTGAGCTGAAGCCCAGGCTGATAAAAAGCCTACTCAATAATCGCGAACAGTGGTGGGTAGCTAGAGAGATGGAAAGGGCTGCGATGATAGGTAACAACAGACGACTGTTCAGACTTATCAAGGCAACTGGTATTGGGAATTCGTTAGTGAGACTTTTGGAAAAGGCTGGTCTTATTATTCATTCCCAATCCAGGAGATTGGATCGAAGGGCATAACACTTGAGGGATCCACCTACCAGGAGGTACGCTCGTTGACTTAGAGTATATCGATGTTATTGTTCTGTTTGGTGAAAATGCAGGATCTTCTGACTACTCTAAGCAATAATGCAAGCATGGTTAGAGACCTTGAATGATATGTCTCAAAATCGTTTGCAATGGTGCAGGTGCATCTGTTCTTCGTCTTCTCTCAAATTCTAATCTTCTGAATACCTTATCACCTCTATCTTTCTCTCTTCAAGTTTATTTCACTGGATTATACTTCTTGAATAATATCTTCGAACCCTAATCTTCTCCATTACCGCTTATACTTCTACTACATCCACCACTATGGGATTTGAATGGACATTTTAATCACTCTATGTAAATGTGGCATAGCAACCTGAACGGATGTACGTGCGTACGAAGTCCTATGTTGTAGCCAACTGACTATTATGTTACAATCCTACCGCTCATTAACTGTCAGTCAGTCAATCAGATGCAACGTAGAACTTCGTATGTAAGTACATCAGTCCATGTTGCCGTACCACATCAGCACAGAGATATAATTGTCAATTCAAATCCAATAGTAGAAGAGGTAGTAAAGGTATTGGAATTAAACACCAATGCAGCATGACATATCACAACAAAACATGTGTGTTAGACCTTGTTGAGCAAGATTTCTAATAAGTTTTAGGGTTGACATCTGAGCGAATCTCAGTGCGAGATCGTTTACCGAAGCAATTAACCGGTACTTACTTGCAAATGCGTAGCATATGGTGAGGTTCAAGCAAAAACCTATTAGGATATCTGTGTATTTCTTGTAATTAGAATACGGGGTTACGTAGTATTCGAAGAAAAATGCTGTGTTATTCCTGGAAATTGTCAGTAACTTGAGTGAGCTCCAGTCAACATCATTCACGCTGTTAGTAAACAAAGACAAAATCACAAACCATTTCACATATTGTTTGTTCTCATCGTTTTATACGCATCGGTTATTAAAGAATCATTAAACCATTCTATTTCTGTAGTTGTGTTAACGCGAATACATTACTTCAGATGGATAGTAACTTTCGATATATCTCATCAGGGATTCGTTGTGGCAAAAATTTGGTTCGCCATTATGGTCTTGCGGACAGCTAACTAATCGGGAAATCCCACTTTGTCATATCAAATCTGACCCAGCTAAATAAAATTTCTACTTTGTTAGAAAAACTGATTCAATTGATAAATTAATACTTCAAAGTAATGACTTGATACCATGCTTACCGAAATAATATACTACTTAGTTGAAACCAAGATTGATGACTTTGAAACTCAGTCCTTATATCGTTTCTAGATAATTTAAATATTCCAGAAAATAAGCGAAACTATACTGTGGTATAGAACGAAAGTGATTTTTATTTGGATTCTTGATGAATCAAGTATAAATTCCTCATATCCTTTTTCCACTATTAAACACAATTATACTATAAATAGTGTATCTAGTAGTTTGTGCACTTTTATTTTTAAAATTATCCCTGTGACTTTTGAACATTTTAGATGTGTCGCAGATCCCATCCCACTCTCCCAGTATGTGATAGCTCTGATAAAAAAAGACAAGGGCGAACAGGAGCTAAGAGAAATATGCATTGACCAGTTAGAAGTATTCTTGCAAGAAAACACGGCAAAGTTTGTAGAAGATTTATTCGCCGTGCTTAAATCAAGAACATATGTTCCTTGTGAAACGTTGAAAGCAACTCAGAAATCTTCAGATAACTCTGGCCCAAAAGATTTGCCTTCTGGAAAAAACTCCTATGGAAACAATTCTTTCGATAATGCATCAAAAGACAGGAAGAGACATTTGACTAACAGTAGCACTAACGTTTCAAATACCGTGGATGGTTCTGCTCCCAAGCAGAAACGAAAACGTTCTCCGGAGACCAAAGCAAAAAGAATCTCGTCAGGAAGTCGTTCACACAGTCCCCATTCCCCAGGACGACCGATAAATAGTACAGTTGCAACTATTAGGCAACATGGAAAGGAATTTGAACCACATAGCGATCCCTGCAATCGTGGGCGTCATAACAATCACTCAGAAGAGTCCAGCATAAAAACAGTGGATGATCATATCAGACTTAATTCATCAGGTTTGTATTTAACTGTTTTTAAATATGTTTATTAACACTGTCGTCAATGCGACTATTTATTTATTCAGGTAGTAAGTTATTTAAAGGTGCGAATTCCATTTTCGTTTTAGGTAGTTCAAATGAAGGAGTTACTCATTCAAGTACAAATTCATCGCGTCGAAATAAGTATCGTGATTCGGAATCACATAAGCGTAACAGTCGAGAGCGTATCCACTCACGTGATAAAGATGATCACAGCAATCGTTCATGTAAACCTTTTACGAAATCTGCTGCTGATTACAGAGTAGTTGATGAAAGGTGTCGGAGTGTAAGAAACCGTCGCTGTCGTGACTTTGAAGAGCGTGGTTTTTGTGTATATGGAGACAGATGTCAGTATGATCACGGCCCGAATGCCCTGGTAATTTCCTCTGCTAAATCCGCTGTGTCTGCCATCGCTCATCTTACAAACCCTTTGTTAGATACTAATACACTATCAAATAATACTGGGGATTCATCAGTGAATATTGGAAGAGAGGCATCTAAATCCAGTACACTTCAGCCACAGTCTTTTGTAGCAGCTGTTATATCTGGACAGACTGACCTTAGCGATTTAAATCAACATATTGGTACTTCTCTTATTCCTGTTTACCACCCGACTCCAAGTACGTCTGTTTATTGCTTACTGTGGTGTTTAACTTAAGGCCTAAAGTTTACCACTAGTAAATTTCTTGAATGACGTAATAAAGTTTTGGTGCTAACAAATAGTTGTAACAGTGATTTGTGTGTTAGTGAGATACCTAGTTTACTTAGTGCAGAAGGCCAATATGTGGCAAAAGTCATTTTTTGGATTCTATTGATACTCATTACGACTGGTTAAAGTCATTATTCCAACTGCATACGTAGAACGTATTCATTTTAAAGCATTAATTCTTTGTTACCAATTAGTTTAGAATTTTTTTTTACAAAGATTAAAGTCTTTGACATGAAAACAAACTAGTGCCTATTGATTGAATATGTTCCCTTAATAAGTTGAAATAAAAGTAAAATTTTTTTTTCTTCCATTTATACGGTTATAATGCATAATTGTTATCATTCAGTCTTTTGTAATCCATTCAAGGTAAATTATTCAGTAGATCAGCAATGTAAGGAAACTACTTTCTTTCTGTGTACATAAAACGAGATAGTTCAATAAGTGTAGGAAATATTTTGATTCAAAAATCAAATTCATGTTATCAAGATTTATTTTAAATGTTACCTATTAATTGTCATGAATTGGACTTGAAAACATAATGGATTAGTTTTTAAAAATTCGGTTTATTGTCACTTCACTAAGGGTTTTATATAACATTTCATGTTTGTTTATCAGTTTTTATTTTATGTAACGTCAGATGCAGAGCTTAATTTCCGATTATTTAAAGATCTTAGTTTCTCCGCACTGTTTCGATTAAGCACCATATATTTTGTGTTTTCAATTATTTTTATACATATATGAAAGTGTAAATGTATCCCAAAACTGTCCTTCTCTGTTAACTTTTTAGTTTGAAAAATGAATTTTATTCAGTTGTGCAATTACGCTCATTGATTTTAAAATTTTAATATTGATTACTGCGCTGATTAAACAGCATAGAGTTGAAAAAATTCCATTACCACGAAAATAATATTGTTGTATGCAATTAAGACGATTTGTTTTGTGCAGATCATTGTGGTACACTTTACAAAACTGGCGGTTTAACAATTAGATACAACTATGGCCCAAATACTTGACGAAAAATAAAACAAAATCATTTGTGAAATTTCCACATCTATTCATATAGAGAGCACAACAACTTGCAAACATTTCAATCACGTTACCGTTTCGAATGATATTGTAAATATCCAGTTTCGTAGCACTTAGATTTGTTAGTTCGATTTGTTAGTTAATTAGTCCATTACAGCCTAACGGTTGTTGAAAAAAATACAATATCCTGTAGGTTTTCGTCACTATGAACCAATTTATCCGAAATAGCTCAAAATGCGGTCATATGCTCTAGACAACAGTAACAAAAACCTTGAAACGACGTACATATTAATTTCGTTTCAGTTTCAAGGTCAATGGTTTTCAAGTTTGATAAAGTTTATTAGTTTCTATCACACAAGTTCCTTTGTTAGCTGTTATCTATCAATCGCTTACTGTGTTTTAGGAAATAAGCTTCAAGAGTTATCAAACTTCATTTTATGTTGACAGTATATCGATCGCTTATTGTTGTTTATCTGAGCCAGATAGCAACAGTTTATTGGAAGATATGATCAACATAAATGCGCCTGTCAGCATATGATTGTAGAGATTGTTGAGTTTCATTGAAATCATGAACTGATCAATGTTAGACCACCATTAGAAACCTGGAAGCACTTGATGGCCGTTTCGTTCTACTATAATGGATCTCATACTAAGACGAAACTGCCGACCAGTGGTTCCAGGTTTCTAATGGTGGTCTAACATTGATCAGTTCATGATTTCATTGAAACTCAACAATCTCTATAACCGTATACTAACAAGCATGTTTTTAGAAGATTTCAAAACTACGTGAATAACATTTACGTTCATATATATACAGTATGACTTCTGTTCATAATTTTCAACATCTAGAAGCTTCTCTACATAGATATCTTCAGAATCATATAATGAGTAGTAATAGACATATTGATTGTTTTATAATCTTGATTTATCAATCATTACCTGATAAATAGCTCCTATTCATACTATACTGGTTGGATATTTTGTATGTTAATGACAGCTTGAACTCCTTAATATATTGTCCCGTTAGGTAACCAACCAGTGGTTCTGAAATCTATCCGATTGAAACTTCAAAATCGTATGCATGGACAAATTGTTTATTCGACCACACCTATCGTTCCTGTACTTTACCTGTCAATTGAGCCGTCCTAATGCAAACCTGTTTAATCTGATATATCGGAAAATACGAAGAACATTATCAGGCAAACCCGTTGTTCTATTACTGTATCAGTAGTTATAAAGACATGGGAAATAGGAGTTGTATTATTTTCATTTTTGTCCTTACCGATGAAATCAACGATTGTCAGAATTGGATCTGTTCGAAATATTTCCATGCCTCCAGTTAATTACTAATTGTAAATTTTGTGCATAACCGTTTTTATCTTCATTAATTTGTCTTTCCTATTTAGTTAATCAACCAGATAACCAAATGCTAATGACCTATGGTGTTGATCAGTCAGCTAATACCGGATTACTTCCCCAGATTCATAACTCTTCTGTTTTGTACAACAAATCAAACTGGAAACATCCCCGTCTACAAAATAACGTACAACAACGTCCTAATAATTTTCGCGTATTTAACAACGTCAATACCATTAGTCGAAATATAGTTCCTTTGCCGATGATTGAAAACACCAACAGTAAAGATCAATCTGAAGTCAATGCAGCTCCCCCTGCTTACGAACCAGATCGACCACATTTATCCATGATTTCTACGTCCGAGCCCAATATTCCTCAGCCTTGCGATATTTCGGATGTAGAAAATAATGCCTCTACCCCACCATTGTCATATAAACCTAGCCCTATCACTGAACAAATCAGCTCATATGCTGTGGTTCCAAAAGCATCAGGAGTTACAGATCTTTCATTGGACATCACTTCTCGAGCTATTGATCCTCGTACTACTCTGTATATCGATCGTCTTCCATGGAAACTTAATGATGCAGATAAGATTCGTGAACATTTTGCTCAGTTTGGTCATGTCATAAATGTCATTGCTAGATACAAAGGAATGGTAGGCGCCGCACTGGTTCAGTTTTCTTCATCTGATGAAGCCGAAAAAGCCTATCGAAGCCCCATCCCTATGTTTTCTAATAGGTTCATTCGAATCTATACCCGTTTTCCAGAAAACTTCAAGCATAATGCACGAAATATGACTGGTCGTTTCTGTCGTCCAAAGGTTAGATTTTATAGTATATTAGGTTAAATTGAGAATTTTAGAAGTAGAATTCGTAATTTTTTAGAGTATCGTGTGGTATGCATGATTTCTGCATGCGTTAACAATAATGACAAAGAGTTTCATGCAGTTTACTACTTCGTCTATAAAAATTTAATTTTAATTCAAATTATTCAATGAATGTTTTCATTAAAGTCACTTTTTGAGTACGCTTTGTATTCTTTCTTTGGTGTAAAACATTACAATCAATAATTTGGAGATATGCACAGGTTGTAGTTGTTCAACTGTTTTTGTATTTGCAATATGGTTAAGGTATTTGTTGTCATTTATTTGCGCAACTAAATAATCACTTACAAGTTCATGTGCTCGACTTTAAGACATCGAAAATAATACTAACCAGTTTATAATACGAACACTATCTGGATCTCAAGTCTGCGAATCAATGGTTGAAGCCTATTACTTTCACCATCATGTTGTCTCAGATATTTCAACCATCAAACTGCCTACTTAAGTCGTAAACCTCCACTCATTAAACTGGTTGAAATAGTTGTTTTACATACTCGGTCACTGTCATCTACTACTCAGATGCAAATAATCTTGATTTTTATCAGTTGAGTTATGATGTTATTTTCTTATATGTTGTCATTTTCGTTCATGTCATCCTTAACCTTTCCTGTCTCAAGGTGGCCATAATACTGTTTAGCATATTTGTGGTTCATTGTTACCAGATTCTATTAAAAAACGGATTTTCATTATTTCTTGGTGATACTTAGGTTAAACTTTTCATACTAGGTAGGTATGATAAATCAAATGATGAGGTATTGGATTTTTGTTGACTATCGTACTGAGCCTTCTGGGTAGATCTTGGCTGGAGTGATACGGAGTGAAGCATTTGAGTATGTCGACCGCCTCACTTATTTTGGCAATCTCGTCAGTGTTGATGGCCTGGTATGTGACGAAATGTCAGTACGGATACAGAAGGCTCCATTGGCTTTTGCCAACTTCCGTCACTTATGGCGTAGGCGAGATATCCGTCTGCTAACCAAAGGACGAGTTCACTGCGAAGCTTTTCTCTCCGTCCTACTTTATGTCTGTGAAACATGGCCGGTAAGGGTAGAAGACATTCGTAGGCTGCTTGTTTTCGAACATAGGTGTCGCCGAAGCATTGCTCGTGTATCCTGGGACGACCAAGTAAGCAATGCTGTCGTTAGGAAACGAGTTCTAGGTAAGGATGGCAAATCAATAGATGAAGCATTGTAACTTCAATAGTTCAGGTGGTCGGGACATGTGTTACGTATGCCTAACCACCGACTGTCTTGACGAGCGATGGTGCCTGGTGTAGGAGTAGGTTGGAAGAAAGCTACGGGCAACCAAACCGAAACACGGCACAAATCCATGAAGTCACTGACAAGTGGACTGAGTCATGTTCGTAGGTGTAGACTATCAGGTTGGTGTTAGTGAGATGATGGTAATCGATGGTTAGAGACCCAGAATGACATGGCTAAAATCGTTTGCAATGGTGCAGGTGCATCCGTTCTTAGTCTTCTCCCAAGTTCTGATCTTCTGAATTCCTGATCACCTCTATCTTTCTCTCTTCAAGTTTATTTCACTGGATTATACTTCTTGAATAATATCTTCGAACCCTAATCTTCTCCATTACCGCTTATACTTCTACTACATCCACCACTATGGGATTTGAATGGACATTTTAATCACTCTATGCAAATGTGGCATAGCAACCTGAATGGATGTACGTGCGTACGAAGTCCTATGTTGTAACTGACTGAGTGACTAGGCTGGAGTTCGCGCAATTTTCTTAACTAATAATTAGGAATCCTAATTAATTTGCTTGAAGATCGTTTACAATGGCGCAGATGCATCCACTCTTTGTCTTTCCTTAGATTTTAAGTTTCTAAATTCCTCATACATTGAAAATTTATTATTCCACTAGTTTATATTTCCTTGAATTGTATCGTAAGACCCTAGTCATTCATATAGTCAATAATACCGTTAACACCTGTCTTACTTTGAGCTTTGCTCTGAAAATTTCATGTTGTTGTCTTAATGGAGTTAGAAAACTTTGACCGATATACGCATACTAAGTTCTACGTTGCATTTGGTGGACTGAATAAGGTGGGTAGTTTAAATTACGAAACAACATTTTAAAGTGAATTTTTTTATTTGTTAAAGTCATCGAGTAAGTTATAATGTGACTATTTTTCTGAATCCTAAAAGATACATGTAACTCCCATGAACTTAATAATTTTGAGTCTTTTTTGTGGAGTTTGATTTATTAGAGTTACTCCACTCACTGTGGATCGATGGTTCAATGATTAAGCCACTCAACTAAATTGCAAGTCTAGACCCCGTTCCACCTACTCCTTTTTAACCACCCGAGTGGAATCACTCGTCCAGAACCAAGTGCAATAAATAACCTATATTTGGTTGAATAACTTCACTCACTGGTTACATAGTCTTGTTTTAACTTTGGTTATATTTGCTGTTCATCATTTTGTTGCACTTAAAAAAAGCTTTGTTGACAAGCTCCAAATCACACTGCTTGAACGTTTACTTACAACGTTTTGAAAAAAATAATTTGTACCTAGTGTTTACAATAAATCCTCTTGTATAATCGACGTATTTTTTAAACTTATATTACAGAGCATACTGGATCGTTTAGGAACACGACCTATTCCTGGAAATAATAAGATTAATTCATATTCATGGATGAGTATGACCAATGATTGTATAGAAAATCAAGTTCCTGATAGCATTCATCCTGATGACACGCTCCAAAAAGGTAGCAGATCTCGTTGGCGTTTAGAACGCAATCCAACTAGTGGGGATGCATTGTTATCTGGTGATGAAGAAGACGACCTAATAGATGAAAATCTGACTATCGATGATCATGAACGAAATTCCTCCACTTTGGTCAGAGAAAGTAGTAAAGCTGTAACTCAAAGAATCGATAAAGTAGTGGATAGCTATACTAATCTCAATGTTGATCAAGAGTCCTTATTGTATACTTGTAATCCTGTAAGTCTAAGATGGATGATATTCTTTAGATTACTAATCAGTCGATATGTTGCTCCATAGTAAATAATTGCAAATTTTAATTAAAATGATTATGTAAAAATGATTTTCGAATATTTTATTTGATTCCTTATTTGTACATTATTGATAGTTCTGTTAGTTCAACTCGGTAACTTAGTCTCATTTAAAGTGTATAGTGAATGTCTAAAACTTTTGATCAGTTCAGTTGGTTGCGAAAAATTATGGATAAACAAACATTGGAAATATGTTATAGTTAACATGTAGAAATATATTGCTCATCAAATGTACGAGACAGCATCGCTTATATCTATGTTTTATTATTTTGTGTTATTATTTATCTTTTCTGGCTAAAAAACGTAATTCAATTCCAAGTGGATTTCGTCGAATTATATTTCAAGCCTCAGCTTATCAGTATTAATCATGAGACATTGGATAAGCAGTTTCTAGGATCTTTTATGGCTACCAAAACGCCCTGATATGGCCAAGACTGTGGAGACTTCGCTCTATCAATGTTCGCAAATGACCACACGTTTATCGCCACTGTCAGGAAAGTCCTACTCACTTCCTCATCGTAGCGAGGGTGTTGTTTACGAAATTGAGCGAACGAATGCCAGAGTCTGGCCCCTTAACTGGGTCAGTGGATACGGAGGATCCACCTAGTGACGTTGGAAAACCCTCATTCCGAACGAATCGTTCACGTGAGCTCCAGGATCCTGATAGAACGAATGATGTATGAACCTGTTGTTGATCACCGGCTACCAAAGGATTGAATCTCGTTACGCCGTCCCACTACATTGTGGATTAAACTTATGGTTCGAAGGCTTAGGGAGTGATTCCCTATGAAAACCATCTGCTTTGATTTAGACGTTCCGGGAGTATCCTAGCCCACTCACAAATTCAATAATTGGCGTGGCGCATAAATATTTAAGTTTTGCTTTGTTCTAATCTTTATATGTTTGAATAGTAATTTTTGACTGTATTGTGAACAGATTTCTTTACCGAAATGTTTTTGACAATGTTCATCTTCATTTCGATGGATAGAACACATATATTGATAGTTAGGATTGCAATTGATCAGTCTCATTTGGCATATGTGCATCCTGTGCAGATTACCACGATATATCCATTAGGTCACAAGCATTATTAACAAAAATGGATAATGGCTAATAGTGGAATCTTAAAAGATCGTTTCGCCCTATTTGGGACTCATCAGCTGGATGTGCTTGCATCCTAAAGTTGTTCATCTACTGCTTTAAACAAAAATCTTTTGATTTTATGACCACTTTGTAAATATTCCATCTCAACTAGTAGTTTATATCTGGAACAGATTGCTGTAGTTATGTAAAGTAGAGCTAAATCCGTTTACGTCTTCTGTTAAGTAAAATGCATAACAGTAGAACAGTCGGTCGTGGACACCTGGTTCACTGCTAAGCACTAACAACTCACTATTATCACTTTGTTTGTTATCAACGATGATCAAACATTTTCAAATTTGTTTACTGGTATCATTTAACTTTTAGTTCTTAACTTTTTGTAGCCACTTAACAGTTTTCATAGAATATTTGATCTAATTAGAAGATCCAGGATTCAAAGCATGACCTTTCTGTTACATATAAAACTGTTTTCGTTTATTTAAAAGACTGTCAACATGACTTTGTATTGTTCATATTCTATTGAATATCTAAACTACCGAGACTCTGTTGATTTTATAGTCAATACTCACTTCATTTGGGTACGATAATTACAATAGTTTCCCTAAAAACTCAAAGGCTTTGTTTATTTGTGCATGCATATTCAACTGGACAATGCAATGAACAGTTTTCATGTATTTATTGAGATTATATCAAATTTCGTGTTTTACTTATCCTAAATATTGACAAATACCTATTGAATAAAACGTTTGTTCAGTTTTTGTCAAACTCATTGGACTATTTATTCACTAGGAATCTGTTTTTTTTTGTTTCTTTAGGATGCAGGAAGACACTTCCATAATAATAGTAATAGTATAAATGCCACTTCAAGTCCTTACACTTTGTCGCATAAACAAGAGGCTGAGGCAATCCTATGGGAGCGACGTAAAATGGCCGCTTTAAAACAACGTAAAGAACAACTTATGCTTTTAGACAAGGTATTTCACTAACACTAAACCAAAAGCGAGTTTAATTATATCATGCATTTTAACATTAAAATTTCAGCATAGTTTGTTTTTATGTAATATTGATTTATGTAATAACTGTTAACTATATTTACTAGAATGTTAAGTTTATTTCGTTGAAATTTCTTTTTAACACCTAATTTTCTTTAAATTTATTTCTCTAGTCTCGCGAAGCTCGAGAATCAATGATTGAGGCTCGAAGACAACGAATTACCAAATTGAAATTACTTCTTAAGCGAACAATGAGTCAATTAGAAAATAATCGTACCAATGAAACAGACAATAGTACAGATTCAAAACCATTGACATTAGATGAAAGACGAAAATTACTTACTGAAGCCAAACGACTACAAACTGAGCTTGAATCTACTTTAGAAGCTGAAAAGAAAGATTTAGACAGTCGAAGTTTAAATCGAGAAACAAACAGTAAAAAAATGTTCATTTCAAAACCATTAGGAAGTACAACAATTAGTGCAGCTGCATTACAAGCTTTGCCTAGTCCAATTCGATTAGAAAGACAAAAACAAATTTCCGAAGTACGTTTACATTAATTTAAGGCTTATTATGCAATTTTCTTTTAAACATTTTCAATAATAATAATAATCATGGTAGACTTTGTCCATTTTAATCAATTTTTTTATTACTACGGTCATAACTAATTATGAACACGTGACAACGACGGTATAGAAAATCTTTATTGTGTATTTGCAATCCAAGGTGTTTGTTTAATCTATCATTTATCTATCATCCAGTGCTTACTTTATTTCTTATTAGATTCAAATTGAAATCGATAAGTTGGAAGCAAATCTACGTGATTCACCACAAGATGATGTTAAATTAAAAGAAGGTCGTCGAAGAATAGTAGAACTTAAACGCCAGGTAGGGGGGGTCTTTTTACCTGTCATGAAATCCATACACTAGCATTTCTTATTTCATAAACCTACTACATATAATAACGGTTTTCCTATAGGCTAATTTTACTATTAGTTATTTTTGGTTAACTTGTTATAATAAGCTTTAGCATATACCGCTCAAAATCAATTTTGTTAGTAAGAGTTACTGATACCTGATAATAAAATCAAACACTTAATTGTATTTCCGTCGACAAATTTAACGCTCATCTCAATGTGAGACCTAGTTAAGGATCGTTTCAGTTCCGAAGACCATTCTGTTTGATTTATCAGACAGTTTATTAGTGCCTTTTTAAAATTTACTACACAGCTAGCTATGCAAACCTCATTACATCCATAGCTTGATCATGAGCTATAATTCTACTCATACTTATATATATGTTCATTGATTTTGTGTACTTCATCTTATGGCGAGTAAACATCAAAATCCTACGATATCATTTACGGAAAATTAACTGAATCTCTTCACTCAATCGTATTCATCTATGTAAATTTTTGTGTTAAGTACGACTACACAAATCGGATTTCTATTGTTAGTTATTATTAACATTTATTATTCCAGGTCTTGCTTTGCCTGATTGACCTAATCACTAACATATTAATATCAGTTTATCTTTTAGTATCAGATAGTATGATTGTTTTCTACATCAATTGATTTTATTTAAATGTGTAGGGTTCTACTAACGGAATATAATTTTGTAGTTACACTAATTTTTCTTCATTTTCATTCAATAATTTCTAACTGTATTTTATTTATTAGCTTGTCGATTTGGAGACAGTTCGGCCTTCAGATATGTTTTCATCTCAAAATTTAAGCGGTTGTACTCTCGGTGACAATTCCACATACCCAAATAGAACTCAAACAAAGCTTGATAAGCGACCTAGAACTTTGTATATTACAGGCATTGAGCCAGATGATGTGGAGAACTTTCACAATGCCCTCTCAGTATGTGTTAAAATATTTGCTTTTAAAAAAACCCATTATCTTACTAGAGACAACATTTTTTTTCTAGCATGGTATCATTATTATCGTTTTATTATTACTAATATTATGATCATTGTTATTGTTAAGCCGATTCGATCACATTTTAGGAATACGTTCTGTACCGTTGTTAAGTAACAGGTATTGGATAGGACTACCATAGTTACATGGTTTTTAGTATGTATTTACTTTAATATTAATGTAAGTTGTTTGCTTATTGTCTTCCGAATACAACATCCCTGTTTGTACAAACGTAATGAACATATCTTCATGTTCGATTATAAATAAATAGTCGCTGCTTCTAATATTCTTTTATTACTGCACCTATGGCCTTAGTGCAATATTTCTGTCAAATCGTTCGTTCTTCGTTCTCATTCACTGCACACCGTGTAAATCTGTTAGTGGTTATTTAGTCCAGTTTAGTTATGGCTAGACAGTTACGCATGTACTACTTGTATACGTGAACAAAGATGCAAAATTTGTGTGATATTCTTATAAATCTGCAAAGGCACTTCAATTGATTCTATCAATATAGACCCCTAGTCTTAAGGTTTAGTACATCTTTCACATATGCAAATGTAGGTATAATTATATACAGACTTTTCCTTTTTGAATGATTTTGTTGGTCTTCGGTATACTTTTATTTTTAAGCAGATAGAATGTACTGTGCTGAATTGCCATCAGGCGACTGAATTTACAAGCTGCAGTGTTAGTAAAAGCTTTATTTCTCCTTGTTGTTGTTTACTGTCATTTCTGTAAATCACTAAGCAACTTTGGATTTTCCCGACTTTTTCATTATACTTTAAGCTGAATTATCTGCATACCCAATCTTGTACAAAACAAACTAACCCTGAAACTAATCAATTAGTGCTGGAAGTAACATTTTGCACTCGTGATTTCGCTGAGGCAGCTATTCGTCAGTTTACCCAGTTTCATGGACGCGATTTGCAAATGAGTTTTGTTTATCCAGCATTATCCGAAACAAAAGCTGGAAGTTTTACTGATGATGATGTAAAACATGTAGGTTAAATTTTGCTTTGTGCTTTAAGAATCACTTTTTTTATTCATTTGACCACGGTTTTTGTAGATATTTATTTGTGTATTTTAATATATCCTTCAAAATTAGCTTGACTAAGTTTTTCATCGATTGATTCAAATGAGTTTGACAGATATCTCTCTCTATCAAGTTTAACAATAGTCAAGAAAGAAATCAGCGATTCTCAAAGTTTCATATTAAAAAATTGGAAAGATAATAATACTTCATACCCGTTAGTGTTTCTTACCCCGTACCTGCTGATTCTGTTATTATTATATTGATCATTGTCTTTATTTGGCATATTATTTGAGAAAATGCTTTGTAGACTATATAGAATTTGAGGTTATTTCATCTAAGTAAAAATCAACTTATTTTCTTTAACTAGATTTGTTTCCATCTTCGAGAATGTGATTGCATTGCTTAGCAGCCTCCTTTAGTAGTTATTGGAGGGTTTTTGAATTTGTCATATGATTTTTCATAGTATGTTTTGCATATAAAATTGATTAATTCATACTCTCTGATTTTCATTTCCTGTTCTTTTGTTTGTTAAAACGTTTTGTTACATTTCATCCTCTAGGTTTCATCTACACAAACTGAAACTTCAGATCATTTGCAAGCTGTCACATCTTCAGAGTCTGTAGATTATTCTGCTCATTCCAGCCCTACGTCTACTACTACTGCTCTGAATACCATGTCCTAATGGCATCCATCTCCTTATTCAAATACCGCTAAAGTGATTTGTGTAGAAAAAATTGAGGTTCCTTATACAATATTTTCCAAAAATAACATTTTCCTTTGATAAAAATATATTTTATTTAAAGCTTTTCTACTTTAAGTCGTTTGACATTGTTTGTCTATGTACACATCAGTTGTTTTTTAATAATGAATCAAATAATAACTAGACTTCATTTCTGTAAAGATGGAAAAGGTATAGTAGATAAATCATGGTACTCAAAACAGTTTGGGATGACTGTTGATATAAGAAGTGGCGTAACTGGTAATCTTGAGCCTAGTCAGTATTTACAATAACCTAACTAATAACAAAAACCTGGTGTCCACATGTCTGGTACTTCTCTACCGTTTTCGGTAATGGTATTGGAGTGCATACGCTTGGTCAAACTAGTAATTGATATGTCTCACGACCGCCAATTTATTCGACAGTCTGAATTGTTCACTGTGCAAAATGGTGGCGACGAAAAGGTGAGAGCGAATAGTCAGTTCTTCTTAAAGCTGTTGCTGTAGCGAATCATTTAGTACTAACGAAGGGCAGTCCTAGTTAAGACTTTTTACTATCAAAGGCCTCCTCAGATGGATTCGACGAGCAGGCGGAGTTTCGTGTACCGAAATGGTTTTCATAAGTAATCAGTGGACGACATCAAGTCAATGCTATTACAGTTAGAATTAGCAAGTACGGCGATGTCGTAAGCGTGATTATATCTGATGACAATTGCATAACCTTAAGGGATTATTTGATAGTGAAGAAGTTATCAGTTATAATGAAATCCGTGAAATAGATACCTCCGACTCCCAGAGAGTATGTGAATATGTTGCTATGATTCATTGAAGCAGGGGCTTTGTAGTGGGTCCGAGACATTGCATCCTCTATACCACCCAGAAGTGTGTACATCTTTTGATGCGTAGAGTTAGCGTTGAGGTCTTTGCTAGCCTGCCGGCCAAATTGACGCACGTATGGCTCTAGTGTTGTCCATGAACATATACTAGTCGCTTAATATACATTCAGGCATTGTGTTACTGTGTCAGAACGTATACAGTTGAAGTCAGACATCAGTTGTATTCACAATGAGTATGTTTAAGGCATATTAGTGTTGACGAGGAAATTTAGCCAATACCTAATGCACTGGTGTGCGATAATGCAACGACTCAAAGAATGGTGGGGGACTCAGTCTTCATAGGCATGATAGAGATACAAGCGTGCGTCTACATACTTTCATTCATACATTCTAAAAGCTAAACGTGGGGAAATATTTGCATAATAATGGCTAAAAATATCAGAAGGGTTTCTTTTCTCGGTAAGTATTGGTACACTACTTAGTTGTATATCTAAACGCATTGCTCCATATCAACCGCAACAGTTGTCAAAAGACTCATTACACCATGAGGTTATTATTCTGTTTGTCTTTCACACGCTCTTGAAAAGTCGGAGAACATATATTGCTGCTCCCAATATATACAATATCTTTTTCACGAGGTAAAATAAACCAATTGATTTCTTTGCGCTCGATTCTTGTTCTTTCGGTACGGTTCCAGGTGTTTGGTAGTGTACAATGAATAAGGTCTAGCCACTCTTCTGTCTAATTCTAGTCAGTTGTTTGTATGTCCCGTGATTTGAATGAATACGTTTGTTTCAGGGTAGTAGGGTTTCTGGATACCAGCAGCTACCATGTTGCCAGATCGAAAATCAGTTAGTTGCCATGTGAAGAATAATAAAGATGAAATTCTAATGCTAAGATGAATAAGATTTCAGAACTAAGTAGATGGATGGATAACTTAGTTTATGAATTGGTGGTGAAGATTGTGAGAGAGGACTAAAGTGTGAGCAAGGGAGAGGAAACAGAGATAGTAAGCGAGATAGATTAATTAAGTGGTCTGAGGATATGGCAATGATAACAACTATCAGGTCTCAAGATATGCATCACTAACAGCTTGTCCATGAGGGAGATGATAATCCGTATGTGAGTACGTGATTATCAAGTCTCTTCTTAAAGCTGTCCACTGAGGGGTCTGTGGTCACCCCGGTTGGGAGAGCATTCCAAGTTGCGACGACTCGCATTGAGAAACAGTGTACACGAACCAGAGTATTCGCTTCCTGATGTGCAATCTTTCGAGGGGAGTGGTGGTGATGCATCGGTAAGATGCTCTCGTTGGGATGACTTCGTGTGCCATAATCAGATCACCTCTGGTCCTCTCATAACAGTGGGAATAATTCTAAGTGCTGTAGTCTATCTTCATAAGGCTTATTTTTCAACCCTATCACTCATTTGTTGCTCGTCTCTGCACTCGATCCAAGAGATTTATGTCTCTTTTAAGCAGAGGGGGTGCGATGACGCAAACCTCCAGGTGTGGGCGCGCGTATGTCTTAAATAACGGTAAGAATAATTCTGAGGTGATAGCACCAAGTTGTCCTCGCATAAAGTGAAGAGTCGCATTTGCCTTGGCCGCATCCACTACGTATTTTGGACTTGTGTGGGAGCCTTCTGTGGTTATTAAACCGAGATCGCGCTCTGAGGAGACTTAAGGGAGCGGACTTCCATTTAGGGTGTAAATCGTGTGCGGCAGAATATACATAACGTGACACTTCAGTTGGTTGAGCTACAAACTGGTCTGTAACAGACTGGGTACTTCCTGTCTCCTCCTTGGAAGATTTGAGAGAGAGTATAATTCAGTGAGATAAGGTTAGAAGACATAGGTAGAGGTGCTGACGAATCCAGAAGATTAGGATTCGAGAGAGTTCAAAGAATGGATGCACTTGCGCCATTGCAAACGATTTTGAGCCATGTCTTTCAAGGTCTACAACCATTAGTGACTTTCGTCTCGCGGACCCCAACCAGGAAGGTAGTCTACATCTACCAAAATGACCCAGTCCACTTGTCAGTGACTTCATGCATTTCTGCCATGTTTTGGTTTGGCTGCCCCTAGCTTTCTTCCAACCTACTCCTACACAGCAAATCATAGCTCGACGAGGCAGTTGGTGGTTAGTCATACGTAACACATGTCCCAACCACCTAACTGAAGAAGTTTCATCACTTCATCTATTGATCTGCCATCCGTACCTAGCACCCGCTTCCTAACGACAGCATTGCTTACTCGGCTGTCCCACGATATACGAGCAATGCTTCTTAAACATCTATGGTCGAAAACTAGTAACCTATGAACATCTTCTACTCTTAACGGTCAAGTTTCACAGCCATATAGGAGAACGGAGCGAACTGCTGCGTAGTACACTCGTCTTTTGGTTAGCGAACGGATATCACGCCTACGCCATAAGTGACGCAGGTTGGCAAAAGCCAATCGAGCCTTCTGTATTCGTGCTGAGATTTCGTCAGTCAACAGGCTATCAGCGCTGATGAGACTCCCCAGATAAGTGAAGCGGTCTACACGTTCGACTACTTCACTCCCTATCACTAGTTCAGGTGCCGATGCAACCCAATCTCGGAGCAACATTTTGCATTTCGAGGGGGGAAACCGCGTCCCGAACATGCTTGCATTGTTGCTTAGGGTGGACAGAAGACTGCATTTTGTCAGCGTCTTCACCGAATAGAACTATGTCATCGGCATATTCTAGATCAGTAAGCGACTTTCCTGGTAGACGGTCAAGCCCTGAGAAATCTGACGAGCTTAATGTTAACCCTAAGAGGATGTCTATGACAAAGTTAAACATGTATGGAGATTGTGGGCAGCCCTGACGGACACCACTTGATGTAGAGAATTCCGGTGACAGTTCACCATAAGCTCTCACTCGACCAGTGGTGTTTGAGTAGAGAGCTTGTATGAGGTTAATGTACTTATTTGGTACACCTTTCAATGACAGACACTGCCACAGAACCTCACGATCCACTGAGTCAAATGCCGCCTTAAGGTCCAGGAAAACAACCATTGTCGGACGTCTAAATGTGTGTCTGTGTTCCAGGACCTATCGTAGTGTGAAGATGTGGTCTATACAACCACGTCCAGGTCGAAAACCAGACTGGTGTTCTCGAATCTGCTCTTCGCGAGCTCTAATTAGACGTCTAAGTATAATCGAGGCTAACAATTTAGAAACTATATTAGTTAGGCTTATTCCCCTTGTGATTGTCACAAGAGGACTTTTTTCCTTTCTTGTAGATTGGGACAATTAGCGACTGAGACCAGTCAGATGGGATTACGTTCAGTTATTAGATTCTACCTAAGATCTCAGTCAGTCTTACTGTTAAAACTGGACCACCATCTCAGGGGTCAATCTATCAGGACCTGCTGCTCTACATCGCTTCAGATTTCCTATAGCTTTCTCAACTTCATGTATACTGGGAGGACTTAAATCTATTTGCCATTCACGATGACTGGGGATCGTTTTGCAACCGAAGTGTGGCTCGAAGCCATGTGAACTGGTCCGCAAAGTGATCTGCCCATTGGTCCAATCTCCTGGATTGAAAAATGGATAATAAGACCATCCTTTTCCGAGATAGTCTCACTCACATTTGGGTTCCTAATACCGGTTTCTTTGATAAGGCGGAAATGTTGTCAAGTGTTGCCTATCGCCGCTGCCTTTTCCATCGCTTTTGCTTTCGCCAACCACCACTGTTCGCGGTCGTTACGTAGGCTTTTTATAAGTCAGCGCCTAAGCTGACTACGCTCTTCATCATGTTCAGAGTCAGGTGGGATGTGTTTTCGAGCATCCATCAGTTCGGTGGATGCGACTGAAATCCACTGCTTCATCCTAGCCTTGTAGTTTACCTTGCTAGCAGATACCATTGCTGTTTCCACAGCCTTCTTGATATCACTCCAACCTGCCTCCGGACGGGAATCACTTGCGTGGTCACCTAACGTTTTTTCTAGTTCCTCCTGAAATATTTTCTTAGTTTGATTATCATTAAGTAAAGCCCTAAGAGGCTTTCTTACGGTGTCTTTCCTACGTCCAGTAAGCCTCAAACAAATACGAGCTCGCACTAGGGCATGATCTGAATCTAAACATGTGCCCCAGAACGAGCGACAGTCCTCTATCGAACCCTTCCATCGGTGGCTGATGGCGACATGATCCACCTAAGTGTCTCTCCTGCTCACTTAGTCTACCTACTTGAGCATTAAGGTCACCAGCCATTATAACTTTATCAGAGCGCCTAGCTTTTTGGAGGAGGTCCGAAAGCTTTCTGTAAAACTCATCTTTAACCTCGTCTGAACTGCAGTCAGTGGGGGCATAGGCAGATACGATGAAGAGGCAACGGCGATTGTCCCTATCTTTCCGAGTCCTTACTGTCCCATTTAGTCGGTCAGCGCACAAGCGACTATCTACAGGGATCCAGTCTAGGAGAGATTGTTCTGTCCCTGGAAGCAGCATCGGGGCTACCGGATACACGAAGAGTAAATCGAGTTGCTTCTTTATCTTGACATGGTGAGGTCAAGTGAATGATGCTACTCGGATCCTGTATGCGCGTTTCCGAGACGCAGCATACATCGATTGAGCGAGATTCTAAAGTCCTAGCTAATGATGCCTGTTGCCCTATTTGACACAATTTCCGTACATTAAATGCTCCAACATGTAGTCTAGAGCGGGGTTTAAGGAGACCAGGAACGACGTTCCGCGAACTCGCATCGTTTGCATTGGCTGTGCACTGTGATAAATGAATGTGAGAAGAGTTAATCGTGGAGATAAGAGAGGTATGTGTGGGTGTAGGAAGGATTTGATTATGACCGATTTGGTCTCTCATACTGTTATGGGTATGAGGGCGGTTATCAGTTCCCGGCTGCCCACACCGTGGAAGGTTGTTTCCTGAAGGACATGAAAAGGATGATAGATTAATGTTGGTCTTGGAGACCTTGAAGCGTGATCGCAGAGTCCAAGGGACAACTGCTTGAGGCCGGTCACGCACGGCCATTTTATGAGAAGTTTTTTGAGTGTTAGCGTCGCTCTTGAAAGCCCTTAGTGGGCACCCTTACCCAAGGAGACGGAAATCCGTGAGGTAAGGTGAGGTGTGACATTTTTAGGGTCGACCTTTTCTAACCCTTCCTTCCTTCTGAGAAGGCAGCATCGCTGCAGATGCTGGTTGTCCGAGGAAAACACCTTACTGCTGTCACACCCCTCTGCAGTCAGTCAGCAGTACGACTTCGCCCTCAGACCTTGGGTAGCTGCTTTTAGTCTCATCGTTCTCCAATCGACCTGCCTGGCATGGTAGAACCTTCAGGAACATATGTTCCAGGCAATATAGCTCGGTTGGGTCATCACGATAGGCAAGCTCGACCACCACGTCAAGGTAGCGGCTTCAGTTGGGATATCGGTGAACAGAGGACTTCTGTTCATTGTTCCAAAACTATGGGTCGAATATTGTCGTAACCTGGTGATTTTGCTGGGTTTAATTATTTTTGTTTCCTTAGTACTAAGTCAGGAGTGCCACGGGTATTCCCTAAGCCGTCAGCTAGCACTGGGTTCGCGTGATATTCTGGATATGTGGATGCCTGGTTTAACTGACCGGTAAAGTTCGTTTTGAAGATTTCAGCCATCTCTAGGTTGGTGAGGTTTTCCCTATTTGGTCCTTTGAGAGAACACAACTACTGATTCGTAGGTTTTATTTTAGTCATGAATCTAAACAGATGCCTCGTGTTTGTCTGTATTTTGGCAGCTAGCTTCATCTGAAATTGTCTTCTTCCTTAGTTCATCTAGTGGTACTGCATACGTGCTCAGCAAGCCCAGAGCTTCTAATGGCTGAGCCAAGTTCCTACAGAACTGGCCTCTGCAGGTTTTTCTCCTGCGAGGCTTTTATCGTCGTGCCTTGTTCCAGGTGCCGACTGTCAGTTATGTGGGTTTGTTGTGGCCTCCCTGCTGTTATCTCACAGATCTAGGTCGGCTTTCGCAGCACCTGATGTGTCTAGACAGGTCGTTCTTAGAACGGTACCAAGCTTGCAGTGTTTCGGTCAGGTATTTTCGGTTTCCGAATGTCACAGCCATCAGAAGTGGTGACTTAATGGACGTGAGGTCTGACGGGCTGGACAACCTAGAAGTGCAAACAACCATCATGGTGTGAAGGTCTAGGCTATGTGTTAGCCATCGCCACTGTTGCACATCCTGCATGTGAGCTTCGTCCAGGCTACCAACCACGGTTTATCGTGCCTGATGCGGATCGGTGAGGGCTATTTGACCGACGGATCTTGGGATAAGGAGGATATCTTCGGCAAGTCGTGTCGAGTCTAGAGTTACCCTCTTTGGAGAGGGTTTCCTTTTCGAGAAATTTTGGCCTTCGAGGAGGCGGCATATTTTAGCTGGGGTATTGCACATCCCGATAAATGCTCAGTATTTATCCCAATGTTCTTTGTCAAAGGCAGCCCTACCTTCTAGTAAGCTACCTTCCGAAAATGAGAGATTAAATAAAATAAGTGATTGTATTCTACAGTCCCTGACCCTGGCTAAAAATCTCTGGGGAATTTTGGACGAAACTGTTGAATAACTTAGCAAGATGTAGTTGGTAAGGAAAACTTTCCACTTGACAACCGCGTAACCGAAAACGTGAACTAAAAGTGATTGTCAAGGATAATTTCGTTTCCATACCACATGGATCTAGCTCAACTTCCATGTTCACTGAATTGTTTTGCACTGGTCACAGAATGAATAGGCAAATAATGCTCATTAGCCACAAATTATATTGAGGATCACACATAGATTTGTCTGTACTTGTTGGAATTTCCAGCCAGAAAATTAGGCTACTACCGATTATCCTGTTCAAGGCAGTACTGAAACGCGCTCTGACTGACTTTGCGCTACCGTAGTGATGAATACAGTCCATTTAGTAGTTTGGGTGGTTGTCTTTCTGTTTGAACCTCTTGACAGTCGAAAACACATTTTAAATCTTAAGGTTTTAATTATTCATAGTTTTTCATCGAATTTAGAACGATGGTCGTAAGTCAGTCTTATGCAGTCAATTCGGGTTTGCGAAGGATTCATTTCTCTCCGTTTTCATACAGAAACTTGAAGGCGATTTGCAACATGTAAGTGTAGCTACCTCATATCGATTTTTGTCAATGATGGCTTTAAACATTTGATTATATTCATGGTCCCACTAAATTAATAAATGAACACTAATAATATGGTGTCAGTTCGTTATTTGGATCGTTATGATGACAAAGATTGATTTCACTTAACAGACAGTTTTCACAGAAAATATGAAAGGTTTCCCAGTTTTGTATACAAGTAAGGGTCACGATTGCTTATTAATGAGCTAGGCAAGAATTTTGTTTCAGAGTTAAGATTGTTAGACTTTAAGGATACTTGTTATTTGTATATACACTATCGATTTTCTAGTAGATTTAGTCAAGTACTGCTAAGTTCTATTTGCACCAAAAAGTGTCTTGTTATCTTGCTTACGCACCATGTCACACTTATTGTGCAGTTCAATAAAACGTATTTTCACTAACTTTAAGCATTCCAGCAACTAAACGTGATAAGTTTTTAATTAACTTTCAACAGCCATCATCCACTGTTCCCTTAGTTTCGCACGTAAAGTGGTGATAAGTTGTGATAAATTCCCCAGTTTCATCTTTTTCTGAGTGCTCTTTTCTTACAGCCAGTTATATTTATTGATCTTAAGCTTCCTATAATAAATATCAGTGTTTCGCGTAGATTTTAAGCATTAATTTGCCTCAAGTTTTAAACTTAAGATTGCGAAGTCTAAAAAAGTAACGTCATTCGGTAATGCGATGTAGATTGTGTGCAAATGTTACTTTGACTCTTCGGGAAACCAGTTAATGGTAGCCTCTGCTACACCCTCACTAATTATAGCCTGGATAGATTATCCTGTAAATTCTACCTTATGTTCTTAACTTCCAAAACGAAAGTATTAGTGGACTTATCACTTCTGTGCAGTTTTTGCTGATGATGTTCAGAAGAACAATCAAAACCCCACGATCAAACGTTGGGCTCACAGAACAAAACCAAACCAAAAAAGACACCATTAGCCTATCTAATTACTATCTTATTACTGCTATTTATGTATACACACGGATGTTGGTTCAAAAGGGCGACCAAATATACGTCACACAAACCGTTGAATTTGTATGTTTGCTGGAATACTGCCTGAGTACCCAAACCGAGGCAGTTAGTGTTCTTACGGAACTACTCCCTAAGACTTTGGCCCAGAGGTTTAATTCGCAAGGCAATGAGAAAAGAGTAGTAGATTCAGCCTGACCGAGATCGATATAAGGACCAAGATACTGTACCATAAAATTGCCAATCAATCAATCAATCGCAACGTAGAACTTCGTACGTACGTACGTACGTCAGTTCATGTTACCATACCACATCAGCACAGAAATATAATTGTCAATTCAAATCCAATAGTAGTAGAGTTAGTAAAGGTATTAGCAGTAATCGGAGAGATTAGGGTTAGATATTCAAGAAGTAGAATCTAGTGATATAAACCTAAAAAGATTAAGTGGTGAGGAATTACAAAGTTTAGGATTCGAGATAAAAGTGCCAATACTTAGCCTGATATATTTCGTAAGCTACCTGACTAATGTTCTTAAGACTGCCAGTAGATAATCCAACTAATAATTAGTGGGCGTAATGTTAAGGAACTGATTCTACATTCGATTACAAATGATGGGAATTGTTATCTAAATCATTGTTTTAAGTCCTCATCATTTAATAAAATGTGTATTATAAAGAATTCTGCTCCAATACCCTCGATCGTAACCGCACATGTCAGATCCTGCCATTCATTGTGTTTGTTTTCCTGTGATGACATGTGTATTATATTTGTAAAACACTGGATTTCGTAAAAGCCTGCTCCTGAAAGACAATATTTCTAGTGAAATCAGTGTCTATCTGTTTGACGGATATGTTGTTTGTTTAGGTCAAACCATTTCTGCCTAGTAGTATTAACACTTGAATTCAGCTAGTGAGGATTCGTTTCATTGAATATATATAGATTGATGAACTGAGCCTAATATTATACTTTGTCTTAATAATAAAGTCTTCACTTGTCAGCGAATTAAATAAAATTATATTAAGATTCATAGTCAGTCAGTCAGTTACAACGTGGAACTGCGTACGTACGTACATCAGTTCAAAATGCCATATCACATTTGCACAGAGATGCAATCGTCAGTCCAAATCACTAAGTAGTAGAGGTGGCAGACGTATTAGTAACAGTCGGAGAGATTAGGTTTCGAAGATTGTTGCTTTGGGTGGTCAGTAGACTACATTTTGTCAGCGTCTTCATCGAATAGAACTATGTCATTGGCATACTCTATGTGAGCTCGTGAGCTCGAAAATTCGACAGTAGCAGCTCTAGGTGACAATGGAACAAAAGAACGGTTGGTCGAGGAGATAAGAAAGTTATTATGAGGTGCAGGGAAGATTTAATTTTGATCGATTTGGTGCCTTGTGCTTCTATGGGTATGAGAGTGGATGCCGCTTCCCGGCTGCCCACACCGTGGAAGGGATTAAGAGTCCTAGATCAATGAATACAAGGTACATTACAAACTGTCTGGTTTCGTATTTCTTTAAGATACGTGCTTGTAAGTTATTGATTGAAACGGAATAGCTTTATACGTATCTTATTATTTTAGAAATTTTCAACACCACAGAGCTCTTAACGTCTATATGATGAATACATTAAAATATTCATTAAAATAAAAGTAATTAATCCAATTTTGTTTCATATAACATGTAATATACTTTACTTTACTTTACAGATAACGTTTACTCTGGATAAGGCTGGGGATTCTGGAGTAACATCTCTTGTTGTAGGTTGAACTTCATTAGTCTACTTACCTTCTACAGGAATCCAAGTCAAATTCTTGTTTTTGGGACAAGTCATTTAAATTTGTTTATCTATCATTTGATAAATCATCCAAGTTAGTAGTTTGATGGTATTATTTTGACCTTTATACTCAATTAGGTCAATAGTGGTACATAATAATGATCCAAATTATAAAGGTCTGATCTTTGAAGCCGCTTCTTTAGAAATGGAAGAGGATGGTCAACCTGCTATTAGACCCATTGGTTTGATCGACAATATTCACTACGCTCTTACCTGTTTACGGTTGGTTACTGACCAAAACCTCTCGTTGGCTAAAGCAATAAATGCTGTAAGTTTCTTATAAAACAACTGCATCATATTTATTTATTGTTTTAGTGTTAGAGAATTCAAAGTAGTTGACAGCAGGCTGAGAACTTAGCTTTCATGTTGATCGCACATACTCCTGGTTATCAATAAACCTAGGCTTCCACATGATCTCATTCATCCACTTAACATCAAATAATAATATCCATGATTTCAAGTTATTTTGACTAGAGGCCACGTTTCATGTTGATTCATAAAATTCAGAAATCATTGACCCAGTAAATCTGACATCGATTATTTACAGAATGACCAATAAGTGTAGTTCCTCAATATTTACAAATACTTTCGGCTTAAAATCATTCAATAAACTGATCATCTACTTAAATATATACGTATCTAACTAAATCGATTGACATAATTAAGGGAAAATGATGAATAAAATACCCCACAGCATGACAGTTCATATTATTGCTTAACAATTTCTGTATGCCGAAATAGCTTGACAGAATATATCTCAATGTCTGTTAAACTTCAGTTTAAAAATCCACTAGATAAAACCTATTTACATATTCACCACTTGAGTAATCATTGACTGGGTAACTATTGTAAATAGTGTTAATTGTGAACTTTCTTTCCAAGTGTACTAAATATCTTATCTGTTCATTTTTTTTTATTCTTCTTTCAATTATTTCAGATAATATTATCTGAACCAAAACTTTTAGAAAAAGTCAAATTTATGAATGTGTTGGCACTACATCGACAACAGTATCTTGTCTATCGACTTTTATATGAAGTTGCAAAATACCAGAAAAATATCAAGGATGATGAGCTAAATTTCCAAGTCTCTAAAATTGAAAATCCTGTTGAAATAAGTGATAATGAAAATCTACAAAAGATTTTTGGAATTATTTTATCCCAAATTACTCCTTTTGGTAAGTTTATTTTCCCGGTACAAAAGTGGCTTTTTGTCATTCATATAAAAAAAGTGTAGCACTGGGTATTCCATATAATTCCTAAACTTCATATACTGTTTGTTTTCATAACCATCACTAGTTGCGCCCAACAATGTATAACATCAAACGACTACACAAAACATTGAAAACGTCCATTATTGCACAACACCCTATCACAAAGCTACAGACATGCAAAGTGAAAGCGAAACGGTATGCGAATGCCGAGGAGCGAATAATCAGGATTAAAATTATATATATATATATATATATATATATATATATATATATATATATATATCCACGTTGGTAGGTGCAGACAATCTAATTTGATTCCCTACGTTTATCGTAAACCTTAGTTAAAAATGTTAGATGATGATTGATTGAGATGACATGTCTCAGAATTGATCCTCATGGCTTAGACGCACTCACTTTTTCTCGTTCCTTAGATTTTAAGTTTTGAAATTATTTTTGGACCTTCTATCCTTTAAATTCACTACCTCTTTTGGAGCTCAATTTTCCACTGTTTTTTAATCTTATCATTATTGATACTACCAATGATATTATTGTGTTATTTATTATGATAGTGGTGTCCGTCAGGGATGTTCACTTTCTCCATTCTTGTTTAGTTTTATCATAGACATGCTCCTAGAAATAACCTTATCCTCGTCTGAATTTTCAGGAGTAGACCTTTTATCAGGTGGCTCGCTTATTGACTTAGAATATGCCGATGACATTGTCCTACTTGGTGAAGACGCTGACAAAATGCAGAGTCTTCTGACTACCCTAAGCAACAATGCAAGCATGTTCGGGATGCGGTTTTCCCCCTCGAAATGCAAAATGTTGCTTCAAGACTGGGTTGCATCGGCACCCGAACTAGTGATAGGGAGTGAAGTAGTCGAACGTGTAGACCGCTTCACTTATCTGGGGAGTCTCATCAGTGCTGATGGCCTGGTGACTGACGAAATCTCAGCTCGGATACAGAAGGCTCGATTGGCTTTTGCCAAACCTGCGTCACTTATGGCGTAGGCGTAGATATCCGTTCTCTAATCAAAAGGACGAGTGTACTGTGCAGCAGCGGTTCGCTCCGTCTTACTTTATGGCTGTGAAACATGGCCAGTGAGAGTAGAAGATATTCGTAGGTTACTGGTTTTCGATCATAGATGTCTTCGAAGCATTGCTCGTATATCGTGGGACACCCGAGTGAGCAATGCTGTTATTAGGAAACGGGTGCTAGGTACGGATGGCAGATCAATTGATGAAGTATTGAAACCTCATCAGTTGAGGTGGTTGCGTATGCCTAACCACCGACTGCCTCCAAGAGCTTTGTTTTATAGTGTAGGAGTAGGTTGGAAGAAAGTCAGCGGCGGCCAAACCAAAACATGGCAGAAATCCATGAAGTCATTGGCGAGTGGACTTAGCCATGTCGGTAATTGTCGACTACCTGGTTGGGGTCCGCGAGACGAAAATAATCGATGGTTAGAGACCTTGAATGACATGGCTCAAAATCGTTCGCGATGGCGCCAGTGCATTTATGCTTTGTGTTCTCTCAAATGCTAATCTTCTGAATTCTTCAACACCTCTAGTTTTTACTTTCTAAACTTATCTCATTGAATCATACTTCTTGAATAATATCTTCTAATCCTAACCTCTGTGATTACTTCTAATACCTTTACTACCTCTTCTACCATTGGATTTGAATTGACAATTATATTTCTGTGCTGATGTGGTATGGCAACATGAACTGATGTACTTACGTACGAAGTTTTACGTTGCATCTGACTGACTGACCTCGCTATACTGATATAGTTTGAAAACTCGTGCCAAGTTCTACGTCGACTTACGGGTTTTCAGTGGGTATCATCTAGATAAGACTAATTCATGTTATGAACTGAATTCGGAGTAAATGCTCTATACAGCAAACATACCAAGTTCTTCGTTGCAACTGACTGACAAACCTCACATTTGTTGCATATATATTGTTTATTCTATAGTATATATATATATATATATATATATATATATATATATATATATATATATATATATTGATAAATAATTTATTCTTGTACAAGTTTCAATAAATCTGTAGATTATTTGTTTTCAATGAAATTACAAAACCAAATGCTGTACTCACTCTATTTCTTTATAAGGTTCACTACTGTGGATTCCGTACGAAGTGAAAGACAATGTAATCAGTGCGAATGTAAGTGGTTTTTTCGTAGAAAAATGTAAAATTTTTCCTTATTCCACTCTTGCTTACAAGTATTTAATAACTATTTTTGCATTTGCTTCTCAGCCTTGTCTAATTAATTATTGACTTTAGATATTTACATGGATATATTATCTATGCTTTAAAAATCTTAACTTATAAGAATTAATTAATCATGGATTATTGTTTTAATGCTACTACTACTACAACTGTATAGTAGTGTATAAATAACCTGAATCAAAGCACTCGTTTATTTACTAGTTATTAGTTTGTTATATGATAAAGTAACGTTTGTTGTTTTGGTTTCTTGAAAGTTATTATTATTATTATTATTAGTTATTATTATTATTATTATTATTATTATTATTGTTATCTTACGGTAAACAATAGGAGTATTTGAAACTCATGCATATTAAATATGTTTGAACTATTGTGTTAGAAATTGTATCATCTAGAGCAATTCAGTTACCTTCAAGTGTTTTCATGTTTATACTAGCTTATAGAACCAAGAAATTCTAAAAAAAATCAGGTATATCTGATACGAATTTCTATAGGTTGTATTAGATCAGTCAGTCAGATGCAACGTAGAACTTCGTACGTGTGTACATAAGTTCATGTTGCCATACCACATTAGCACAGAGAAGCAAATGTCAAATCAAATCCCATAGTGATAAAGATAGTAGAGGTATTAATGGTAATGAAGAAGACTAGGGTTCGAGGATATTATTCAAGAAGTATAATTAAGTGAAATAAGGTTAGAAAGACAAAGGTAGAGGTGTTGACGAATCCAGTAGATTAGGATTTGAGAGAGCTCAAATAATGGATGCACTTGCGCCATTGCAAACGATTCTGAAGTAATCGAAGAGGTTAGGATGAGAAGGTATTCAAGAAATATGATTCAGTGAGAAAAGTTTAGATAGTTATCGCAATAGTACTGAATTTATTTCATCTTATAATATATTCTTAAATTCAACCCTTTCTCCTATTTAGTTTACAGTTCGTTTCTTGAATACATCTGAAGAAGGCTTATATCATCTATACTTTCATAATTGTGCTGAATTGAATGTTGAATCTGGTAAACGTCATTCAGTTAACTTAACAGTAAGTTTATACTTAGATAATGCTATTTATTTGCTAAATAACGATTTATTTACTAGGATTCTTGACATACTATATGTGTGTAAGAAATTGTAACATTAGCCGACTGCCTAAACTTAATTAAAAGTTAAGGTGTTCAAACCTAAAAGTCAAGTGCTTTAATCACGTTGATTGTCTCATAAAATTACCGTAGGAGTTTTATAGATAATTACTGGTCATTTTAAATGTAATCGCAACATCTTTTTAATGATACTGTAGTGTGCCGGATTACTGCGTGTTCTTAAGCTCGGTTTATAAATCAGAACATGAACTCGTATTGATGAATAGATTTATTCGGGACACACCACATAGCGAAGCGAATCGGAGAAGGCTATGAGCAAACTCTTTGGATTACAATGCGAGCGAATGGGTGAAGCGAATTGGAGAAGGCTAAGAGCCAACTCAAAGAGATAGAGCATGACTAAGAATATATAGTCAGGCATAAATAAGACAGACATATGACAAGCGAAATAGATATGCACACACATGAATAAAAGCGAAGAATGATTGACAAGGTCAAAAACAAGCGATACAAATCATGTGAGTTCATGGGGAAATTAAGAGATTAACATTAAAGTGAAAAGGATGAGTAAGCGCGTAGGCGTAAGCAATGCTCAGTCGTACTAGCTCATACAAACCAGATAATAAAAAATACCAATGGTACATATGAGTTGTTGCTACGCAAATAGCTTGGTTACATAAATTAATCAAAAGGCTTAATCAAATTAAATATGAGCGAACTCAAGTTTATGTGGAGGCACTACAATACGCTTAGGTGGTATGTAAAAAGTCAGATCCTCTAAATTTTCATTCATGATGATTGATTACGTATTCTGTTGGGTGATAGTTTTGAGCTAATGCATAATGTATGCTCATTGTTTATTAAGCGATAAAATGTATATTTTTTCATGCCATAAATAATATACCGTGATAAATCCCGATGAAGATTTCGTTTCTATGCAGTTGTTGTGTCAGCTTATGTCAGTCTTATGAAATCGATGCCACTCTCAATAGAAATGTAGTAGTGAATGCACTTGATAAACTCACTAATTAATTATCAAGCTAAGCAGCATGCAACCGGATTAACTTTGAAGTAACATTTTGAAATTGAAAGACAAAAGATTCAGTCAAAATACCAATGGCGCACTATCAATCTACGTTAGATAGTAGTATCATGTGACTTACATTCCGCTAAATGTGACGCTGGCAGATTTCACCCTTTAAACAACAGAAACCTAAAATGATATCCAAAAAGCTACCAGTAACTTGGACCAAAAGGTTAGGAAAAATCAGCGGATTTCACTGGCGTCTACTGAATTGATAGATGTTCGGAAACTCGTCTCATCTGGCCCTGAACACGATAGGTAATGGAGACAGGCTGATAACTAGCTCGCGCGATGATCGCAAGCAGTGATGGGTAGCAATAGCAAAAGAGATGGTGTAGAAAATTTGTAGCTCAGATGGATGATTGTGGTGTTTCGTTCGCTGAGCTGCATGTTTTGGTTGTGGAGCTCCCATTGTTCTTCTGAACAACATCATCAGCACAAACTTCAGATAGAAGTGAAGTATTCGAATTTCTCCAACTTTGACCTGTAGCTTGTCCTGCTAACCTCGATCTTGATTGGTCGCTCCTGACCTTAAACCTGTCGTTGTTTGCACCTTTGTTTCGATCGTATCCCCCTTTCGACCTGTCAATTGATCCTATGTCACCTATGATTTTTCTGATTGGTTGGTAAATTGGGTCAATGTTTGTTGATTGCTGATTGACCTGAGTCCCAAGCTTTTAAAAATTCTCTAGTGTTCTTTGTGCTCCCCCTGTCCAATATTTCCACGTTGTTCCAATCGAATGTAGGTTCATAGTTGATATGAGCGAAGTCGTGGCGTTTGACTGCTAATTGGTGTTCACGTAAACGAAGCTAAAGAGGCCGTCCACTTCGTCCTATGTAGTGTTTTTCACAATTTATTTCGTAGGTGATATTTGGTTTTTCTTCCGTTGCCATTTTGTCCTTTGGTCTGCATAGAATTGATTTAAGTGATTCTGTTGGTTTGTGTGCTACACCTATTCCTGATGGTCTCAGTAGTTGTACTGTAAGTTCCGATATGTTTTTTATGTATGGGTAGGATGATCCGTTTATTGGTTCCTGTACTTGATTTCACTTCTGTTGACGATCTCGGTTGATGTTTTTTGATGAAGTTGCGTGGATAGCCGTTCCTTTGGGAGAGATGGTCATTAGATACTTTTCTTCGGTTTTTTTTGCGCTTCTAGTGTGCTGCAGAGTTGGCTGAAGGTAGAGTCATTTTTTCTGGGTTGCTGTGATTGGGTTATGGTCGTTGGTGCCAAAACATTGGGCTCCAGTTTCCCTATGTCAATTTTGTGGTGTAGTACTCCAGAATGACAGACTGGTTTTCGAGATTATTATATATATATATATATATATTTCACTGGTTTGTAGCTTCTCGATTCATGTCTTCGATCCCTTAGGTTTTTCGTTATCAATAATACTGCTACTGCTTCTACTATTATGCGTTTCGAACTGACATTTTCATCTCTCTGTGTTAATTGTGGTATGATAACTTGAACTGATGTTCGTACGTTGTACATTGAAACTGACTGACTAACATTTCTATTGATTACAATGAAACTGTTTACTACTACTTACTCCGTAAGCAACTTTCAGTAAAAATAAATGTATTTATTTTTATCTAACTGGTCCAAAAGAGTGTGATTAGTAAGATTTTCATTGGAAAGAGAAAACAAACTATATCGCCGGTGTTTCTACTCTCGATTCTGTTCAGTATAAGTTTCCTAACATGTTGTTATATTTTCATGGATTTTGTTTTTTCTATTCACAGTTAAAAATGGTCGAGAAGAATGTAAACAGCTATTTATCCTCTGGTCAACAACCATTACCTATGCTTTATATCATTTCTTGTTTGTCTTATTTATTCCTTGGTATTTTCTGGTTTGTTTATCTTCAAAAATCAAAGTGAGCACTAGTTTTTCCATGTTTTATGTCATATAATCTTCTCTGGCTTTAGGAATTTCGAAAATTTATATCTTTAGTAGTTAGTTATTCAGTTGAATTGGTAAACTTTAATTAATTTACTTATAATAATACAATAGGATTTCACCATATCACTAAGAATCAAGTGTAGTTTTTCTCAGACTAGTCATTACGCTTGTTTTGTATACAAACTTTATTGGATTAATTTAGAAATTTATGTACATGAAAAGTCAGTCAGTCAATCAGATGCAATGTAGAACTTCGTACGTAAGTACATCAGTTCATGTTGCCATACCACATTAGCACAGAGATATAATTGTCAATTCAAATCCAATTAGTAGAAGAGGTTGTAAAAGTATTAGAAGTAATCGGAGAGGTTAGGATTAGAAGATATTATTCAAGAAATATGATTCAGTGAGAAAAGTTTAGAAAGTCAAAACTAGAGGTGTTGAAGAATCCAGAAGATTAGGATCTGAGAGAATACAAAGAATGAATGCACCGGCGCCATTGCGAACTGTTTTGAGCCATGTCATTCAGGGTCAAGTTTCTTAGTTAAGCTTGTCTAACATGTATATATTTTCTAACTGACTGACAGAACTCACAGGTTAATATAGTTGTAGTAATTGTTTGCGCTGGAATCCGTCGTTTTCATTAATAATTAACTGATTTTTTTTGTAATAGGTAACAGCTTTAATTCCTTAAGAGAGATAGATATTCATTCTATTGATTATGTCTGCCTCGTCGAGCTATATTTTGCTGTGTAGGAATAGGTTGGACGAAGGCTATGAGTAGCCAGACCAAAACATGGCACAAATCCATGAAGTCACTGACAAGTGGACTGAGTCATGTAGGCAGGTGTCGACTACCTGGTTGGGGTCTGCGAGACGAAAGTCACCGATTGTTAGAGAACCTAGAATGACATGGCTCAAAACCGTTTGCAATGGCGCAGGTGCATTCATTCTTTGTGTTCTCTCAAATCCTAAACTTTTTAATTCTTCATCACTTTATCCTTTTCTTTTTAAGTCTATTTCACTAGATTTTACTTCTTGAATAATATCTTCTAATCCTAACCTCTCCGACTACTGCTAATACCTTTACTATCTCTATCACTATGGGGTTTGAATTGACAATTACATCTCTGTGCTAATGTGGTGGTATGGCAACATGAACTGATGTTCTTACGTACGAAATTCTACGTTGCGATTGATTGATCGGTTGATTATGTCCTCTAAAGTTTATTTAGTTTCATTTCGATCATCGTTTTCATCAGCAAATGATCAATTCAGTCTATTTATTATCCCATGATATCATGAATTTTTTATCAGTCAATTATTACTCCTTTATGACTATATATATATGTATATCCATCGTAAAGGATACCTGATCAAAACACCAAAGAAAGGCGATCTGAGCAAGTGTGAGAACTACAGGGGCATCACTCTTCTTTCAATACCAGGCAAAGTCTTCAACAGGGTATTGTTAAACAGAATGAAGGACTTCGTAGACGTCCAACTTCGAGATCAACAGGCCGGATTTCGTAAGGATCGATCGTGTACTGACCAAATTGCTACATTACGGATCATTGTGGAACAATCAATTAAATGGAACTCACCACTCTACATCAACTTCATCGACTACGAGAAAGCATTCGATAGCGTGGACGGGAAAACACTGTGGAGGCTTCTACGACACTACGGGGTGCCTGAGAAAATAGTTAACATACGGAATTCTTATGATGGATTCAACTGCAATATCGTGCACGAAGGATAGCTAACAGACTCTTTTGAGGTGAAGACCGGTGTCAGGCAAGGTTGCTTACTCTCATCCTTTCTCTTTCTCCTGGTCATCGACTGGATTATGAAAACGTCAACATCTGGAGGAAGCACGGTATTCAGTGGATAGCTAGGACGCAGCTGGACGATCTGGACTTCGCAGATGACCTGGCTCTTCTATCGCACACGCAACAACAAATGCAAGAGAAGACGACCAGTGTAGCAGCAGCCTCTGCAGCAGTAGGTCTCAACATACATAAAGGGAAAAGCAAAATTATCCGATGCAACACAATATGCACCAACCAAATCACGCTTGATGGAGATGCTTTCGAGGATGTTAACACCTTTACATATCTGGGCAGCATCATCGACGAGAAAGGTGGATCCGATGCAGATGTAAGGGTGCGGATTGGCAAAGCAAGGGCTGAATTTCTACAATTGAAAAATATCTAGAACTGCAAACAAATATCAATCAACACTAAAATCAGCATTTTCAATAAAAATATGAAGACAGTTCTACTGTATGGAGCGGAAACTTGGAGAACTACGAAAGCAATCATCCAAAAGTTACAAGTGTTCATTAACAATTGTCCACACAAAACACTTCGGATTCGTTGACCAAACAACAACAGCAACAGCCTACTGTGGGAGAGAACAAACCAGAATCCAGTGGATGAGGAAATCAGGAAGAAGCGTTGGAAGTGGATAGGACACACACAACGAAAAGCACTTAACTGCGTCACAAGACAAGCCCTCACATGGAACCCTCAAGGCTAAAGGAAAAGAGGAAGGCCAAGGAACACATTACTCCGAGAAATAGAGAAAGATATGAGAGGAATGAACAAATATTGGACAGAATTGGAGAGGGAAGCTCAGGACAGAGTTGGTTGGAGAAAAGTGGTAGGCGGCCTATGCTCCATTGGGGGTAACAGGCGTAAGTAAGTAAGTAAGAAATATCCATCGTAAAGTAAATCATCTAATTATCACTTTAATTCAGAATATAAATCTAAAAGAAATAATTCAATTTAGTAAAATGATTTTATGGTATTTTTTTTTCTGTCTTTCTTTCTCTATTGTTATTTAACATCTATTTTCTTTTATGTTCACTTAATTAATTTCTTTTTTGTTTTGTTTTGTTTAGAAATTCAGTTTATCGAATACATTATCTCATGTTAGCAGTGACTATAGTGAAATCAATTTCACTTGGTTTTCATAGTGTAAGTTTTAAAAATAAAACTATCATCATACACATGTAATAATATAGTGAATGTATTTTAATTTTTCTTTCTTTTTGTTTATTTGTTTGTTTTTGTTTAAGAAAAAACAGTTTCACAATGTTTACTGAATCAAAAGTTGTTGTTGTGGTTTTTGTTTTTTAATGTGAACTGAAATGTGGGAGACGGTGCTTATTATTTATTGACATTGAAACATTGAAATTGTTTCTATATGAATAATAAACCTTCATTTTCTGATTTTATTCATAGTTTAAGTAGGTTACTTCTAATACCTTTACTACCTCTTCTACTATTGAATTTGAACTGACAGTTACATCTCTGTGCTGATGTGGTATGGCAACATGAACTGATGTACTTACGTACGAAGTTCTACGTTGCAACTGACTGACTGGTCGGCTGATTGCTTAGTTCATTTACATTGATTATTTAAATTGTTTTTTCAGTTGATGTTTAAGACTGCATATAATTCATCAGTCTCTCTGTGTACATAATGTACAATCTGTGTGGATTGTCTCGATAGCGCGCCATTAAATCATTGTAAGCACTGTAAACAGAGTTGGTTGGTTTTAGTAAAGATTTAGCTATATAAAAAATAGTTCATTTTCTCTGTGTGTGTTTTTGAAAACGGTTTGTAATTTACTACACTGAACATACCCTGATAATATTTAAGTTGCTATTCAAAGTGACATGATTTATAGTGTTTTTTTTCTTTTATCTTTCAACTTGTCTAGTTTTACCTTTTGATTCCTTTTTTTCTTTAAAGTATATCTCTTAACAAATAAATGTATGATCGAACTATTCGAGATGTATTGCGTTAATGTATTGCATAGTTTTAATAAAATTTGTTATTTCAATATATTCTCTAACTATTGACTATGTTTGTTTGATATGGTTGAAAAGCGTTCCATATACATACGACTGTTGAAATTGCAATGTATTTCGTTCAATTACTACTAATGATGAGTGTTTTTTGGTTTCGATTACTATTAAGTCAAAAAACTTCATCTGTCCAAATTTCTAATCATTAGGATATCGAAGACTACGATGATAAATGTTGAATTCTCCTCTTGTGATGAGTAAAAATATTGTGAAAAATGCTACTTATTACTTTTCTTCAAATATATTCTATACACTAAGAGTTAAATTCAAGCGCAATATGTCTAAAAAATATTCTAAAGGATCTTTACAAGTTCAGATAAATAGTGGCTAACAGTGGAATCCAGGACGCACGTTTTGTCCTATTTGCGACTCATCAGATGGATGTACTTACATCTCACAGCTGATGTTCACCCTGAGACTCTATCCCAGTACCTTTCACTTCAGACGCCATTGCGTTATCCACTTAGCTACTGAATTCAGACAGCCACTGGCTTGTGCGATGGGGTGAAGATTAATTCATTTGCATTGGTAGTTTAAATTTTCCCATTGATGTTTAAGACTGTAATTGTTCAGTCTCATTTGGCACATGTAAATCTTCTGTGAATTACCTTAATCTGCCCATTAGGTCACAAGCATTATATGCATTATAGATGGATAGTGGCTAACAGTGGAATCCAGTACTAATGTTTCGTCCTATTTGATGCGAACGGTACTATCGGTTTTGAGTCTCGGAGTGAACATCAACTCTGGGATGCAGACATATCCAGATGACTAGTCCTAAATAGGACAAAACGCGTATCCTGGATTCCACTATCCATCTTTGCATATAATGCTTGTGATCTAGTGGCTACATCAAAGCAGTCAGTACAGGATGCACATATGCTCAATAAGACTGATCAATTGTAGTCCCAAGTGGCTATAGGAAGATTCAAACTATCAGTATAAATGTTCTGTTGAATAAAATTCATCAGATCAATATTATCTACATAGTCATGATCATTAAGCTAAGTTCATTATCACTAGTTTCCATTCATCCTAATCTTGATGTTATCAATGTGTACATCTTTTTTAAAAGATAATAATAATAATTATTATTTTGTATGTATTTAATATTTAAAGTGTTGTTATTATTATTGTGTTTTGTTTTTACAATTTCAGATAAATTATTATGTGATTGGGAAACATGGTGCTCATGAAGAAAGTTGGGCTGTTATGTATTATATTACTCATATGTATGTGTGTTTTTACTTTTGTGTAATAGGTTGCGTTACCAGTGTAATATAGTTTGATGAAAAGGTTTTTTCATTTAAAAAACAAATCTTTGTCTTCCAAACGGTTATTAGTATTCTTAGTGATCTGTCAGTTGATCGACTCCACTTGGTCTGTTAAGAGTGGTCCTCGAAGATTCGCCACTATCATGCAGCGATTTTCTTGCTTAGGATTCAGCATCGAGACTCTCCCGTGATCCTGATACTGTTGGTGAGAGATGAACTCGCATCACACTGCTGCAACTCAACTTCTGTATGACTGTAATGCTGACACTTACGGGTCACTGAATAGTAACCGATGTCATATGTTGTGGTTTACATTTCTAACTACAGTTAATTTACAGTATTACGTGACTATATCCATTGTCATTGACATCAATAATAATAACGTATAATTTTTTTGATGATATCCCAATGAGTAGAAATTTATATTTCTGACGTCTCGTGACTTGATGCTGCTCACTTTTTCAGAGCTCTGAAGAATATGGGTGCTCTTAGGCTTTGTCTAGTTTAACATTGAGCTAGGAATAGTGATGTTTGGGAAATTCAAAGATCAAAGCGTTATTTCTTATGCAGAAAGAATACACCGTTTCGGAACTTAGTCATTTCTCATTATCATATGGGAAGTAGAATTTTAAAATTATATTTCAAATTTTGGGTATCGAGTATGGAATAAAGACAGAGAAGATAAGTTTCAAAAAGTTGAAGTTATTAACTTACTTACGCCTTTTTGGGATGGTGGAGAAAATTTGTAGCTCAGGTGGATGGTCGTGGTCGTATTTCGTTCTCTGAGCTGGATGTTTTGGTTGTGAAGCCTTTCATTGTTCTTCTGAACAACATCATCAGCACTTAGGTCAATCAGCAATCAACAAACATTGACCCAATTTGCCAACCAATCAGAAAAATCATAGGTGACATAGGATCAATAGACAGGTCGAAAGGGGGATACGATCAAAACAAGGGTGCAAACAACGACAGGTTTAAGGTCAGCAGCAATTATTCAAGATCGAGATTAACAGAACAAGCTACAGGTCAAAGTTGGAGAAATTCGAATACTTCACTTCTATCTGAAGTTTGTGCTGATGATGTTGTTCAGAAGAACAATGGAAGCTTCACAACCAAAACATCCAACTTAGAGAACGAAACACCACAATTACTTACGCCTGTCACCCCCAATGGAGCATAGGCCGCCCACCAGTTTTCTCCAACCAACTCTGTCCTGGGCTTCCCTTTCTAGTTCTTTCCAGTTTTTGTTCATTCTTTTCATGTCTTCCTCTATTTCTCAGCGTAATGTGTTCCTTGGCCTTCCTCTTTTCCTTTGACCTTGAGGGTTCCAAGTGTGGGCTTGTCTTGTGAGGCAGTTCGGTGCTTTTCGCAGTGTGTGTCCTATCTACTTGTAGCGCTTCTTCCTGATTTCCTCCTCCACTAGAATCTGGTTTGTTCTTTCCCTTAGTAGATTATTGCTGATAGGAAGTTACTAACTATTGGGTTGTATATTCTTCTAAAGTTAATTACATATCAAACATTGAAAATGGATCTAACTCAAATCTATTCATATCAAACTACATTGAGTTATCTTGAATTTTTGGTTGACATTATGTGATTAAATATGTTCACATTGTCTTCTCATTCGTATTTAACATATAGTTTAACTAATACTTTCTATATTCTCACCTTGTTAATCCTTAATTTATGATAATCATCTGTTATTTCTGTTTTCATCAATTTTAGTATTCGAGGTGCACTCCTATTTATTGCCATATTACTAATTGGTGCTGGTTGGGCTTTTATCAAACATATGTTGACACCACGTGAGCGTAATGTATTCCTTATTGTAGTGCCTCTTCAAGTAAGTCTATTTGTGCAAAAATTCATCTCTGAATTTCCATTATTAACAAATTGCACTGTGTTTTTTTGTGTGAACATAATAGTGTATTGATTCGCGTTCTTACACCCTAAGGTAGTAAGTAGTATAACAGTAAGTTATTATCATGAGGAAGTGCAACACAGAAAATGAGTTGCATTACGTTACTGCATTTTAATTCAGGCACTTCACCGTGACTTAACTAAAACGAAGGCGTATATTTTACATATATAACATGTTACAAGTTTTAAATTCCCTCATTTTTACACCAATAATAATAAGTTCATTTAGACTATTGTCAGCTTTGAGATGTGTTAGTTCCATATAAAGATCACAATTAGCTAGCTCTCTTAGTTGAGCAGTTGGATATTATTGATATTTGATCTTAAACTCTTACAGATATTTGGTAGATCATGAAAATTCCTTTTTGAATCATTGAAATCAAGTGACTTTATTTATTCATGATTGGAGGACTGTGACGAAATAGCTTGGTTGCGAAATCACCGTAATTATTTATATTCATGAAGTTACTCTTAGTCAGAGGAGATATTAATTAATTTCAAATGATATTTTACTATGAAGCATCATATTTCCTTGAAGTAATTTTAATTTATTTCCATATAATCTATCATTTTTTTTGATTTTTAATCCTTTTCTATTTTTTGATTTCACAACTCTAAATTAATCAATATTATAACTCTTAATCCATTCTAATTCTTCATTTTAACACTTTTGATTTCAGCCTATGCTTACATAATTTCTTTTCATTGTCTAATTTTCATAAATAAATAATTTATGGCATGATGCTACTTCAAGTTTATTTTTTAATTATTTATCGAAGAAAGTTAGGGGCGGCCAGACCAAAACATGGCAGAAATCCATGAAATCACTGACAAGTGGACTGAGTCATGTTGGTAGATATAGACTACCTGGTTGGGATCCGTGAGATGATAATAATCGATGGCTAGATACCCTAAACGACATGGCTCAAAACCGTTTGCAATGGCGCAAGTGCATCCATTCTTTGAGCTCTCTCAAATTTTAATCTGGATTTGTCAACACCTCTACCTTTGTCTTTCTAACCTTATCTGACTGAATTATACTTCTTGAATAATATCTTCAAACCCTAATCTTCTTCATGACCATTAATACCTCTACTATTTTTATCACTATGGGATTTGATTTGACATTTGCTTCTGTGTGCTAATGTAGTGGTATGGCAACATGAACTTATGTACATACATACGAAGTTCTACGTTGCAACTGACTGACTGACTTTAATTATTTATCATTATTCTATTTTAATTACAGACTATTTATTTGCACCAATAAAATTAACTATCAACACGATTGTGTTACAACAGTTCAAGTAAAATGATATTGTTAAATGGAAAATATCATTGAATTTTCTTTCTATCTTCAATGACATATTTATTTCTATAATGATCTCATTAAGTATGAATTTCTAAAAAAATCGTTAGATACTTCTTTTCTTATAAACTATCTTACTTAATAAAAGCTCAAATAAATAATCATTTTGAGCTGTCAGTTTTTTAACTGTAAAGTTTTAATTTCATATACAAAAAAATCAGACTGTGGTGCGCGCTACTTATAAGTAGTATATGACGCGAGTAAAAACGTAATGTCTGGCAGCAGCAGATGGGAGAAGATCAAGAAGAAAGGAAGAGTTAGAAGAACACAATGGAATTTGTATGAAACGCATGAATAGTGACAATGTCAGACAATGGATTGATGATTGGTTGAAGATTTGCAAATTAACCGTTTACGATATGGTTTTCCTATTTTATTGAGTAACTCTGTAATTTTCGTTAAATACAATTCGGTTGCCCTCAGCTGTGTTCTCCTTCACTACACAAGACTTTGGTTCATTTATTTTTTATTTATTGCATAAACTGATAAGTAAATAATTTTTATTCAGTCTTTTGTAATGTTTTAATCTTTTGAAAATGTCTCTTTTAATCTATCGGTTTCGTTTCATCCATTTTTTCTTTCTGTTTCTTATAGATTTTAGCTAATATTGCTACTATTATCATTGAAGAATCTGAAGCTGGTGCAGCACGTTATGCTACATGGAAAGAGATTTTTATTTTTGTTGATTTAGCATGTTGTGGAGCAATTTTATTCCCTGTAGTCTGGTCTATTAAACTTTTAAAAGCAGCTTCACAAACAGATGGTAAAGCAGCTATAAATTTGCGTAATCTACGATTATTTCGTCATTTCTACATTCTGGTAATTTGAAAATTTTTTATTCTCTCTCTATCACTGATAATTATGAAATAGATCATCATTTTTACAAATAATTGCTATTCTAATTCTAATTTTTTTGGTTTTTCTATTTATTATTTTTTTCAAAGCAGTCATATTATAAGTATGACTAAGCAATTCATATTTGTTATTTTATTTAATTGAATTGTCAGCTAATTAACATCGTTGGATGCCGGCTCAGTGGTCCAGTGGTTAGGTGTTCGTGCGCAAGATCGAAAGTCTCGGGTTCGAATCCTGCGAGGTGCAAGAGTCGTGGATGTGCACTGCCACTGATGAGTAGTCCCATACCAGGACGAAACGGACGTCTTTCAGTGCTTCCAGGTTTCTAATGGTGATGGTCTGACAATGATTGATTGATGATTTCAATGTGTAATAATCCTATAATATTGAATTTGAAAACGAATTTGTCACGTAAAATTGCGGTCGTTACTAAATTTACCTTATTATCGATTAAACTTTTCTAGAGTTTTTGCGTACAATAAGAGATGATATGCTTAAACTTATTATTGTATAATACCCGGTGTACTTGAGCTGTGTTATATAACAAATGGATGGCCTACTAGTTAATAAAATACTATATTACTTACCACTTATTGAATTACATTCTCTAAGCACGTCCCACCTACTTCAGTTTGCACTACGGTTAGCTAATGATTAACTATCACATATACTAACTAGTCCAAGTCCATGTGAAATGATATTTGATTATTGAGTTGTGAAATGTATTGGGAATTGAGTAAAACGTTGTTAAGTAAGGTTAAACATGTATCCTCAGTGTTACACGTGTTATTAATCTGTTAGGGTTCCTAATACACGGATCCGTACACACTCATAAGAATTAAGCATCATGACTTTACCATTCTTCAAAAAACTTAAACGTTGTCTACTTCTAGTGCATACCCAACCACGGTATTTATTTGTGTTCTTCATATCCAGCTGAAAGACTAACTAATTCTGATTGTAACAATTCTACTATCTAAATACTATTTTTTTTGCACGAGTTTTGTATTAGTACCTATGATTTATATATGTCATACAATTTTTTAAAAAAAAATTCATTTATTTTTTGCCTCTACTACCGAAGATAGGATGCAAAAGTGTGTATTATTAATTTATCACGCAATTCAAAATTGACCATTTGAAATTTGTTCAACACTAAATGGAAGAAACATCGTATTGATTGTAAGATGTGTTTTAACACATAAGTCGTTCGTTATCTGGAATATACTAGGAGTGCTTATTTTAAGTTTTGTTGGAATACATTAGACTAATTAATATCTTTTGACATAGCTAACAATAGTTTACACCTTATTAACAACAGTTTATTAGGAGACGGATGCTAGGTAAGAATGGCAGATCAATAGATGAAGTAATGAAACTTCATCAGTTGAAGTGGTTGGGACATGTGCTGCGTATGCCTAACCACCGACTGCCTCGACAAGCTTTGTTTTGTAGTGTAGGAATAGGTTGGAAGAAAGTTAGGGGCGGCCAAACCAAAACATGGCAGAAATCCATGAAATCATTGACGAGTGGACTTAGCCATGTCGGTAATTGTCGATTACCTGATTGGCGTCCGCGAGATGATAATAATCGATGGCTAGAGACCTTGAACGACATGGCTCAAAATCGTTCGCAATGGCGCCGGTGCATTTATTCTTTGTGTTCTGTCAAATCCTAATCTTCTGGATTCTTCTACACCTCTAGTTTTGACTTCCTAAACTTTTCTCATTTAATCATACTTCTTGAATAATATCTTCTCATCCTAACCTCTCAGATTACTTCTAATACCTTTACTACCTCTTCTACTATTGGATTTGAATTGACAATTACATCTCTGTGCTGATGTGGTATGGCAACATGAACTGATGTATTTACGTACGAAGTTCTACGTTGCATCTGTCTGTCTAATCCGTCAGGAAAATAATCAGTTTCTCTGGAGTATAACATCCTAAGTTGTAAGATTTTATAATGATTCTTTACAGCTCTGAAAAATCTGATAATACAAATACACCAGTCTCTTGACTAGTAGTATTTTTTTTTAATAAAAAAAATCCATTTTTGTATTAATGTATTTATTATTCCTAATGTCTTTCTGTTGTTTTACTTATTTCATAGGTTATTTGTTATGTGTATTTCACACGTGTCATTGTCTACTTGATGACAATTACTGTTGTTTATTCTTATTCATGGCTTGTGGAGTTATTCAAAGAAGCGGTGACTTTCATTTTCTTTATATGCGTTGGTTATGAATTTCGTCCAGTTAGTGATAATCCTTATTTACTTGTTTCTGATGATGATAATGATGAAGATACTGTGATGGAACGTATGCAAATGGAAGATATGTAAGTAGTATTTATTGTTTTGTGTTAAAGTATACACTAATTTATCATTTTTTTTCAATCTCTTGGTGTATATCTCATGTTTCAATTTTCATTTTAGTGTTAACATTTGATTCTTCTCTTTTATTGCTTATCTTGTTGATCTTGATTATTTTATCATGTTAATTATTAAACGTGGAATATGTTCTTTTTGTTGAGGGAAGTCGGCAAATTGGATCTGTAACTTCGGGAGAAGGATTGGCTCTAGGGGCCGAGATCAGATACGTGTCGGTCCAGTTGGGGGCTGGTTTCGTTGCTGCTTTGTGTGCTTTGGTGCGCATTGTGGTGAGGTTACTGGACTCTGACCCGGGTCGATCGTGGGCGGTTTCAGCTGTTAGTGTCGTGCAGCTAGCAACGCGCGAGGACTTGTTCCACGTTGCGTCAAGCGGCTGTGCTTTAAGTTATTAGCAAGTAATGAGCAATTTCACTAGTTCAAGTATCAATTGAACGGTTCCGAGTGAGTCTAATTACCGAGTTCAGAATTGTTGGGGACGTTAGATGATCCGCAGAACTCACTTGGAAAGGTTCCAGTTTTGTAATTTTATTCTGAAATTTTGAATTTTCATGTTTTTGCGCTAGAGATGCTTAGTTGATCTTCCTTTAGTTTACATTTCCTCCTCGGAAAATCCATGACTGTCATTGGCTGATGAATTATTTTAGTATACTATTTTGTGGCCCCCACAAGGACGTTTCTATCATTGTATAAATAAACTTAATAATTTGTGTGCTCGTCAGCCTCGTATTTTATGGGTGCTTGTAGAACAAACCGCTTAGATTGGCCTATCGTGTCACTGTATCGTTGATCTTCGTTCCGTTTATCGAGTAAGGTGAACTCGTAATAGCATTCAAGCTTATCAATAATATTATAGTAAGAATATCTATTTTAATTCCTTACCACTAGCAAATTACTCTTAACATTTTTACTTCTTAAATTACTTACTTACTTGCGCCTGTTACCCCCAATGGAGCATAGGCCGCCCACCAGTTTTCTCCAACCAACTCTGTCCTGGGCTTTCCTTTTCAAGTTCTGTCCAATGTTTGTTCATTCCTCTCATATCTTTCTCTATTTCTCGGCGTAGTGTGTTCCTTGGCCTTCATCTTTTCCTTTTGCCTTGAGGGTTCCATGTGAGGGCTTGTCTTGTGACGCAGTTAGGTGCTTTCCTTAATGTGTGTCCTATCCACTTCCACCGCTTCTTCCTGATTTCCTCCTCCACTGGAATCTGGTTTGTTTTCTCCCACAGTACGTTGTTGCTGATGGTGTCTGGCCAACGAATCCGAAGTATTTTGCGTAGACAACTGTTAATAAACACTTGTATCTTCTGGATGATGGCTTTCGTAGTTCTCCAAGTTTCCGCTCCATACAGTAGAACTGTCTTGACATTTGTATTGAAAATCGTGATTTTGGTTTTGGTTGATTGTTGTTTGGAGTTCCAGATATTTTTCAACTGTAGAAATGCAGCCCTTGCTTTGCTGATTCGCGCCCTCACATCTGCATCCGATCCACCTTTCTCGTCGATGATGCTGCCCAGATATGTAAAGGTATTAACGTCATCCAAGGCATCTCCATCAAGAATGATTTGGTTGGTGCGTGTTGTGTTGCATCGGAGAATTTTGCTTTTTCCTTTTTGTATGTTGAGACCTACTGCTGCAGAGGCTGCTGCTACACTGGTCGTCTTCTCTTGCATTTGTTGTTGCGTGTGCGATAGAAGAGCCAGGTCATCTGCGAAGTCCAGATCGTCCAGCTGCGTCCTATTACTTCTTAAATAATAATAGATAATTCTTCTTCGAGTATATAATATATAAATAAAAGTTTAATATTAATTGTGTATACGGAAAGGCGTCTAATGTTATTGAGTTAAACTTAAAAATCTATTACTTACTGTAGTATCGACTATTTTATAATCACATGTTGTATCTCTGATAATAAATAATTCATTGAAAATAGAAAATCAAAATATCTTTAATTAGTGTCAGTCAACAAGATTTCAGTTTAGTTATAGAAATAGATTGATTATGTTTCAGTTTACATGTTTTTTTCGGACAATCTATCTGTCCGTATACAATCATTAGTAAATTCCAACAATGTGTACTACACTTTTACGAGTGGACTGATTCATATTGGTAGATGTAAACTACCACCACCTGGTTGGGTTCCGCGAGATGTGATACTAACCGATGGTTAGATACCCTGAACGTCATGGCTCAAAAATCTAACTGAATTAGACTTCTTTCGAATAATTTCTTCGAACCCTAATCTTCTCCATTACCGCTTATACTCCTGCTACATCTAACACTATAGGATTGGAACTGACAATTGCACCTTTGTGCTACTGTGGTATGGCAACATGAACTTATGTACGTACATACGTACGTACGTAGTCCTACATTGTAACTGACTAACTGACGTGTACATTTTTCTAAAAATGGGCGTTAAGCTTAAAGAACAACCTATTCAGTACTTTAAATGTAATCGATATCCATTCAAAAGGTAATAACGTTTTTTTTAATTGTGTAAATTACGTTCAATTCACTCTTTATAGTGGAACACCTTCCTAAAACGAACCATGTGGTGTACAAATGCCACAGAGGCTTTAGCCAACTGATTAGTGTTACTCATCCAAGTATATGAATATGTATTGATGCTGTAAAAAATGAATAGAGTCTAAATGGATTGAAAAGTAAACAGTCTGTTTCAGGAATCCAGAAACTGCAATTATAAAAAAAAAGTTTAAGTAAGTAGCAGTGCGTATCAAACTTTTCACAGAAGATTACGAAAACATACCGACACTAGATTACTTAAATGATAATCTAACTTTAATGCATACTTAGTAGTAATAGTTGCATGAGGTCCACTCACTATGTTCCACTTGTTCACTCAATCAATATTCAATAAAACCTAATAGTTATTTAACTCTTATTATCACCAAGATCAACTACCGAGAGTATAAAGTCCATTAAAAATTATGCTGTAGAGCATGATAGACAATGTTTTCAAGAATGTATGTGTTGAAAAATGCTGAATATGACTTATGAATCTCGAAAGAGAGCTATTTTTTTTAACATTTGAAACTTATGTAAAGTAAAATTCAACCTAACATTTCTCAAACATTTTCTAAACATTCCTCTGAGTAGATTGTCCCTTAGGTGTTCGAAATAGATGCTTCGGATACACCTGTGATCGAATACTAGTAACCTACGAACATCTTCTACTCTTAGCGAAACATGGCCGTTAAGAGTAGGAGATGTTCGTAGGTTACTAGTATTCGATCATATATGTATCCGAAGCATTACTCGTATATCCTGGAACAACCGAGTAAACAATGCTGTCGTTAGGAAACGAGTACTGGGTAAGGATGGCAGATCAATAGATAAAGTGATGAAACTTCATCAGTTTAGGTGGTTGGGACATGTGTTGCGAACGCCCAACCACCGACTGCCTCGACGAGCTATGTTTTGTTATGTAGGAGTAGATTGGAAGAAAGCTAGGGGCGGCCAGACCAAAACATGGCACAAATCCATGAAGTCATTGACGAGTGGACTTAGCCATGTTGTCAGATGTCGACTACCTGGTTTGGGTCCGCGAGACGAAAGTCACCAATGGTTAGAGACCTTGAACAACATGGCTCAAAATCGTTTGCAATGGCGCAAGTGCATCCATTCTTTGATCTCTCTCAAATCCTAATCTTCTGGATTCGTCAGCATCTCTGCTTTTGTCTTTCTAACCTTATCTCACTGAATTATACTTGTTGAATGATATCTTCGAACCCTATTTTTCTTCATGACCATTAATACCCCTACTATCTTTATCACTATGGGATTTGATTTGACGTTTGTGTTTCTGTGCTGATGTGGTATGGCTACATGAACTTATGTACATACGTACGAAGTTCTACGTTGCAACTGACTGACTGAGTAGTAGTAGTAGTAATAGTAATAATAACAGTTTGTTACCGAATGTGAAGAAATACAGTATTTAATAAAACTAAACTCCTGCTCTTCCGATTGGTCGTATGATTGAGGGACAGAGTGACAATCGAACATATTGTACCTCATTAAAATCTTATTCCTCCTTAACTAATATGCATCATTTTGATGGTCACTTTCATTAACGTGAACTAATCAATTCAAATCCCGATGTGACTTTAAAATATTTACAAATTCCCAATATTGTGAATTATGTAGTAATGGTTTATAAAACGTAATATTTAGATTGTTGACTATAGTAGTTAATACAAAATGTCAGTATGTTATGGATTATGCTTACAATGATTTATTACGCACATACCGGTTTCAAATATTATTCTTGTTATTGCATAATCATGACTTAATTAACTATGTAAGGTACATGATTCATCCCCCTACAAAGAAGCATTTCATAAATATGCTTTCTAACCTTTTGTATTTCACATAATGATGTGTATTCAATGATAATCAGTAGAAAAATCAATTTGGCAAGATTCCTATTACTACATAATTCATAACATTTTAATGTTACATCATATTTATAAGTTGTTTCTTATTTCAGTAATATATGATGATAGTTAGTTATTTTTCTAAGTGGAATTCTTCAATCATTATTTGTTTTTTGGGGCACAGTTTTGGAGGTTTGCGTTTTTACACATTTGAAATCATCAATCAATCATTGATAGATGACCACCATTAGAAACCTGGAAGCACTGAAAGATGGCCGTTTCATCCTTGTATGGGACTCATCACAGTGGCAGTGCGCATCCACGACTCCTGCACCTCGCAGGATTCGAACCCGGGACCTTCGGTATTGTGCGCGAACGCCTTACCATCGGACCACTTGGCCGGCATCCAACGGTGTTAATGTCTAACTCTGATTGATCTAGGGATATTGCGCGACCTCACCCATTTGTCTTTGTTAGTTACTGCCTACACCCGACAGGGTTCAACTGCATTGGTCACGTCTTCTCAACTAGAACTCCGAGAATTTCCTCACGAAGCTAGTCACTAGTGTAATAATATATATATATATATATATATATATATATATCATTTGAACTTTTGAAATAAATTATTTACTGTAATTATCTTGATAATACAGTGTTTTAAAAGAAATATTTTATTATTATTCTATTAGACCATTTTTATTTTACTGATAAAATTGTGTGGTTAATTTCTCCATCATAAATCACTATAATAATAATAATAATATTAATATAGTCATAATAATTGGCTGATTAATACAGTGTGTTCAAATCTGATGGTCTATATTTAAATTTATTCAATTCATGTTATATACATTAGTAATCATATTGTGTGTGATCGAAGATTAAAATTGTGTCATCCATTATTTTCGATATGACTGTTGTACCTAACAAGTTTTGACTTTTCATTGAAAATTAAAAAAAACACAGTTATCTTGATACAAATGATGAAACAGCAAAGAATTTTTGTTTCATTTTGTTCGTTTTATGAGATTAATTTTAATTAGTCGGTCAATCAGTTACAACGTAGTACTTCGTACGTATGTACGTACATAAGTTCATGTTTTTATAGTACATTAGCACAAAGGCGCAATTGTCAGTTCAAGTCCTATATTGTTATAGATAGTAGAAGTATTAGCGATGATGGAGAAGATTAGAGTTTGAAGAAATTATTCAACAAGTACAATTCAGTGAAATGAATTTAGAAAGAAAGAGATCGAGGTGATAAAGAATTAAGAATATTAGAATTTCAGAGAAGACAAAGAATGGATGCACCTGCACCATGGCAATCGATTTTGAGTCATGTCGTTCAAGTTCACTAACCATCGGTTAGTATCATTTCGCTAACCCCAATCAGGTAGTCTACACTTACGAACATAGCTCAGTCCAATTTTCAGCGACTTCATGGATTTATGCCATGTTTTGGTTTAGCCACGCTTAGATTTCTTCCAACTACCTACTCCTACACCCACAAAACACATAGCTCGTCGAGACACTCAGCAATTGGACATATGTAACACATGTTCCAATCACCATTAGTTTAAATACTCTTCATTCATGATATAGCTTTATCTAGTGTTCCATTGAAGAACAGTAAGCTTTGAACAATAGCTTCCTCCAATGTTATAAATGGTTTTCATCTCTGGAAATAATAATAATTACCAAAATTTTACGACTTGATAATAGAATTGATGTGTAAACTTTATATTGCCAACTTTATTTTCATTAATTTAAGTATTTTTTTTCTGTAAATACCTCAATATTCTTTGTGTTCTCTCAAACCTTAATCTTCTGGATTCTTCAACACCTCTAGTTTCGACTCTCTAAACTTTTCTCACTGAATCATACTTCTTGAATAGTATCGTCTAACCCTAACCTCTCCGATTACTTCTAATTCCCTTACTACCTCTACTACTATTGGATTTAAATCGACAATTACATCTCTGTACTGATGTGGTATGGCGACATGAACTGATGTACTTGCGTACGATGTTCTACGTTGCATCTGACTGACTGACTGAAATACCTCAATATTCATTAAAATTTATACAGTACATAACTTTATAAATAGAATTTTTAATTAATTAATTACCACAACATAGGTTATGCATACATACAATTTCATGCATACAATTTTCTTAATCCCTCTATATACTTCTTCTTCTATTATTATAGATGGTCTCAGTCTGGTTTAACCGATGGAGTAACTCGTGTACAACGATCACAGTCAAAACGTAAAACAAACATTGCTATGAAAACTTATCCAAAAACTCAAGATAAAGAATCATTATTACAAGGAATGGAAAATGCATAGTTTTTTTTAATAATTCTAAATATAAGTTGTTAAGTGCTTTCCCCCTTACTTTTCTCCAACAATTTTTCAATTTATGCTGTAAATCAGACTAAAAGAACAGAACACACACACACACACAAAAAAACAAACAAACAAACATTGTCTGTGTATATCTATCATCATTAATAATAACTTTCTACCAATTGTGTAGACTATGTATAATAATTATTGCAAAGTATAAATGCCCGCGTATAAAGTGAATTAATTCATCCTATTCTCTAACAAGAAAAAAAAAGAAAACAAAACATTTCCAATTTCATTTTACCTACTGCACATTTTGTTTTCTCTTATACAGATATTTTGTATACAATACATTGATTGTTTTTCTTATACAATTAATTACGTTTGTGTGTATTTGGGGCCTCCTCCTTGTTCTTCTTCTTCTTTTTCTGTTTTCTCTTCAATGACATTTATCACTTCAAAAAACAAACTTGTTTAGAGAGAAAATAAACATTTATCTATCTTGTGATGTACTACTACTACTACTACTACTACTACTACTACTACCAATAAACCACACACAATGCACATAAGCATTAATATCATTATATATATATATATATATATTTATATATATTAAATGAATGAATTGAAAATGTTTCCCTCTTCTTAATCAATTTTGAATAATAAATATGCCATAATAGAAATAACAATCAAAAAAAAAAAAAAAAAGTAAATTGTTTTCAATCGAAATGATTAGTTTTTATCTTAATTTACCATGGGCACTTTTTGTTAATTTTAATTGTTATCATTATTATTACTTGTTATCAATGTTAGTTAAATCTTGTAATAAAGATAACTTACATTGTTCAAAAAAATGATCTTTTCATCTCTTTTTTATTTTTTTTTGTCTCAATACATGTCTAATCTATTTTCTTATTTGTGTGTAGGTAAAGAAAATAAAAGCAACTGTAGTTTCGTTACGTTCCACTCTCATAAGATGAATAGCAGCAGTATTCATAGATGAAGTAGAAGTATGTTTGAATAATGAATGCTCTGTTGTTGTAATTGATCAATCACTGAACAATGATTCAACATAGTGTTTAGGCGTTCGTGTGCAAGACCGTACGTAGGTCCTAGGTTTGAATCTTGCGAGATGCAGGAGTTGTGGATACGCACTGCCACTGATGAGTCAGTCTCATATCAGGATGAAACGGTCGTCTGGAACTTTCGGGTTTCTAATGGCGGTGTAACAATGATTGACTGATGATTTCGGCAGAAATCCATGAAGTCAGTGACAAGTGGACTGAGTCATGTTGGTAGATGTAGACTACCTGGTTGGGGCCCGCGAGACGAAAGTCACTAATGGTTAGAGACCTCAAAATCGTTTGCAATGGCGCAAGTGTATCCATTCGTTGAGCTCTCTGAAATCCTAATCTTATGGATTCGTTAGCACCTCTACCTTTGTCTTTCTAACCTTATTTCACTGAATTATACTTCTTGAATAATATTTTCGAACCCTAGTCTTCTTCATGACCATTAATACCTCTACTATCTTTATCACTGTGGGACTTGCTTTTACATCTGCGTCCTTGTGCTAATGTGGTATGGCAACCTGGACTTATGTACATACGTACGAAGTTCTACGTTGCAACTGGCTGACTGACTGATGATTTCAATGTGTAAAAACACTCATCTCCATAACACTAATTGAAATAATCGTTTTATAAATAGTTTCTCAAAGTGAGCAACCTGTATATATAAATTTTTTTTATTAAATGTAATAAGTTTTTAACTATAAATGACAAAATATTCATGCTGAATACATGCTGAGTAGTGCAGATCTCATGGTATGGGTTTTTAGTAGTAAATTATTATTACAAATGCAATATTGTATGTTGCGTTTGTACATTATTAAACAAATGGTTTGAGAACGAAATAATATTGCAGTTTAATTTCTTAAAAATTATGAATTTATTTTTATACTCAAGGCAAACATTGAAAGAATTCAAATATTCTTAAGTAAAAGAAAAAATAATCACAAAATACATACATGAGTAAGAGAATGTTTAGAATTTAACACCTGGAATGATGTCAGTCATTACACCGATAAGCTTAAATATAACTTATTTCATTTACTAATTAATTAATTAATTCTGAACAAAATATGCAGCCTCTTCTCAAGAAAGAGTTGCTTTTTTACTGTCGTCAAACGTTTTGACAATTTGTTGCAAAAAAGTAGTTGATGCTTGCTTATGTGCTGTGTGTTCGTCGTAGCACATGAATTAAATATCAGTTTGCCGGAACTTAGTAGAAATATTTTACAAACTACTGTAGAAAAACTAAAATCTAAACAGTACTTTAGTAAAAATGTAAAGAAATTTCAGCTAAGTTTAAGAAAGAGAAGAATATTGACTCATCAACTAGGCTCACATAATCCAACATAAATAAGTATAGTAGATGATAAGATTAACTAATTGGTCGATGGAGTAATATTCTGTCTGTAGTAAATGGCTTAGAATGTCATGATAACTATGTTCATCCCTTAACTGATAATGGACTTGGAAATTATACTACTTAGGATCCCATTCATAACCTTGAATAACATGTTGGAGTTGCCTTCTACTGATAATTTCACTTCAGCATACTTATCCATAGGTGTTTATCCTGTTGTAAATTACCCAATTTCCAATGTATATTAATGAAATAAACTAGGTAAAAAAAGCTGAATTCTCCACTTCATTTTAAAAATAAGCATATAGTTATAGTACGACGCATTGATTGCTAATAAGTTACTTATCAACAATCGACCGACATCTCTGCTTGTGCTTACATTTACCAATCCTTACTGAAACACTACTATAGCTAATTGTGAAGTTCATATACATCCAGACCTCTGTGCATCTGCTAGTGAGAATGTAACAGAAAACAACATTATTTTTCTCACATCACGAACAATTGTATATCCAAATTCGAAAAATATTTGATACTACCTAAATTAGTCGAGTTAGCTTTATAATATCGAATACTGGTTTTCGATCATAGATGTCTTCGAAGCATTGCTCGTATATCCTGGGACAACCAAGTAAGCAATATTGCTGTTAGGAAACGGATACTAGGCAAAGATAGCATATCAATAGATGAAGTAGTGAAACTTCATCAGTTGAGACGTGTGTTACCAATGCCCAACCACCGACTGCCTCGACGAGCTATGTTTCGTGATGTAGGAGTAAGTTGGAAGAAAGCTAGGGGTGGCCAAAACAAAACATGGCAGAAATCGATGAAGTCACTGAAAACTGGACTGAGCCATGTTGGTAAGTGTGGTCTGCCTGGTTGGTGTCCGCGAGACCATAACATGGCTCGAAATCGTTTACAGTGGTGCAGGTGCATTCATTTTTTGTGCTCTCCCAAATTCTAATCTTCTGAACTCCTGATTACCTCCATTTCTCTTTCTGAATTTATTTCACTGAATTTATACTTCCTGAATAGTGTTCTACGTTAGAAGTGAGTAACTGACTGTTAAGAATAGAAGATTATACAATAAGTAGTGTTCGATGTTTTTAGCTGAAAATTACTACCTAATAGATAGGAGAAAGGTAAAAAAAAAGACACATGCGTAAACATTGAGAATCCTTCTCAGAACAATTGAATTCAAATATTCTGACTCATTTTATCATACTGAAGCTTGTTAGTTATGCTTTGAAAACCTACTGATGAAGAGAGTTTGGAATCTCAGACAGAAATTATGATTTTGATTGAAATCGAAAAATTTTATGAGGGATTTTTCTCAATAAAATTAGAACAACTAAATAGATCTCGGGTTTTAGGTTTATTATCAACATTTTTGATATACTAAATTAACTCGATAAGAATCTGTATGCTACGTGTGTTCACGCATGTATTATGTACAAAAATTAAGGCGCTTAGAATCAAACTCAGTTTTTTACCTAACTGTCGGGTATTTTAGATCCCCAGAACTCGCAGTTTATTATTTATTACTGAAATTTTGAATTTTATGTTTTCGCGCCAAAGACGCTTATTTCGATCTTCAGCTTCGGAAAATCCTTAACTGTCTTTGGTCGATGGATTATTTTAATAAGCTATTTTGTGGATCTCACCAAGGGAACCTTATCATCGTATAAAGAAGCTTGAGTTATGTGTTTGTCGACCTCTTACTTTCTGGCTGCCTGTGAAATACATTTCTCTACGTCTTATTAAGACTTCTTCCTCTTGTTAGTGGGGCCTGATAAGATCGAATTAGAGTAGCCCATAGTGTCACTGAATCATTGATCTTCGTTCCGTTTACCGAGTAAGGTGAACTTGTAATAGGTCAAGTATATCACTATTCAATTTGAAGAAAGTTACTTCTCTGATTTTCAACCATTCAGCACTCAGACTATCACGTGACAGTCGGCTCACGAATATAGTCACCAGACCCGTCGAATATCTCAAAGAGTTCATTTAGTTCACGCACCAATTTTCGAACTGCTTATTATGATTTCCAGTTGGAACAAACACAAATTGTCATGTGCCAATTTTATCAGTTTGTAGGTTCAGATATCAAATAATGGATGCACACATATGGAAGAAGTACTATCAATTGTCACAGGCAAAGTGAATCTTGATCATAACATACTAGCATAAAATAGTGTGCAACTTGTAGTAATTTCATTGATGTAGTAGTACATATAAGACTGTTAATTTTGTAGGTCAGAATTAGTTTCACTGATAGGTGATATATGTCTGTACCCGAATTAAAAACACCATTATTTTCTATGTCTAGGAGTTAGTTACACACAGCTGGATTTATTTATATGACCTTTTAAATAAAACAATTTGTTCATTTCTTCACTAGAACTCATTAAAAAAAACTATAAAATATAAACTGAAACAAATCATTTAAATTCAAATTAGGTTATCGATTTTATTATTGATTGCTTTGACATTTTTTAAAAGAAAAAACAATTTCACAGACTAGAAAAAGAACAGTGACATTAAAAGAAATGAAAGAAAAACACTAGCCAATCATTATAATTTTATTACAATACATAATGTTATCATCTTCTTGTTAAATGATTAATACTTAAAAATAAAAATTTCTTTGATAAATAATATAAGTGATTACTATTCTTCATCCGTCGTAAAATTATTTGTGCTCCAAAATATTCCATCAATCCAATCTAATCCAATAAATTCCTAATTAATTTTAAGAGATAATAATTATTCAAAAGCAACCTAATACAAATAAATATGCAAACACCCCAAAAGTATTATTTTATTTGTGTTGACTGATTGATTGATTCAAGGGGCGAGTACATTGAACAATTTTTTTATTAATCATAGTTGACAAAATACAATCATCGTCTGTCTGAGAAACAAATATTATAACAGTAGTATTTGTTAGATATAGTAAAATCAGAGAATATATATTTAGAATAATAATTAAATTCAAAAATTGCTATTTTTTATAATTGATAAATGTGATGAATAGATTTTGAAGTCATTTGCTCTCTCTAAAACAAAAACAAACAAACAGTTCTCAACAGAATAATAGATAATGTAATGTAATGGTAAAAAGAAATTCACCTCTCCACTTAGAATAGAAGATGTAAAATAATCTTGAATTTTTTTTTTTTCAAAATATTACTTGAGACCAAAAAGAAAAACAACCAATAGTGTTAATTTTCTGAATATTCCATTGAATTAAAGCATTATTGAACATTGTTGAAATAATTGTTTTTTTTTTTAATAATTTCAAATGATGTGACTGATTATCTTTGTTTTCACCAACTTTAATTGTTATAAATAAAGACAAACAAAATTAATAATCCCAACATGAAAATAAATACATTTTGGAAATTTTTGTTTTCAAAAAAAAATAATAATAATAACAATAGTGTCACTTTAATTTTAAAAATTTATTCTGATTGATATTCTTAGTTTCGATGATAATTTTCATTGTGTTTTATTAAATTAACAGAAGAAAGAAATAACATTAATTATTATTATTATTATTATTATTATTTAAAATGCTTGAAGAAAGAAAGAAAAATTAATTAAAAGCATAATTAATTAATTTAAATAAAATAATGTTGACAATGGTTGTGTTCTCATACAAACAACACATTTACTAACTGAATCTTGACTATTACGCACTTTGATTACAGTACCCATAACCATACCGAACATATGTTCATCCATTGAACTAGGCATAACACGTAACCAGAAATTTTTATGTTCTTCAAAAAATCCACATAAACCTTTAGCTGTGCATTCAATAAACATGTGAGATCGAAATTGTGGTAAACAACTACCAGGTGATGCTAATTGTTGTCCTCCACCTTGTGCACCATAACCAGTATTCTAAAATAAAATGAGAGAATTGTTTTATTTTGATACTCAATGTAATACAGTGTAAATTCATGAATATCTTAAAAACAAAACTATTTAATAGAATATAAGTTGACTTTAAACATGAGACGGAATGATTGTACTAGTTGAATTATTTTAGTTGTGTAAATTATCACTTGTAGGTTTGAGAAGGAGCAACAATTAGAATAATATAATCTTATCTGTAGTTTTTTTTTTTAGGTTGTCATGTGTAATTATAAGTGGACGACATGTTTGTATAACAACATGTTTGAACGTAAAAAGATGACACTTGGCAAAACTTTATTTTTATGTTAGTTGGAATGTCTGAGAATAAGTCTTAATCTATCTCTCTTTGATTTATTGATTGTAACTAGTAATCATTAAATGCAATTTCATGAAAAATAATTTGTATAATCTTCTGTTTATTATAAATATATCGAAATATATAGTGGAATGGTTGAATCAACTGATGGTTTACGTTTATAAAATAGAAGAGATTTCAAAAACCCAAACGATTGGCCAACTGACTGAATATCAATTAAGAAGTTGAAGATATTATCAAGATGCAAACTTGAAATGCTTGAACTATTCCAAGTTCACCTTACTCGGTAAACGGAACAAAGATCAGTAATTCAGTGACACCATAGGCTATTCTAATCTGATCTTACCAGTCCCGACTAACCAGAGGAAGAAGTCTTGATAAGACGTATGGAAATGTATTCATTCCACTGGCATCCAGAAATTAAGAGGTCGACAGGCTCTCAAATGAAGCCTATTTATGCAATCATAAGGTTCCCTTGGTGAGATCCACAAAATAGCTTACTAAAATAATCCATTGACCAATGACAGCCAAGGATCAAAATTAAGCGTCTTTGGCGCAAACACATTAAATTCAAAAATTCAGAAATAGATTACAAAATTAGGGGACCTTTTCCAAATGAGTTTTGAGGATCTAATGTCATCAACAAAACTGAAATGTGAATAGGCTCTTTAAACAATAAGTGGATAAAAGAGGTCCAAAATGAAGATTATGGAACAATCAGACTTCGCTACTTGTGGTGGTCAAAGGTCAACAGCAACCAATCAAGATCGAGGTTAACAGAACAAGCTACAGGTCAAACGTGGAGAAATTCGAATGCTTCACTTCTATCTGAAGTTTGTTCTGATGATGTTGTTCAGAAGAACAACGAAAGCTCCACAACCAAAACACCACCACAATCATCCACCTGAGCTACAAGTTTTCTCCACCATCTCAAAACTTCGCTACTGTCTATTGTATGAATTACTTATATATTATATTTGAAATGTTAGCATCAGTAAAATCAAATCACACCTAAAAGCTTACACAAACTGATGAAAAACTTATCTAATGGTTAGTTCAACTTTTCAATTCACTTTAATGTCACCGATATCTTTGACAGATAAATGTCAAATATGTGAATTTGATTAAGAACAGTAAAAGAACTAACTATATTTCACTATTGTACTTAGATTATTATATTATTAAACTAATTAATTCTGAATTTCACTAATACAACGTAAAATGAGATTTATTTTAGTTAGATTAAGTAATATCACACGCAGCAGAGAATGAAAACAGTAATATAGACAGAGATTTGTCAATTTTATGTTCAAAAAACTCACCATAAGGAAACTACTTCCTGGCCATAAAGTGGACCAACCATCAGGACATCTAGGAATTTCCAAAGTTTGTGAATGGAAAGCGTAAAGCTAAAAAGAAGTAATTTGTTAAATGAATTAAATGTAAGTTTATTTAGAATTTTCAAAAGCAACCAATCAAAAGTAGATAAAACTAATAGGTAATAAGTGTCTTGGATTATTCTATGAATTTGATGATAATGAAATTTAATTTTACAATAACAGTAAGGAAATAAATAGACAAGAAAGTGAAAACGTAGTATGTTGTTTGGTGAAGTAGTATATATTTCATATGGAAATTCTCATTCATCGACTTATTTATTATTTAGATATATGATATGAAAATAATTAAGATATATGCGCGTATACATAATATAATTCATAACTCAAATAAATCTTGAAATATTCATTATGCCTGATTTTTCTAATTCCTTACTAATATAATCTAGGAGAGTGGTTGGGACATGTGTTGCGTATGCCCAACTACCGACTGCCTCGTCGAGCCTTGTTTTGTAGTGTAGGAATAGGTTGGAAGAAAGTTAGGGGCGGCCAAACCAAAACATGGCAGAAATCCATGAAGTCATTGACTAGTGGACTGAGCCATGTCGGTAATTGTCGACTAGCTGGTTGGGGTCCGCGAGATGATAATAATCGATGGTTAGAGACCTTGAATGACATGGCTCAAAATCGTTCGCAATGGCGCCGGTGCATTTATTCTTTGTGTTCTCTCAAATCCTAATCTTCTGGATTCTTCAACATCTCTAGTTTTTACTTTCTAAACTTATCTCATTGAATCATACTTCTTGAATAATATCTTCTAATTCTAACCTCTCCGATTACTTCTAATTCCCTTACTACCTCTTCTACTATTGGATTTGAATTGACGATTACTTCTCTGTGCTGATGTGGTATGGCAACATGAACTGATGTACTTATGTACAAAGTTCTACGTTGCATCTGACTGACTGACTGACTGATAATCTAGGAGAGGAAAATACGAATTTAGTTTACAAAAAACCATTACGTTATAATCTATTGCCTAGAATAGAAAAGAAATGTAATGCTATTTGAACATTTAACTTGAATGTTTTTGTTTTAATCAAGATATCCTAAAAGCCAATCTTCATGAAGTTATTTTTAGAATGTAATTTAAATTTTTTAATTATCAAACTAAGTAGATTTTGCGAATTGAGGTAAGATTATATTAGAATGAAGAAGAAATTCTTATATCAATCACTTAATAAGTATAACTCACCTTACTAGGTGCTTCACAAACTGCACATCGACTTAAATGTCTTTGAGTTTCATTTGCTGGAACTGGATTCCACATCATTGGTTCTTCTTCTGTACTCAACCAATAACTACGATCATTTCGTTGTGCATAATAACAATTTTCTTGTTTTTCACAAAACATAAATGGTATTGGATTGAATAATTGTAAACATGATCCAGGACTAGCTAAATCATTGACATGAGCTCTATCTGATCCGGTCATACTTAAAAATGAATAACCATCCCATAATTTACGAGTTGATGATGGACATGATGGGATACGTGTAGTCTGACTATGACTAAAATTTAAAATTAAACATATATATCCGATTAGTTTAGTATTCACTTGAGCATGTTTCTCTGAATTTTAATTGATTATTTGGCAATCTAACACTAAGTGCTACAGGGTCAAGTTCCAAAAAGGGGCAGTTCGATCGATACCATGAACTTTCTCGTTTGTCAAATTATTATTAATTAGAATCAAAGTTGTTATGGCTCATATACATACATAATGAGTAGTTTTGGTAATCATTTCAAAATAATTTTGTCTAAGTCAAGTATTCCTCGAATATTAGATACCATATTTGAAGTAGTTATCTTTAGTTTAATGGTTATCATTAGATACCTAATATTTTATTGATTTACTGTATATATATATATATATATATATATATATTTCATTTCATATCTCAGCTTTCTGAATACCATCATCATACAACTAAAACTCTAGTTCATATTATATTATGTTTGTTCAAAATTAAAGTTTTAAGTTAACCGAAATGATTTGTATCTCTTTATATCAATCTATAAATTTTCTTTAAATGATAATACATTCTTCCTTATTACACAATGTATTAGCATTTATCTAAGTGCATAGAAAACCCGGAAGCAATGAAACTCCTTAGTAGTGTATATTCAGTCCAACAGGGTTTGAACCAACACTATACATATGTGTAAACTTAGTGTGATCTGTGGTTATTTCATGGTCAACCAACAAGCCTGCTGCTCATGCACATCGCTGCTTTTAGGCAACGCAAGGATTCTCACTGTAGCCAACAGTAGTCACCCCTGCCCCAATCGGGAACATACATGTTGTCTAGATTGGACTGCAGACAAGTTGGACATCCAAAAAGTACTATACACGAGCAGTGGCCCCCGCCCGGGCACTTATGGATCAAGAGATCCCTCCAACCAATCCACTACCCATAATCCCCAATCGGCAAGGGCGGCAAGGCGGGCTTACCCAGCTAGACCTGGCACCCCGAAGCGGATTACCGAGCCACCCAAGCAGTGCATTAACCAGCAGCCGTTTCAACCGTCTGGCCTCCAACTGCCCTGGGCGAAACAATCGACCGGAGTCCCCTCTCTGCCCGCTCTCTGAGCTAAGATCATGTGTAGTATCTGTGGTTTACAAGAAACAATGAAATTTTAATTGCACTGTTCACACTCAAAGTGCGCGGTCAATTTTTTCACTAGATTTGTCGATATATCACTTTGGAAGCGTTATGATTGGAATTGCTAAAATGTTTTGTAATTAAAATAATGGTTGATTTAGTAATGAAGTCACCATGCTAATGTTCGATGGAATAAAGGAATAAAATCTGATGGGTAGGATCTTCTGATGATATTGATTTTTAAAGGACTAGTAAGACCTGACGGTATGGTCATGATTTTATTAGTGAGCGACTACCATATCTTTTAATTGTTTACTTGTTAACTGACAGCTAAACGTTTTTCGATGTTTACTGTTTTGGAAATGAACACGCCGCTTCATTAGAGTAAAGACCATAACTTGATAGCCAGCTGTTTTAAACTTTGATATCAGTTCGTTAGAGACTAACATTAGTAACTCACTCTTATGAGTATTTATCAGTTGAGCACACTATTTACTCGTACATTGACTATTGATCAGTATTTTATGCATCCTTTTGATAATCTTGCAATTGTGGACTATCATAACTCACTCAAATATGTTCTTTATACAAGAATATCATTAGCTTCTGCTCTTAACAGTGTTATGATTGTTATCAATAGTCACTAAAGTTTTACTTTATTTTCGAAACACATAAAATACAACACAGCACGTTTAAACTTACACAGTGAATAAGTGTCCAGTGTTACCACGTGTGTCTCCGATACCTCCCGGTGCTCCTTGTTCTCCAATTGGACCAACATCACCTTTTGGTCCTTCTGGACCCATAAAGCCCTTCTCACCTGGGGGACCTGGATAACCTTTTGGACCTGCTACTGATGGCTCTCCAACGTCTCCAGGCTCACCTCTCGGACCAGGGGCTCCAGGAGGTCCGTCGATTCCTGGTACACCTTTAGGACCCATAACACCATCATCGCCTCGTATACCTTTTTCCCCTTTCAACCCCACAACAGAGACCGCACTATCCCCTTTAGGACCTTGCAATCCCGGTCGACCCATTTCACCCTTTATTCCCTTACTACCTTTATCTCCCGGAAGTCCTGCAGGTCCCCGGTCACCTTTCTCGCCAACTTCACCTGGTCTTCCTGCTTGACCAGGGAATCCCTTGGCACCTTGTTCACCTTTCAAACCTGGCAATCCCTTTTTAAAAGATAATATATAATCACACATTTTAGCTTCATAATTTAATTGATTGTATAGCTGAACTAAGAAGCAACTAATGAAATAGGAATTACCTACAAACTTTGTCATATCTTATTAATTTTTTTCTCCCAGAATATTCGGAGCACAACTTGATTGGGAAAATGTAGTCCATAGTCTTAAAGTCAATATTCAAATAAGTAAGTTCCCCATAGATAAATTAGGTATTAGAATAACAAAGAATCTCAAGGCCTTCATTACTGATGAATAATTTTATTTTAATAGTTATATATTTAAAAAAATAAAATATCTTCTTGACGAAGAAATAAAGCCAGTTCAATGAAGAAGACGTTTTAAACAGTACAGATAAATAATACGAGAATCTCTAATCAAAAACGGTGTTACATCAGTAAATACAATCATCAAGGGTAATCAGATGTTACAAGTATTGGATATAATAGTCCACAGTGCTGGAATATTCGTTTGGCGACTACATACTTTAAATGAGCACGGGAGCAAATAAACTAACAACTGGATAGTGAAGTGGCTCAAAGCTGAAATTTATAATCTGCACTTGTTTGAATGAGGTACTTACTAGAAAAAGCAATTTAGAGCCCTGCTGAATGAAAGGTCCTTCCCAGAGATCTAGAAGGTAAACTCTTCAGAATCTCCTCCGCTCTGTCCCTTTGAAATTTAGTGTTGGTAAACAGAACTTTCTTCTGTATTTTAACAGGTTATTATCTAGTTTTGGATGACTATAATAAAACATGAATAGAAAACTATTCTCAAAAATGTTTGTTGAATTTTTATCAATGCCTTTGAGCGCCAAGATAAGTTAAATGCTAAAAAGTTAATGCAATGTTAATACAAGACTGTATTTTGCTACACTTAAACAACAAAACTTTCGCCAAGTTACACAGATTTCTAAGAATTAATCTCTTTTAAACTTACCTTTCTACCGATTGACCCATCAAATCCTTTAGGCCCACGTTCTCCTTTGACACCTGGAGGTCCAGTATCACCCCTAGGACCAGGCTCACCCGGCTCTCGAGGTGAAACACCTTTGATTCCCTTAGGTCCTCTCATTCCAGGAACCCCAGGTCTACCTGTAGGTCCAGGACTTCCTTTCTCCCCAGGTGCTCCAAGTAAATCAGGACCAGGCTCGCCCACTTCACCTGGAGCCCCTCTCATTCCGGGTTCTCCAGGCTCACCTTTTCGGCCCATGGTTCCGGGTGGTCCAGCCAAGCCACGTTCACCTTTTGGTCCGACTGGGGATCTTGACACTTCACCTCTGTCTCCAGTTGGACCACGTTCTCCAGGAGGACCTGATGAGATCAAAAATAAACAAAAGAAATATGAATAGCCTGCTGATTGACTACAGGAAGCCAAGCTTTAGAGACTAGTCATTCTGACAGTCAAAAATCAATGGGAGACATTTATTCATGTTTCCTATTACATGGAGTGAAATAAAGGTTTCAGATGTTAATCACTGATAGTTATTTGAAATTCTGATCACAAAAATTCCTGAACTTACCAACTGATCCCGGATATCCTTTAGGGCCGATAAATCCTTTAGGACCTTTTAAACCTGGTTGCCCTTCAGCTCCTCTTGGTCCTTCTGGCCCAGGTACACCTTTTTCTCCTTTCGGACCTATAGGTCCTTGTGGGCCGGGGGGACCGTATTTGCCTGCAGTCCCTGGAATTCCTTGATCACCTTTCGGACCTTGTAAACCTTTAGGTCCAGGTGGACCTACTACACCAGGTTGACCTTTTTCACCTTTTGGTCCTACATCTGCCACTCGAATGGTTGTACCAGGTAAGCCTTTTTCTCCTTTATCCCCCTGAAATGAGTGAAATAAATGATATCTTGTGAACTGGATGTATTCTCAATAAGTTAATAGTCCCTAAACTATTATCATATATTTTAAGACTATTAAAAAGTAAAAAACCCTAATATAACTATTCTGAAATACTATCTACAAAAAACTACTATTATTATGTATTTTCAACATCCAGTCCATGTTCAATGAAAACCATTATGATCATTGTGGGACTAATTTCTTATTTTATACTTTATTTTTCTTCATAGTTCGTATCTAAATCATAGTCACGATGTTGGGTATTGGCATCATTCAGAGTACTGTTGAAGATCATCTGCTTTGATCCTAAACCGTTTCTTTACACAATCATGATTCATACTGAAGATTATTGCACTTGAAATGTCGGACTAAATAATCTTGCGCTTATTTAAAGCTAGCTTCTTATGTTCTTAAAAAAAGCAAAGATTTTTCTCATATTATGATTAAATATAAAACGTACAAGTTTTTGTATGTTACAAAACAATTATACTACTCATGTCAAGAAATGTCATCAAATCATTAAGAGCTGAAATCCAATTAAAATTAAGTGTGATACCTGTAACAAGTAAATCATCCTTAGATTAACTTTTTAGATTAAATCATTGAATGATTTCTTGTGATATTTACCAGTCAATCACATCTATAAACCAATCTATTGTTCATTACCATGCATTTTCTCAACTCGAAGAGGGGATTCATTTATCTAAACTAATAGGTTAACCAGAAATCCTGGGTGATAAATGGTTCAATCAAACTATGTTCATCGAAAAGGGTGAATATCTACATGAAAATTTCTGTGATGCCTTTATAATTAAATTTTTGAAAATAACTAATATATGATAAAGAAGACTAAATTCAAATATTGTATACTTCACTGATTCAACAGTCATTTGGTTAGAACATATCAAGCGACAGAAATCTGCAACAAACACGACACGATTTGAAAAACAAGGTGAGCAATATAAACGTCTTACCAATGGTCCAGGTAACCCTGGGAGTCCTCTCTGCCCTATATCACCAGGTTCACCAGCTATACCGTTTCGGCCAGGTCGTCCAGATGGACCAGGCACTCCACGATCACCTTTTTCACCAATGGGGCCACTTGGACCAGGATCACCTGTTTCTCCTAATGGGCCCATTTGACCTGGTCTACCCTTTATTCCTTGCAGTCCTTTAGCACCTTGTAATCCTTTTTCACCCTTCTCACCTTTCTCAGCTAATCCAGCTAGACCAGGGAGACCTTTATTTCCAGGTATTCCATCATCTCCTGGCTCACCTGGGAATCCTTTTATACCTATAATGATATGAATACAAATATTTCATCTGATTTAATTATACTGAACGTTAGCTTAACTGTTATTAATGAATGAATTGCCATAAAAATTATTTAAATTCTTAATAGTCTAATAAATTTTCTCTTTTTTAATTGTCAATAATCCTATGAAAATTCTCTGTTCAAATTCGGTAATTTAATTATTTCATTTCAAATATGATTATTGACTGTCACTTTTCTGTGTATGAATCGATTAAAATTCAAGTGTACTGAAAAAAAGTGGTTTAGAATTTTCTTTTTCATTTTATTGTTCTGTGTTCATAAAAAATAATTCAGTTCTTAAACAGTTTGCTATTTATCACCCAAATCAATGAATGTTATATTATTGAACATATTGCGAGATAAAGGACAATCTGTATAAGATACAATATATTAAAAGGAAGTAATAACTACTTGCCTTTAAGTCCAGGTAATCCTTTTTGTCCTTTAATTCCAACTCCTCTCGCTCCTGGTTCTCCTGGAAGTCCCTTTGGACCCATTAAACCAGGTAATCCTTTGGGTCCTGTGGATCCAGGTACACCTCTTGGCCCTTCGTCTCCAGTCTCACCCCTTGGTCCTTCCACACCATCATCTCCAGGTTCTCCAATCAACCCTTTGGGACCAAATGCACCAGGTAAGCCAATATCACCCTTTTCACCAGGGGATCCAGGTTCTCCACTAGGTCCAATTGGACCAACTCTACCAGGTAAGCCTGTATTTCCGGGTAAACCTTTTTGCCCTTCAGGTCCACGAGGTCCTGGTGGGCCAGGAAGTCCTTTCAGTGCAACCGTTGGGAATCTATCTTCTCCTGGATCTCCTTTGGGACCATCGATACCTGGAAAACCGGTTTCACCTTTCATACCTTTTGGTCCTTTCATTCCTTGGTAGATCTCACCTGGTTCTCCTGTATCCCCTTTAGGCCCTCGATCACCCATTTCACCCTTTGGACCATTTAGTCCAGGAAGTCCTTCAGGTCCCCTAACTCCCTTTTCTCCTTTAATACCTGGAATTCCTTTTCTACCTGGAGGACCGGGAAATCCTTGTTCACCTACTTCACCTTTTTCTCCGACTGCTGCAGAACCAGGTAAACCAGGTGGACCGCGTTCGCCTGCATCACCAACAGTTCCAGGAAGACCTTTCGGACCAAGCAAGCCTTTCATTCCTTTCCTTCCAGGTCCTCCTGATGGACCTGGAATACCTCTCGGTCCTTTAGGGCCCATGAAACCCTTATCGCCACGTTCTCCAGGAGCCCCTGTTGGACCGGGAAAACCTTGTTTTCCCTGTTTTCCGGGTATTCCAGCAATTCCTTTCTCACCTTCTCTACCTAGGAAATGAAAGCAAAATGAAAAATATTTCACAGGTCACACTCAAGTTACTTTCGTAGCGTAGAAACATAATTCTTTTAATTTTTATTTTTTACAGTCCTTGGTGATCATATATATACAATTCACTTGCAATATCAGAACAGTTCTTAACATCTGTCAGACAGACACTAGGTCAATGGTACTATTATTGTGGCTCTTAGATATTGAATAAACTTCCTTAATTTTACTGAGGTAGATGTTTAGAAGAAAATTTTAAAAAGCTGAGTATAACATTTAAGTTAATACACATGTTTAAATAAAAGTTATCATATTTATTGTTGACAGTTAGAATTTACTCTTGTAGCCACAAATTCAAATTAACTCAAAGTATCTAACTATTAAATCCTATTTTTGAAAAAAAATAAACTAAATCAGTGATCGCATTGTATATCTATGTATTGGACTTCCTTAATATCATCCCTAACTAAAGGTTAAACTATTATTAATATACAGTTAACGGCAACACCCTAGTTATGTATATTCATATACCATTTACATACTGTTGGGTAAGATTTACAACTTTTTTCTCGTCTGTTTTGAATTACAGGCTAAACTCTTGTAAGTTTACTATTCAAAATATTTTTTTATACAAAAATTCACGGATAATTTCCAAATTATCTTGGTGTAACCAATGCTATTCGTCGGAAATGAGTGTCTTCTGTTGTGAATTTCACTTATAGAGTAAGTTAATGTTTTTTTTGATCCCTGAAAGTCCTGATATACTTTGTTAACACACGACACTAATAAAAGTTAGTTTTCTAACCAATTTATGCTAAAACCGCCTATAAGTTACAGAATAATTGATCAGATCTATTTGAAGTTTGTACTGATCATGTTGTTCAGAAGAACGATGAAAGCTCCACAACCAAAACATCCAGCTCAGAGAAAGAATCACCATCACAATCTGTTACATAATTATTGTTCGTTCAGCACTTTTCAATGAATTATTCAACGAACTTAGGTAATGTTATTATAAATAAACATTAAAATAAAGTACTTTTTGTTAGTAGACAGAACCATTTCATTGCTAAACATGTAAAACTGAGTAACAAGATTATTATTTTAGAAAAAACTCGTCTGTTTAAAGTATCCATGAGGTTAGTAAAAGTTTAAATGTATAGTATAACAATGTGAATTGCTATTTTATAAAGCAATGAGACAATAACGTCAGTTGAGTTTACATCAATCACATTTTAGCATCAGATTTTCGTAAGTATTGTGGTCATTAGTATTTTCATCGCATGGTGAAAATTGTATTTAGTTGGAGAATACTGGTCGACAGACTATGCTCCATGATTCGTAGCAGGAGTAAGTTATCAAGTAAGTTATTTGGTAAATGAAATAAAGCATATCTTCGACATTATGATTTGTCACTGAATGAAGAAACAATTTCATTTTTCTCTTCCCCATTTTTCTGTTATTAAATGTAAGAAGAAAGCGAGTTACAGAGTCTTGGAAATAACAGTGAAGCCGGTCCATCGATCTGAGAGATGTGTAATACCACAATATTTATGTAAATGATTTATTACTAAACCATTCAGCTATCGACTCCGATATAAAATAAATTATTATTCTCATGTTTGTTAAAATTACATAATTGAAAATCAATATTCAAGTTGGAAAAAAACTGTATTAAGAAAGAAGTACCTTTTTCTCCTGGGAATCCTGATAATCCTTTATCTCCTGGGTATCCTTTTGGACCTGTTTCACCTTTGATATACTCAAATATTTGATCAACAATATTATCCATTCCTAAATAGAAGAACAAATATACCAATAAAGATGTGATTTATTATTTTTACAAAAGCTTAGTACTTTGTGATAAATTGATTTGGGTTTATCGACACAATTTATGCTATACTCAGAAACTAGATAGTTCAATGATGCGTGAAAAGTATCTTAGAAATAATCATTAAAAAGCTTCTGCAAGCCGAACGATATATCACCTGAGGAATTCAAATGTACCAGTCGACAGGAGCACTACATAGGACCAAGTTAACCTTGAGTAACACAGATTCACAGTAAAACAAGAAGATATTGTTATCAATGCACTCAAACAAAAAATGACAAGAATTTGATTGGGAAAAATCCTTAGAATGTCATTGGTGCTTCATCAATGGTCAATCAGTAAACGTATCTACACTAATACAGTATATCAATTGACATTGGAAGGTTCAATGTCATATAGTCAGAGGTTAGCATATAAGACAATCAATGGGAAAGTAAAAACAAATGAAGATAACGAAACTTATGACAACAATCAGTCACGAGCAAGGTCATTAGAACGGAAAAATTTAGCACTGATAGATTAATCATAAACTTCATTTCCATATTAAATAAGTGTTGATGATATTGTTCACAAAACACAATATTCCCAATTTAACTATCTAGTCAGCAGAATATAACACCGCTAAAAGCATTCATTTGAGCTAGAAGTCTTCGGTATTATTTCACAAAATATACTAACATTTTAGAAGTAATATGTACAAATATTTTATGGTCATAGAAATTGATCTGACTAACTGTTTGTTAAATAATAAATCTGATGTATTTTATGTATATATGATTGGAATTGGTTAGTTCATGCATGCATGTAAGCATTTATTTACCTCTATCTCCTTTTTCTCCTTTTTCACCTTTAATACCATCTCTGCCAGGGATACCTGGAGCTCCTTTCTGTGCATCGAATACAATTCCATCACGACCTGGTTCACCACGTCTTCCTGGTTTGCCTACTGTTCCACTAAAACCTGGTAATCCTGGTAATCCAGTATCACCCTTTATAAAAAAAAAGTTTTTTGAACAAAGAATTAGAAGTTATTGATTTTGAAAGTTTAGTAAATCATCTTAATAAACTATTGTTGCTTTTATATATGCGTATGATGCAACGTAGAACTTCGTACGTAAGTACATCAGTTCATGTCGCCATACCACATCAGCACAATGATGTAATTGTCAATTGAAATCCAATAGTAGAAGAGGTAGTAAGGGTATTAGAAGTAATCGGAGAGGTTAGGATGAGAAGGTACTATTCAAGAAGTATGATTCAGTGAGAAAAGTTTACAAAGTTGAAGAATCCAGAAGATTAGGATTTGAGAGAACACAAACAATAAATGCACCGACGCCATTGCGAACGATTTTGAGCCATGTCATTCAAGGTCTCTAACCATCGATTATTATCATCTCGCGGACCCCAACCAGGTAGTCGACAATTACCGACATGGCTAAGTCCATTCGTCAATGACTTCATGGATTTCTGCCATGTTTTGGTTTGGCCGCCCCTAGACCATGCGTATGCTGAATAGTGATCATGGATTAAACGTCATTAAACAAAATCAATATATACAATGTAAAATAATTCTTTTAAAAGATTTTTGCATTCTTTTAAGCGATCAAATATAATCTAGCTAGATATTATTTGGTCATTCCTCCTATTTTATTAGCTTTATTTTTGTATACGATCTGGAATTTATGTATAAAACTGTGCTGCAGTATGAATCACTGTATATGTCTGAAAATAAATATTTCAAAATAGTCTACAATTCAATTCTCAATGATACACTAATAAATGTATTTCCGAAACCATCACTTAGGGCATAGTGTGGTATGTGCTACTTATACGAACGATATAAGTAGTATAAGAAGGGACGTGAAAGAAGAAGTCTCACGGTCACAAGAGGAAAACGGAAAGCAAATGGAGAAAAAGCAAGAAGTAAATGGAGTACCAACAGGAAGTAAAGGAAGCAACAGCAGGAATGGAAGAAGGCTGGAGAGTTGGAAGTCAGGATTCAAAAATGGTGTGCATATAGAGGAGTGTTCAATGTAATGTTTTCGTTTTTAATTGACTAAGAGTGTAAATTTACTAAAAACAATCTATCGCGCCTGCCTCAGTCTTCACAATAGTAGTGGGAGGTATTTGATGCTTAGGATGAAGGTCAGAACTTTTTGAAAATTTGAGCATCGATGTCATATTATAGAAAAAAAATCGAAAACACGTTTAGTAAATTACTAAATAATTACTTGATGCAGAATTTATCACAGTATATTTTAAATAAAGTTTTATTGTTAAAAAACAGTGGGACATTGCTTAGCAATAAAACAACTAATTCTTTGTATAAATCTAGTCATTGTAATCTAAAACAAACGAGCCATAGGATTATGTTTGATAATAATTATGTCTTACCTTAGGACCTTGAGGTCCAGGTAAACCTTTAGGACCAGGAAAACCTTTGGGACCTTGTTCACCAACTACTCCAGCACGACCTGGACGACCAACATCACCACGTGGTGCTTCTGGTACGGTGACATTTACTATTTCTACAGCACCCGGTTCACCTTTAGGACCACGTGAACCATCATTTCCACGTTCACCTTTTTCACCCTATCAAAATAAGATAAACTTTATAATGAAACTGAGTCAATCAAATTTCATCAAATGAACTTTTATATAATTAAGTAAATGAAAAGTAGTTATCAATCGATAAAAATATTAACATTTCAAGTTTAATTTGTAAATGAGCTGCTTCCGATGAAAGAAAACAGTGATTATCGATCAGTGTGGATATATAACAAAATCTTAGAATATGTACCACCAAATTCAATGATTAATATCCTCAAACTGCCTAAAAGTGTCATGGACAGAATGATTGTGAATGTGAGACGGATAAAAGATTGAATTATTGCTTGTTATATGTTTACCTCATAAGAACGAAGACTAACTATTAAGCAGAGATAATTACTCCTCTCAAAAGGAGACTTTAATACATTGGCTGTTTAACAGCATACTTTCTCTACTATAACGTTAGTTGTTGACTTTGAGATTTCATTTCCCACCAGGAAAATCCTTGGCTGTGATTGGCTGCTGTGTATTTTGGTGTGCTTTTTTTGTGACTGTCCCAAGGACGAGATTTGTGTGCTTGCTGGGTGTTTTTAGAATATACTTTCTACGCCATATCAAGACTTCTCTTTAGCCGTTACGAGTCAACGGATCAAAGTGGCCTACTTGGACTCTGGTTCATTGTCTAGTTCCAGTTTATCGACAAAGGTGAACCCATAATAGTTTCAAGCGTATCTGGTGACGAACCTAACAGAACATCAAAATACCATGGTTTTAATTGAAACAGAAGTGAATCAGTTGATGAAATTTGGAATCCAGATCGACCAAGATGATTGGGATGCGTGATAGGTATGCGCTACGACCATTTACATCGTCGAGCAATGTAATCTGGAGTGAGTATAGATTGAAATAAACTAGTAGTGAATAAACCATGACACAGTATCAGTTAAGGAGCTTTCCTAAACCATACAGACTATTGGGTTGAGGTTAACTAATTACGACTATGGTTTAGAGACCTTGGGTAACAGGGCTCAGAACAGATCATGATAGCACGGAGTTATGTACCCTTTACTTTCCTTTTGATCTTGAGTTCCAATGTTTCTTCATACTTATAATTTAATTCAGTCTTCACTATGATTGATACTACTACTGTGACGTTTTCGGCATTAATTATATTAATTTTATCTTCTGATGATGTAAGAATGATAACTTCAGCTAATCCACATTCGCATCAGGCTGTATATTGGTAACGACTAACACAATACAGAAGTAATGTCACTAATTGTTGCTCTGAACTATATAGAATGTCCATGGATAAATATCAGTCTAATGAGAATATAAATATATTTATTCTTATAAATTTAGACGCGTAAAATCAACATCCATGGCTTCTTGCCCATCGCCATGAATCACTCAACATAGCTTAATAAAACTGTGGAGATCGTTTAGTGTGATAAAAATCTGAACATTGACAAATTAAATTAAATTAATTGACTGCTATAAAGATATATAACGGTATGGATTTTGAAAATTCTTACAATTACATGATAATCATTGAATATATAATTAAAATAATAGATTACTTAAAATGAATAACAAGGTTTTCAACACAGTTTTCTGCTCAGTGTCGCAATTAAGTGTAAACTTCAAGTAAATACATTTCTATCAATAATTACCGAGCTTACACATAATATTGTGAACAATCGATAAGATTAATTCAATTAATTAATCTAAAGATGCTAATTATTTACTGAATATTTCAATGTAGTAATTTTTTAAATGTGATTAATATTACTTATTACCTATTAAAATGCTTGCATACTGATTTATTAATAATACAAAAACTTTGATTCAAGTTATCAAAAATGAATTACATGCCTTTTGACCAGGTACTCCAACAAGACCATCTCGTCCCTGAGCTCCAGGCAATCCTTTTTGACCTGGAGAACCATCCAAGCCTGGTTCACCAGGGACTCCAGGTTGACCTCGGAAACCTTTCGGCCCTTGCAAACCAGGTCTTCCATCCGGGCATACGATGCAGTCCCCTTTTTCTCCGGGAGGACCAGGGTCACCCTCACGTCCACGTATACCTGGTAAACCAGGTTGACCTTTAACTCCTTTAGGTCCAGGAGGTCCATCAATACTGGGACCTATTTCTCCTCGGTCACCAACAGGACCTGGTAGACCTGATGGTCCTCTATCACCTATAAAATAAGACGAAAAATGAATTTATTTGGGAACGTGTCAACAAGTCTTACAAAGTTATTTTATCGATTTTGAATCATAATTCTGATTGACTAACCAGGTGGTCCAATTGGTCCTGGAAAACCACGTGAACCTTTTTCCCCTTTTCTTCCATAGATCTCTCTACCTGGAAAACCTTTTTCGCCTTTTATTCCAGGAATTCCAGGTCTTCCTGTCTTCCCACGTTTTCCATCCAATCCCGGTAGACCTAGTTGATAGTAAAAAAATAATTAAGAATTACCATCATTTCAGCTCATTTGAATAACGAAAGCCAGAAAAATCATTTAAATCGTAAGATATTTCTATTGCATATGTTTGTATGTTCAGATTTAATTTTTGAAAGTGATATAAAGTCAAACTACAAATCTTTTGACCCCGATCACATAGAAATTAAGTACTTTCTGTCAGCCTTCTTTCCATAATTTTAAAACGTATTATATCACCATGGGCTACAATTTCATTGCAATAAAAAAGCTTGTAAAAATCAAAGTACATTTCTGGATCTGTAAAAATATGCTCTCGAGATAAAAGTGTAGTATATGAAAAGATTATGTCTTCATTTCACAAACTAGTCAATGACCATCTTCTCTAATGAATGAATGAAATATCAGCAAAGAAAAGAAACTTTATGAAAGTTTACTTATTAACCATCAGAATACCACAATTTAAGATACATTGTCTCTTAACAAACAATAATACTGGTTACATTTGTTAAAAAGATATATTATGTGTCAATATCTACAAAATGTATTAATGACTAGTTGATGCTGAATAAAATAAAACTAAATACTTTCATTAAAAATTTAACAGTTATAATAATGTGGTTATTGTAACAATGGTATCTCACCGACACAGATGTCTTACCCTTTTCTCCTTTCCTTCCTGGTTCACCCACAATAACTTGCCCGTATCCAGGACCTGGGTCACCTTTAGGTCCAGGATCTCCTCGTGGTCCACGTCCACCGGGAAGACCTCTTGGTCCATAAGGACCTATAGCATAATTGTGAAAATAAAATTTTATCAACAGCAAATAACAATAATAATAAAGTGACCAAAACTATTGTTAGGTGTGCCCATAACTAACCAATCAAATCGTAGTTTAAGCGCTCAGCACGTTGATCTGGTCTGATGTGTCTGTAAACTATCTCGGTTGCATGTGATCTACCAATCGAAAGACATTATTATCCTATTATATTAATGTGACTCATCATTTCATTCATCTCGATAAGACACGCAATATTGGTGTCGGTATGTTTGTTCGTTTCATTTAATAGCTGTAATTTCCTTAAATATTGTAATTATCTAATTGTTTTTGCGTTTAGAAACAGATAAAGTTTAGAGCCAATTTGTCCTTGTTCTGACTATAGCTTTCACATAGACTCTATGCTCGCCAGTATCACGTTTACGGTTTAAGTAGTATATCTGCAGGACAAATTAAATCCAACAACTATTACACTTTCATAAACGCGTATTATGAGTCAAAGACAACAATCAATCGAGTGCCAGATCCATTTCCATTCGCTTATTGCATATCACTGATATGATGTTAATACTATCGTTTAATCACAACAAAAACTTCGATGCATTAAATAATTAAAAATAATATATGAATAACTTAAATATGAAGAAAGAATTAGTTGTGTATAATGATGCTTAACCTCTGACAACTTTTCAATTGATAATAGACTGTAATCATGATTCATCTTAAACTAAAAGCAACAATGAGTTTGACTAAAGTATATTTAATACTAGTACATCATTTGTGCCTGACAATTCACTACCAGTATGAGAATGAAAATGAAATTTGACCAGTATTTTTTTTCTTCTGTTAACTGAAAATAAATTAATCTTAGTGCTCATTTTCTAAACAATACTAGACTTGTACCACATGGTTATAATTGTGATTATGTGTATATTATAAATTAAAATGTAAAAGCGCAAAAGTATAGATTGTTGAGTGAGTATTCATGGTAGTATATATATATATATATATATATATATATATATATCTTTTAACTAATGATAGTTTACGATTATTTAATCTCATTTATACTACACACCATGATCATTAGATATAGTATCATTTAAGAGAACCCAGTAAAATTTGAATAACCATCTGAAATTAATCGATAATTATCTTTATAACCTAAAATAGCAAACGATCAATCGAAAAACTGTTCATTAAAAGACTTTATCTTAAAACATGGACATTCATTTCCTAAATGTTGATTTATTTAGATTAGTGACACTTATATACGTTGAACTCGCAGAATATTTCTTAGCTAATAACAACAGTTAGAGAATTGTTTTTTTTTGGTTGATCAATCAAATATGGTCTTTTAATAAATGAAAATTATTTAAAATTGAAATTTCATACCTGGATCACCACGATCTCCTTTCACTCCTGGTTCACCGATATCTCCATCTGGTCCAGGCATTGCATCTACATCAGTTGTTTCACCTTTTATACCCTAAGATTACATAAGTTCAAACTGAAAGTTAGTTAAATTTATCTAAATGAGACGTCTGAAAGAAAAAATGTTTATCAGATATTAATGTCTTATTTATGTCTTGATCAATATGTACAGGCCCAAGATAATATCAAAAATGAATACGTGATTTTACTAAAGCCACAATATGTCGAAATTGTAATCATATATTCTTGTTATTCAAATTATTTGATACAGTATTTCATCGAGTTGTGAAATTATCGTACTCATCTAGGTACATTTAAAATGCACAAAACCATGTAAGCTGGTGTAAAATTTGAGCTTCTCTTCATGGAAACTTCTATGATAATAATAATAATAATAATAATAATAATAATAATAATAATAATAATAATAATTCCATCCATAAAATGCAAGAACAATTTATAGTTTTATATTAATTGCTATGAAACAACTTGCTACCAACCTTTTCACCTTTAGGTCCCTGAGTTCCTGGATATCCTTTGTCACCTTTCGGTCCAGGAAAACCACCTGGTCCGGGAGGTCCAGGCAGACCATCTTGGCCTAATCTTCCAGGAGGTCCAGGTATACCAGGTGCACCAGGTTTTCCAAATTTTCCCTGATTGAAATGAAAAAAAAATACATTGTTTAGTAGACTGTCTTTGAATTCTAAATAATATCTATAGGAAAATATGGTTATTACTATTTGTGTATACATGTTATTGTATAGTAATATTTATAACTTATAGATAATCTATATTTCTGATTGATATCATTTGAAGAAAAGAATATAGGCGAAGACTAGATAACTGATGTTTACTAAATTCAGGACTCCACAATAATGTTATTCACTCCTCTATAGAAGGACGAACTGTGGTTCCCCCATGGAGTATAAATCCACTACCCACATTTTCAAATTCAATGAGTTTGTTAAGTGGCATTATTTTCATGTTAAGTTGTTAATAATTATTTATCTTAATAAAATTTGGGTGACTCCATAGATTACTGAATTTTAACATGATAAATCTTGAAGCTAGTTGTCTAGCTCATACCAGTTCCTGATGAAGTTGTGTAAATACCAGGCACCCACGAGAAACTCTGGGTCATTTTTCAATACCTGCTTGCTGTTCATAAATATGTAACATAAAATTTATTAAACTTCGTTATTCATCTAACGTTTTACATGTGTTGCTCGATTTCTTTTATTTGAGTTTATCTCTCTTAGCTGGATGGTTTGGCCTAGAAGTTTTCATTATTCTGCTGAACAGTATTGTCAGAATAAACAACAGAGAGTTAATTATTCGAATTTTTTTCTCATATGACTAACAGTTTAGTCTGTCAACTTTGATCTTGATTGCTTAATGTTAGCCTTCATCCTGTCATTGTCTGCAAATTTCCTTTTGATTGTCTGCCCCTTTGTCCTGATTTCTGTTTGTCTGTTTTGCATGACGTTTCCAATTGGTTAATAAATTAAGTCGATTTCGATGTATTTATTGAAAACTGATTAACTTGAGTACCAAGCTGTTAAAAATTCTATGATTTTCTGTACATTCCTTCAACATTTTCTCAGCTGAACGTATGTGTAGCATTGAATGAGGATACTTTATGACGTTTGAGAGCTGAATGATTTCCATGCAAACGAAGATCAAGAAGGCATTGATTTCGTCTAATGTTGTATTTCCGGAAATTGAAAAGGTTTATCTTGCAGATTTTGATAGTCGTTTAACACTTTATTAATGTCTCCTGCTTGTTTCTTGGTCTATTCTCAGATGGATAACAGTTTGTTTATAATTAATGGAAGGAATAAATCGGTCAAAATTTGTATGATAAATCATATTTCAAAATGCTGAAAATCCGTAACAGTTTTATGCTAATATTCGTAATAGTAATGCGGATTATAAAAACCGTCATAAAACGCTACTTGCAGAGGTGGATAGTGGCCAACAGTGAAATACAGGACCAGCATTTTGTCCAATTGAGGACTTTTCATCTGAATGTGCCTGCATATCAGAGTTAACGTTCACTCCGGGACTCGAACCTAGTGCTTTGCGTTTCAAAAGCCAGCTCATTGTTCACTTAACTACTGAGTTCAGATAACTACTGTCTTGTACAATGGGGTGAAAAATAATTCACTTTTATTGCTGGTTTGAATCTTCCCATTGATGTTTGGGACTGCAATTGATCAGTATGCCAAACGAAACTGATCATTTGCAGCCCTAACTATCAATGGAAAGATTCAAACAAGTAATATAAATGTTATAAAATACATTCAAATATATTATCATTATCTGGTTTCTATAAATGAATTCAGATCTACTTAATGTGATTTACTTTTGTTTCATATTGTATGGCTATAAAATCGTGTGGGTTTACAGACATTAAATGTATCAGTTACCACAGATAGTTAGTCACAGCACGTTTATCACAACGTATTATATACTGCTGTTAGATAAAAACTAATTTAAATGCCAAGATTCCGTAGTTGTTTACAAACGCCACTACATAACATTTTACTATTCCCATTGCATACGTTGCGTAACCATTAAAATAATAATAAGTGTTTTAGTAAACCTGATGGTACTGATCCAACTGAAGCTTCTGACTTAAATTGAACTATTAATAGGATTTGACCTTAAAATCTCAATCGTACATTGGCCCTTTAACTTAGTTGAGTTAGCCATTGGTGTCTACACATAAATGATCTCAAATACTTAATGTTACTCATGACTGATAATTGCCGAGGTGGTTATTCACTAAGAAAAAAGGAAATGAAACTTGAATTCTCTCTTACTCAGACGAAAATATCACTCACCGGTGTACCTTCATCCCCAATTGGACCTGGAGTTCCAGGCACTCCATTTATTCCCGGACTGCCCTAACAAAAAAATAATAACGATTTACTGTTAGTTTTCAGGTAGAGCAATAATATCTGTATCCATTTAATGTACTTCAATCCAATGAATGTTGATCAGCATTACTTACTTAAATAACTGACTGGGATTTCGTGAATGAGAATACATTCTAGTCATTTTCTTCTCAAAGATATTTTGACTTAATGCTTATGTTTTCACTGTTATCACTTTAAAATTTTCTATTATTAGTGAATAGTTTGAAACTATTATTTAAGTGAAAGACTTTAAATCATAGGCTGACACTAACTAGATAACCTGTTACTCCCTAATAATGCAACTTTGAAGTGCGCACTCAACACTCTTTAAAGAATTGCACCAAGGAAATAAACAAATTACTTTTAGAAATTATCTGAAAATAATGTGGCTTTTTCACGACTTCATTTCTGCAAATGGGAAAAATTGTTTTTACCACTAACTTTCGTAAAAATTAACTATTGTTTCATCTCATATTTATATAACTTATCATGAATATGCATTTTACGACTAGTCACTAGTTTTAAAGGTAGAAAATTGAAAGACAAACGACTTCACAGACAGTTCTGTGAGGCTAAATATGTTAATGAGTAAAACATACATCTGAAGGACAACAATAATGAATATATCTGAGTGAACTTACTCGTGGGCCTGCAGGACCTTCATCACCTGGATCACCGCGTGGGCCAGGAAGCCCTTTTAAACCTTTGACCCCAATTCTTTACCAAAAAATAAAACGAAAATATCCATGAATAATTACAATTTCTTCAGAATATTACTTCACAAGTTCTTGACCAAACAAGTTCAGCGTCTCAAAATATATATTCTTATTTCACAATCTAACAGCATTGAAATTTTATAATACGTTCTGTATATTCCAACCCAGATTGTGAATTGTGAAAGCCATTATCTATAGGCCTGGCCTGCACTATTCATCTCTCTGAAATGAATCACTACCGATTCATTTATAGTGAGCTAGGTGGTAAACAAACAAGATTTTCAGTAGTCGATAAGATTACTCCTACCCATGTCATATTACTGATTAATATTTAAAATTTGAAAACAAATTGTAGTGAAGAAAGATACTAACCTCTGTCCTTTGATTAAAGGTGATTCATCATAAGATGTGCCTTTTTCACCTTTAAATCCTTTCTCACCCGGCTCTGCCTGAAACCAAAGAAAATGAACTACTTATTTGGATGCCAAATATGTGTTAATTTCCAACTTACAAATTATGTTACTGAAAATTATTAAGTAGTACAATATTTTAACATGTTTTCCTGAGTGTTTGCCCCGAAGACATGTAGTAAATACTATCATTAATCATGGTAATATTATGTTTTGAGGTCAAGAAACTTCACTAACATTTAGAAAGGTAGCATTAGGTATGTCAGCATGTGTATGCTCATAAATGGCAAAAAGTGCGTTTCATTGTTCTTTTCTGAACTTACATATGGTAAGGAAATCGGTGATGGAGTGTCTCCTTTTTCACCCTTTAAACCTGGTTCACCACGGTCTCCTTTTATACCCTTTAAAAAAATCAAATGTTTAAAGAAAAAAATATTAGGAACATTTCAAAAGAATGTTGACAAATGAGAAACTTTGCTGTTTACAACCTGTAGAATACGTATTTTATTTACAAATTTCAAACTGAAAAATAAATGTTTATGAATACGCTTGTGTAGATACGAATTCACATATATTATTATTTAACATAACTCTGCAATTCATAGACGCTATTTATAAATATAGAAGATTTGCAGACCAAGACAGTCATACATTCTTAATCGATCGTTCACTATTGCACATTGTAGTTTATGTACTTTTCAGTCTTTTAGTTTAAACTGAACCTTGATTCATCATATTGTAATCAGATAACTTAGGCGAGAAGAGTGTTAATAATGAGAAATTGGACAAGTAAGAATCAATTTCTTTTGGTTAGTATAGACTTTTTTTTTAGTTTTGTGAGACTATTTTGTTGATTCGATTTTATCTGTAACCTTGACAAGGAGGCTTCATCTTGGTAAAAAGAAAGGTAATTTTCAAGTACATATACAGACGATCTCGAGATATCAGAGATTAATAGCTTTAATCTTATATAAATGGAATAGATATAAACCCTAATGATCATTTATAACATTTCAAACTGACATAACTATTAGTTACACGCAATACAAATTTTAGAGTGATTTCCTTTGTCACAATTAAAAACTTATTTAGTTTTTTAAAAAACCAACTGTATTTGAACAATTCTAAATACATTTTATCAACTTACTTGATAACCTTTTGGACCAGCTATACCAGGTTGTCCTTTAGCTCCATCTCGACCACGAATACCTTTAGGACCAAGTTCACCTTTCTCACCTTTAGGTCCCGTCTCTCCAACATCATCTACACCTTCAACAATAGCTGGTTCACCTTTATCACCCTGAAATAAATAATTATAATTTGATAAAAAATTAACTGAATTAGTAGATATATGTGTAAAATAATGAAGCATACTACACTTGCTCACATAAGATTGCTGATGACCACTTGCAACATACTATTAAGCTTACAACAGGGAATACTTAGTAGAAACATCTCGAATTATTATAAAATCGTATGCCACAGATGTTGTAAAAAATCATATTGAATATGACAGGACGATGTTAATATTTCTCTTGAGATATTATAGAGTATGAATCAGAAATTGTTTAAACTAAATAAAATGAAAATGTCCTATAATTGTTTTTCTTACTTTGAATACACATATACCCTGAATGATGCAAAGTATTTCTCACTCTATATATATCAACAATTATCCATTTCTTTCCACTCCATTATTCTTTCACCATATACCGGTTTTTATAATAATAAATTAAGATTTTATTATTTGAAAGAATAATAGAAACTGTACCTTTGACCTTTTAAACCCTCTTTCACCACAAAGGCCAATCGAATCCTATAACTCCACTGAGCACCTTTCAAACCTTTTGGTCCCTATTGTGTTTAAACACACAATCTGAAATCTTCAAATAAAATAAAAAGAATTACACCATGACAATTGATTTTGATACAGACCAATAAATGTATTTGATAAATCCACTAGATTAGATTGTTTGACAAAACAATACAAATGTCGTATGATTAGAATAATTGGACAACTGTCTCCTTATGACATCTACCGTCTTTTATTAAGGTGACATGTAATCATCTGTTTTTATACAATCGCGATGTCTAAATGCACTATTTTCAAACTGTAGCATCTACTAAATTTCATTCTTACCAGTAATTGTTTTAAATTAAAGGAACTATTAAAACTCAAGACCGACAATTCTAGAGAGAGAGATAGTAATACAATCGATAGAACTGGTCAATATGTATTTTCATTTTTTTAGATCAGTTATAATTAGATGTTCTAAGTGTTGAAGACATGACTACTGTATTTGTATTGATGTAAAGTGAATTATGCTACCCCATTTAGGTCTGTTGTTACAATGTATAACTCCGAGATCCTTATTTTTCTTGAAAACTGTCTACTGAAACTTATCGATTCATTTTTGTTCATGTTTTTTGTGTGTTGCCATTGAACATGTATTAAAAAAGGTGAGGTAATTTTCCAAAAAATTCTGTCCACTAGATATCTGTCAGTTATGATTAAAATATTACCGCAAATAGAATATTTTGTCATCGCGGTGATCTAGGACAGAAACTCCGCCTCGAGCCCTTCCCGGGCTTACTACCGGTCTGAAGCCCGATAAAGTGAGGCGGTTGAGCCGGGGGGAGTTGAAGACCCCATTTCCCCAAAAAGTTACTCGCTAAAACACGCTAACCTAAAACCATAATTTCAAAACCATTTTAACTGTAGGAAAAAGAATATTTGACCTTTTATACCCTATGCCTATACTGTAGAATAATTCACTTCATCATTTTGACATGAAAAGAAAACAATAAATGTAGTTTTCTCGATAGATCAACCACCCAGAGCTGTTTTTTACTTGCTGATTTTATTGGTGAATAACCGATTGAAAGTAATCCTGTCTATCTGTATAGATTTGCCAAATCAAAGTACAATTTGTTGTTAATGGAATACTGTCACACTCTTGTTAAAAGGTCTCAACGTATATATGGTGGTTAGTAAGCATTTAAAACATACAAAAATCAAAAAACGAGGTGCCACAATGTGGGTTTGTGCAGCTACTTATACAGGTAGTATATGACGTGAGTGTCAACGTAAATGTCTGCAGCAGCAGAAGATGGGGGAAGATCAAGAAAGGAAGAGTAGAACACAATGGAATTTGTATGAAACGCATGATAGTGACAATGGATTGATGTTTTGCAACAAGGAACAGTCCCAGTTTCGATATGATCGAACTGATATTTTGCAAATGAAACGATTTACGATATGGTTTCCAATTTTTACTGAGTAAACTCTGTAATTTTCGCTGAATAACAATTCGTTTGCCCCATCTGTGTTCTCGTTCA